TATTACCGATATGCTCATCCAATCAAGTTTCGATAAACCCGTTCATCATCATCTCCTGCGGTTTCGAACACGCCTGTTAGGTGGCTTCTGATGCTCGTCGAGGTCGGAATTTCCAAATACGCGTGGTGCGTCGGGCCGCGCGCTCTGACTTCGGCCAAGAACAATGCGTCAGCTGATCATTGTCATTTCTGCCACTTGCGTGTTGTGAAATGGGGTCATAACTTATAAGACGGCTTTTTCATATCAATTATTTTACATAAAATCATATTTCAAACCATAAATAATGTTTGACAGCCAAATAAACGAAACAATACCAATACGGGCTTACAGTTTAAGGCTCGACATTGTGTTGTCTACGATTAGACAGCTGATAACTCATTCCCGTACGTCGTATGGTCGTAACACTATAATGACCTTTGCTTATTGTCACAAGTGCGCCGCATTCGCGATTGTTGCCCGACGCCTGTTTGCAGGTGAGCCCACTACAGTTGTTATACATATCTAAAAACCGAAAAACTTTTAGGCGAAAAAGGCACTATTCCAGGCCCATTTTTGATTTTTTTTTGCGATATTAGGTAAAAACAGAAGCTTCTTATCCTAGGAAAAATAAAATGGGAAATCTTTCAAAGGTGGCACACTACCTTTAATCGAACTTGGTCGGCACCGCTAAATGCGTCCTATATATGGAAGAAACGCGCCCATGAACAAGAAATATCGTACCAACGATAAAGACATCAAAAAATCGGCACCACTGCCGCGGACCCCGATAAAAATCCTATCAGCATCATCGCGATCGCCCTCCCTCAGCTCTCCCATCCACGAATCAAACATTCCACCCCTTCAACCACCAATCATACCCTATGCTCACCTTATGCGCGGGATCGACGAGAATCACCTCGAAGTACTTATAGGTGGCGTCCTGGCCAACCCAGTAAGAGTTGAGCACACGCAGCGCGTTGCACTTCTTGCCGACGCGACCCTCGGCCACCGACTGGTGGTTCATGTTGAGCTTCAGCTCATTCACTCCCTGGCGCACCGGCTTGCCGTAGGTGGCGCCCTTGTGCACCGGGCGTTTGCGGCCTCCGCGGCGCAGGCGAACGCGGTAGATGGCGTATCCTGGGAACGGAAAAACGACCGTCAAACTTGGCACTTCATCTTTCATTTTGAAGATGAATAAATATGGACAACAGACTAGGCAAATTAACAATTGATGGCTACATGAAGGCAGTAGGGTGCAAAATACAAATGTGGTCCAAGCTCCACCCCGGCCCAATATGCAACATGAGCCAGGTTGGTAAGCCGTCAGTTGCTGTACTTTCTCTCCTTAAGACAACACTATGAATAAAATGCGGTCCTTACACAGAGAAAGAATGCATATTATCCTTTGAGTGTGAAGAAACATTCTCAATAGCATAATGGAAGTAGCTGGCAGCATCCTCCAGTTCCACCAACTTACACATTACTAAAATCTAGCTTCAACAATTGGCCATAATATTACTAGGTATCAGAGTTAGCAACATGCAAATACACCCAACATTGACAGCACAGTGCTCATACCCTGCTTGGCCCGGTAGCCGAGACGCCGCGCCTTCTCAGGGCGGGTGGGCCGGACGCAGCGGTGGATCTTGTTCAGCTGGCGGTACTGCCACATCCGCACGCGCAGCAGGTAACGCATCACATCACTCTGCTTCTTGCGCCATAACTCCTGCATGTACTTGTAGGCTCCCATCTTGGCCTATTTGGTCTGTAACAAGACAATATTGAACATGTTGTTATGCATTACAAAACAAGTGCAAATCCTGAGAGTTCTGTGAATTGCACAATTAGTTTTAGTAAAATGATTAGATATGGCTAATTTAAATGTCATCACCATGCAACAGATAGAAGTTACAGGCAACATCAGAAGTTTCAATATTTTTGTTTCTGGTAGTCAATGTCCATATATCACGTTGGAGAGGAACAAACGTATGTCCCTTATTTTAAGCTCAATGAGATCACCGCTGAATGCCCTTATCGCGGCAGAATGATGGTTTATGATGCCAAATGAAAACTGGCGAGATGCCAAGGTAGCTGAAACATAACCAAATGAAATCCAACCCGACCCCCAAGTCCTTTTCACCCAACAAATTAAGTAATAGGTAAGGTTTGAATGAATATATGTAAGACAGGTGAAGAGCAGGTTTGGTAGAGACTTAAGATAAGGGAAGGTTAGGTTTGATAAGATAATGTCTGAGCTTAAGAAAATAAATTTTACCTGAAAAAATTAGAGCCCAACATCTCACCCAAAGATAAAAATTTGACATCACAGTCATCCCATTCAACAGTGGGACAGTAGGTATCATACATAGCCATCCAGCTGCGCCTGTGGTCAACCAACCCGCGACCTCATTACAAAGTTCAATATTTGTTTGACATCAAAAATCATCCTACCCTGCCCATTAAGTAATTGCCAATAGAAAATGTGACCATTTATAATAAAAATTTATGCTACACCAACATAATGAACGCTAATGTCACACTGCCGTGCAAAGGAAAAAAAGGGTGAGATCCTGTCTGGCCAAAAATTGATTTCACAGGAGGGACCAAAAGGTTGTCGCGACCAAAAATGAGTTATAACTTTAAAGTGCCACACGTCAGAATGACGATTTTGGTACCAAACAAAACGTCATGTTTCAATGTTTCTTCTGATACTAATATAATCGTGTAATGTTTTCTTAGATAAGCTTAAAATGCCTATCTTTTTTTTTCCTTTGTAACTGGCTTGCGAAATTTCCAACAAGCGGTGTGGAAAAAAGCCGTCAGGTGATCAAGCGATTTCACGGCTTTTTGCCACGAACTATTAAACATTTGGCGGTGTGGAAGAAAAGGGTAGACGCGTAAATGAATGAATGAATGAATGAATGTCTGGGTTTAACTAGTGTTTGACCTAGCTTAAGGGCGGGCGGTTGGTCTCATTAAGTTGATACTGGTAGGACGCGGACGTGGTAGACATCATATTCGTCCGACGAATAATACGCAATTAGTCTGCATGCCTAGATGGCTGCATATTGCATCCTAGGTTTGGGAAAATGCCATTTTATCATAGCTGATAGTCCGTAATTACCTACCTATTACATGTCTTAAACATTAACCACATTAAACCTTATACAGAATTAAACAAAATAGTTCGTCATTCCTGTATTACGGAATCCTGCTAAAACATCAAACAGTCGACACGAATACAAACATTCAAACATTTCAGCCATTTTCCGTAGTATTGACGGCTATAAAACATCAAAACAGTCGATACAAACAGTCGACACGAATACCTACAAACATTCAAACATTTCAGCCATTTTCCGTAGTATTGACGGCTACAAACATGAAAACAGTCGATACAAACAGTCGACACGAATACAAACATTCAAACATTTCAGCCATTTTCCGTAGTATTGACGGCTATAAAACATCAAAACAGTCGATACGACTACAAACTGAACACCACTTCAAACATTTCACTGGTCAGCTCAGCCATCTTTCGTGTTATTGACGGCTAGGCAGCAGCCTATCCCATCAGGTCACGGACGTTTGTCCCGTTGAGGGATAGCCAGAAGGCGGTCTTATGACCATCCATAAGAGGTGTTAGGTTGTTGATGATTTTGGCCAACTTTTCCTTGTTAACCCCCCTGGGAGTCGTTCGCCTCTCTGGCTGCTCACATGGAATAAAAGTTGTTTTGAAAAGGTCGTAAGCCGACCACTTTGGGTGCCCATGGACAACCTTCACGTACAGTCGGTCGTCGTCCCGCCGCACCTGAACGACCTTTATTTCCCGCAGGAGCGGTCGCTTCTCCTCATCAGCGAGACGCTTCAGCTTCGTAGCGCTCACCCCACTGCTGACATCGAAAAAATCTCCCGGCGCCATCACATGCACTGAGCCCGCCATCTCACATGCCACAACGTAGTCCCGAAAGTCTTGCACACGCACACTAGATTTTGAAAGTTTTTTGCTCACCACCTGGTGCACCGCATCAGCAGACATACTAGTATGTCCCTTCTCTAAAAACTTGACTGTGATGGTTTTGACTGCAAGATCGCTCCTGTTGACACAATTTTGAAGAGCCGAGAGCAAGGTCCAGTTTTTGTTTTGGGCAGAGCAGTTATCTGCCCAGAAGGTGAACTGTTTCGTGTTGTGGTTCAGCTCCACGAACTTTATGAATGTTGAAGCGACGTCTGGTGCATCTCGGCCAGACACGCCCTCGTGCCACAAGACGGACACAGCCCCCTTTCCTCCCAACGGCGCGAAAGTCTCGTTGTAAGTTACAAGTCGCGGGGTGAATACGCACACTTTGTGAGGGAGGATGGGAAGGAGAGCGACCCTCATCATGTCCACGGAAACAATCAGGTGCGACTCTGCTGACGCTGTGGTTTCGCGGTCTCGGGCGTACTCTGCCCTAGCCTGTTCGGCGCGATCGTGGTGGGCGGCGTGTTCCTGGCACGTGCTGCACGACTCATGTTCAAAGCAAGTTTTCACGTGGTGGTCAAATGCAGTACATATCTCGCACTCTTCTTGGCCTAAGCGAGCGAACGACACGTTGGCACTTCGCAGCGCTTTGCGAAACCGCTCGTAAGAGCAGATCTTGCCCTTTTCCTCCACAAGCTGCTGGTACATCACAGCTGCGTTGAGGTCCGGTGCGAGATATCGGCGTCTGGGGGCGTGCAGGTAGCGGTAGTGCGGTGCCATCGGACGGTACCGCTCAATGTGCCGCTGCAGCTCGTCCTCGAGTCTGGCTGCCACCGGGTTTGCCGCGCGCCCCCGCCTGTCCTGCTTTGGGATGAGTCGTCCCACGGCAGATATGATCGGACCGTCATTGTTCGCTGCGAAGCCGAGGGTTGTGAGACAGAACTCCTTGCACACCCTTCGATCGACCTGTTCTCCAGCTACAGGGAGACGGTAGGCGATGATGCGCCGCTTGGCAGATGCGGTGTTGGTGAGTGGTGGGCTGTCAGTGACAATGGGAGTAATGTCTCGCACGTGAGTGGCGTACCACTGCATCCTAGCCTCCCTTGAAAGTGAATTGACGGCCTCGTTGATGGCCTGGCGTTGTTCTTCACTGAAGTGAGTGGCACAACCGAATGAGCACGTGCGATTGCTGCAGGCAGGAGGCATGGGACGGACTGCATGCTTCTGTTTAAAGCCCAGAATTTGGTGTTCCTGAGTACGAGCTCGTTTTTTTGCGCCCGTGTGACTGCCCACCGTTGTCGGACGAGGAGCATCGGATGCCCCATCTACTGAGGAAGAAGCCCCGTGGGTGCTAATCGAGGCAGCGTCAAGTCCATCTCCACCGCAGTCCATGGACCGTGGGTTCGGGTCGTCTGGATCGACATTTGCGGTGTGTGCTGTCGGAAAGCCTCCCCAGCTAGACGCATGAGCGGCGCTACGTGGGTGGGGCGGGGCCATAGGGGCCATGTCACTATCACCTGCTGCGCCGGTACCAGAGGGACCAGAGGAAGCAATCGATAGGTCAGCGAGGGGTACATCGTTGAATGACGACATGTCACTGCCGGACGTATCCAGGAGTCGCAGGAAATCAAAAGGTCCCGGATCAACTAGGTTATTTATGTCAGTCAGACCAATCACGTCATGAGTCGCGACCTCTGTCGACACAGCCCAGGGGTCTTGCTCCCCGACGAAGGTCCCCTGCTCTGCGGCTGGGGTCCCGCCCTGCTCCGCGGCTGAGGTACCCTGCTCCGCGGCTGGAGTCTCGCCCTGCTCCACTGCAAAAGTCCCCTGCTCCGCGGTCGGGGTCCACTGCTCCGCGGCAGAGGTCCCCTGGCCACCGGACGGGGTCACGCCCTGCTCCGCGGCCCGCTCTCCAGCAAAGGTCCCCTGCTCCGCGGCAGAGGTCCCCTGGCCACCGGACGGGGTCACGCCCTGCTCCGCGGCCCGCTCTCCAGCAGAGGTCCCCTGCTCCGCGGCAGAGGTCCCCTGGCCACCGGACGGGGTCACGCCCTGCTCCGCGGCCCGCTCTCCAGCAAAGGTCCCGTGCTCCGCGGCAGAGGTCCCCTGGCCACCGGACGGGGTCACGCCCTGCTCTGCGGCCCGCTCTCCAGCAGAGGTCCCCTGCTCGGCGGCAGAGGTCCCCTGGCCACCGGACGGGGTCACGCCCTGCTCCGCGGCCCGCTCCCCAGCAAAGGTCCCGTGCTCCGCGGCAGAGGTCCCCTGGCCACCGGACGGGGTCACGCCCTGCTCCGCGGCCCGCTCTCCAGCAGAGGTCCCCTGGCCACCGGACGGGGTCACGCCCTGCTCCGCGGCCCGCTCTCCAGCAGAGGTCCCCTGCTCCGCGGCAGAGGTCCCCTGGCCACCGGACGGGGTCACGCCCTGCTCCACGGCCCGCTCTCCAGCAGAGGTCCCGTGCTCCGCGGCAGAGGTCCCCTGGCCACTGGACGGGGTCACGCCCTGCTCCGCGGCCCGCTCTCCAGCAGAGGTCCCCTGCTCCGCGGCAGAGGTCCCCTGGCCACCGGACGGGGTCACGCCCTGCTCCACGGCCCGCTCTCCAGCAGAGGTCCCCTGCTCGGCGGCAGAGGTCCCCTGGCCACCGGACGGGGTCACGCCCTGCTCCGCGGCCGGGTCGCAGCTGCCCGCCGGGGAGAGCACCTGTACAAAAAAAGTATTTTTTAATCGATATCCATGACAAGTCAAATCATTGATTGTACGAAATATCTGCAAGCATTATGAAGGAAACGAAAAATCCGACACTCCCATAACCAACTGAAGGAGCGGGTCTTAATTTGCTATTATTTTTCTACCGTAGTGTCTTGAGTTGCCAAAAATATGCCCAAACACTTAATGGAATATTACTCGTAGATTGTGTTGATGTAATGAACAGCATAAGAATCAAAATTTGATGCGATTTATCGCTTTATTAAGCTTTAATGGATAAATCTCCAATGCCATTTTACATCAGTATCTTTAACCGCTTTTGCTGCGAGCCTTCATGCAGCTTACAAGTTACAGGTTGATAATGTCACGAACAATTAGCTCTCTCACCTGACTCAGGGCTGCTGAATCAAGGACGGGACAGGAACTCGAACTGCTTCCGGCAAGATCGGTGAGGTTGTCAGACACGGGATTAGATGACCTTTGCCGTTCACGTACAATCGCCAGCGGCATATCATCATCCGGAATTTCTGCACCGAACACATTTTTTTTTTTGTCAGTCTCCTGAACCACTACGCATTGCCATTTTGTCATTAGCATAGCATAAGCGACATATCATTTTTTCACACGTAACCTTCTCAAAGGCGCTGCAGCTCTGCATTATTTTTATACATTCCATGGTGCTCTACACAATTGAATTGGCTACTCCTGTAACCCATATCAGCTAAAATTTGAGGAGTTGGCATGCCTTTCATATCGGGTCAATGTCCCTTACCTTCCACAAGGCTCTGGCGAGTCTTGGAGCTCTTGGCCACCGCTCCAAACCACTCCCGGCCTCCGTGCCTCATTCGCACCCGCGACCCAACAGCGATTTCTTCCTCACACTTCAGTGCATTCAATGGCGAGTAATGTGACTCACCAGCGGTCTTATCTTCCCAAATCACTCGAACGTGTACGACTCCTCTCCTTCGGATGAAATCGGAGCCAGTCGGCGCTTCCGAAATCTTCTTGCGTTTTTTATCACACTCAGCGGATGAGATTGATTTGCGTTTTTTACCCATATTTGTAAAAAGGCAGGGATAAAGGCACCAACTCGGGGAGAATTGCTTCGCTTTACGTTTGATTAGCGCGCCAGACGTCTGCCAGCCGCCCGCGCGTGCTGTTTACTACGCGTAGTACGGCGATGTGTAAGGAGGATTTGGTGGGTTTTTAAATTGGCGGGCTAATTGTCAGTAAGCTTTTGCGACCTAACATTATGAAAAATGCTTGTGCAATCGTGCTCACAAACTGTAGTGCTATTTCATTGTCTGAATATCCAAATATGCCCTTAAAAACTGTCAGTCAATTAAAACTCGCCAAATACTCTTCACCACAGGCACTCTCAGTCCCGGAGCACGCTTTATCTCACCCTTTTTTTCCATTGCATCGCCAGCACTCAAGATCATGGAAAAAAAGGGTGAGATTTCACGGCTTTTTTCCACACGACCAAAACCCAATTTTGTGTGGCATTCCAACTCACGGCTTAATGCCAACTTTCAAATTTAGATTTTCGGCATGAATTTTTATTCAATAATGCTTATGAACTACACCATTGAATTCGCCTCGAAAAGAGCTTTCATTTGATATAAATATAAAAAAATGTATTAAAATCACCTCACCCTTTTTTTCCTTTGCACGGCAGCACTGGTGGAGCAACAGCCAGTCACTGTATCTTCAGCCTTAGGTGTACATCAAACTAGAACAATCAAAATTACGCAGATCATCAGAAAAGTAGGTTACTAGACACTAACACAGAGGCTACTGTTAAGTCAATAGTTCATCCCAAAAATATAGGCATCAACCTATATAGAAACTTAGCATATTCTGATAACTGGTAGTATATTAAGTGGGACTTTAAAGTCATTTTATCTTTTACTCAGGTTGATAAGTTAATGGTATACTTTTCAGAGTCTCAAGAGTAAATGTATTTTTTATTTAAATGATGGCAAATATTTTGACCCCCATTGAGGAGCCTTTTTCAATGCAAAATTACATGGAATAATAAGTTTTGGTAGTATATTATCCAGGATATAGGCAAAGCAAGCACAGCTAGCCAGCCAGTCTGTTGTTTTGGGAAATTATCATTAGTCCATTGTTCAATGTGAAATTATCAGTATGACCTGCCAGACCCAGCCCAAATACACTTTTATCTATTATTACTTGGTAAATGTCAAGATAAAGTCCTAAGCAGATTTCATTGATATATTTTTCATATTTTCTAAATTATTTGACATCCTGAATCCAAAAATGATACTTGTATGTCTCGCAAATAAAAGAAAATCATTCAAACCTGACCTAACCTTACCTACTTACCTATAAGTACCTACCAACCTAAAACCTACCTACCTACAACCTAACCTAAAACCTAAAATGTTTGCTGTTACATATTTGTATCAACAGCGTCACAACTGTAGTTAGGACCTAAACTTGACATATACCTTATTATTTATGGCAGAGGTATGGTATTATGGCAGGCAGAGGTTTGATTATTTATTTATTATGACAGAGCATTATTTATGGCAAGCACTCATGACTCAAGCAGCCAAGAAGCAGCATGAGCCAGTAGGTATCACCAAGCTGTAAGTGGAAGGCTTGTGATGTTGATGCATGCATTAACACATTCATCCATACATAGCCCTATCCCTTAATTCATAAACTCAACTAATGTAGCATGCCACTTCCACGTCTCAACAACAGGGCAGTGTTTCACTGGACACTGGTACCACACTGCTATCACATTTTGTAAATGTATGGGGTCAGTGTGGTAGTGTTGGATAAACAACTTTGTTGATGTCTCCATGGAAGACAAATTTGACATGTGATAGCAGCGCGCGCAGCGCCGGCAAAGGCTGTAAGAGGGCCCCAGTGCGATATTTCAGCTCCAAAATAACACACTGATCCCGACCAGTCAGTGGAATGCCATACACAAGTCAGTCGAAAGTAGGTACCTCCTTGCACTTCCACATGCGCAGGGCTCCCTAGCGCTAGTTTCTTTATCGTTACATGGAAACTACATCAAAACGTGCACTTACAGACAAACACGACGCGCTGCTCTTTTAGCATGGGCAATTCTAAATGAAACTACTACAGGAATTAAGTGGAACACACGTACATGGCCAATCAGAGCCGCCCACTGACGAACAAGCACATTTCCAAGCGATTTGAGAAATCAGCAATAGGACGAAGACCCTAACCACATCCACTCACCTCTCACGACCGGAAAAGGAAGGTTAAGAGCTGTATGTTTGGTAGTGCTAAATTTAGAGTCGAACTGCATTTTGTTCTACAAATGTGCTATTTTCCTAATATTATGCATTTTTATTCGGAAAAATTTAGTTGTTGGTCAAAATTGGTTTTAAATTTCCAGTAGGTATTGACAATTGTTTTCCTCTTTTAGACTCCATTTAATATCCAAACCAGCACTATCCATCTTTTTGTTACTTGATGAAACTTTTGGGACATTCGATGTTTTGCAAAGGAACATTGATCGTTAGCAATATTTAGCATCAATTATCACGTAAGCTTTTCTTTTAATCGACTGCTTATGGAAAAAATAGGCCTTCAATTTTACTCTTTTATTGTAAACTTATATTAACCGTAGTGAAACCATGGTAACCGTCGCGCATGCGCATAGGGGTACCAGGTGATTTGTAAACATGGCGAGAATGTGAGTCGTGTATGGGGAGAGTGCTGGTGTTGTGGACGATTGTGTGAGATTTAGAGCCTCTACGCCGAAAAACTTCGTTGCTGCCGTAAGTCGAAGGATAGATGTGTCCGGCAGTGATGAAAGAACATGGCAGAGCCAAAAACTGCGGTACTTCTCAGTGCTCCAAAGTCAGCTGGTAGTGAACAGAAGAGCAAGAAACCTGCCAGAAGTTTACGGTTTGAGCTTACCCTTCAGGAAACCACCAAGGAAACTTACTCGGAGTTTAGCTACTTGGATCTAGTATCCAAAGAAAAGGTCAGTGTGGCGCGAAAAGTTTTCTGCGTCCAATGATGTGTGCTATGGTGCCACAGTGCAATGTTGCTTGGTGTTGGGTTTATTTTTCCTCTATTGCTACATGGTTTCTGGTATATCTATGGTGATCCTGTGTCCCTGCTCCATGGCAGCCAGAGCAGCCATGTTTTTCACTTGGTTGTGGAGTGGGAGAGCAGTGGGCATACTGTGGAATGTGGGCCAAATTGGGTTGTAATGGATGGGCTCTGTTTTGTCATGTTGACAATTTAAATTGCAATGCTAACCTGCCTTTCTATTGCAGCAGTATCTATATTTTATTAAACCATGCACCTCATATTGTGAGGCTTCACCTGGTGCTGCCACTGGCTGCTTAAATACTACCTATAGAATCTCTGCAATTTGGAAAGCACTGAACCTTATGTCAATCACAATGCCTCATTTTTAATGCTTACCCTACTAGAAGAAATTCATTGTTCATGCTTTTCATATATAATTAATGAATTCAGGACTTGTTTAATTTTAGCCATACTATGAGCCTTTATGTTTGGTCGTCTAGGACAAACACTTAATTAACATTACTGAGTTGACCTGACCTGTCCTGAACCCACCCACTCGGTGCTTTTCTGGCTGTCAGTATTTCCAATCAGACCCAGCTCCCATCTGTGATCGATCCCGCAGCCGCGGTGGCCCGCCGGACACCGTCGCCTGTCCCTCTGTTCCCGCCTGGGGGCCGACCGGTACTGCCGTCTGACCGTCACCGTCACCGGTCTGGGATGGTCAGACAGACGATCAAGCCGACTTTCTCTGTGGCCGCGCGGTGTGCAGCTCCCAGGAACGGTGTGGTGCTGTTGAACCGAGTGGGACCGAGCTCAGAGCCGGCGGGCCGCCACCGGACGTCGCTCGGCGGGAGAGAAGTGACCGGGTGGCGGTAAAACCTGGCGCGCTCGGCCGCCGGCCCGCTGGCGGGTGTCGCCGTGTGCAGGTCACGTGACCGGCCGGGGCGGTGCCGCCGGGTGTGATCGGTGGTGGCGGCGAGTGACGGACGGCGGACGGGCTGGGTCAGCGGAGGGTGCCGCTCGCTCGGACCGGGTCGCCGGGTGCAGGGCCATTATCGATCGTACCGACCCGGTCATGGGAGAGCTGCCACGCGGCGGGGGCGGGGCCTCGGCGGCGGGGGCGGAGCGTGGCACGCCCGCCGGCGGTCGTGGGAGCCGCCGCCGGTACGATCGTGTGCGGCGCGCCGCGCGCGGTCGGATGGCGGGCGGGCGTAGAGGGACAAAGGTGCCCCCCCTCTCCGTGACCGGAGCCGTCGGCCGGCCGGAGGGGGGGGGGGGGTACGCCGCTCAGTGGGAACTGGCGGGTGACGTCATGGGTCTGGCGGCGGCGGCGGCGGGGAGGGGTGGGAGGGGAAGGCCGGTCAGCTGATCGGCGGCCGTAGCGGGCTGGCGGCCGGCGCCCGGAGGTGTGCGCTAGAGGGGGACGGGCGGAGGGCAGGGCAGGGAAGGAAGGGAGGGTGGTGACAGGTGTGCCAGTGTGCATCGTAACGACACGTGTCTGTCGTAGCTCAGTACAGATGACTTGTGCTTACTGAACGAATCCAAACGTCGCTCATCTTTCTGGGGTTTCGGATGATATTCTGCGGGGGGGGGGGTGCTGACTGAAAACCGGCGTGGACTTTTTGTGGGTGTAAAAATTGGATAATGGATTTCATGTTAAAAACAGCATTTTATTTCCATGCCAATCTAACCACTTCTCAGCCAATTGAAAGATTTCTCGAACGGATTCTACGATCACAAACTTGTTCCCTATTCGCTGTACCTCCGCCAACACACTTCATGTGCACCGTTTATCACATAAATAACAACATTAATTCAATTGTCCAGTTCCTCATTCCTGCAATCTACATTAATTATTGTAATATGACCTCGTTCGTCGGTGTGCAGTGTGGACTGTGGGGCGCCCGCCCGTCTCAATTGCTACCATAAGTGACTTTTTTTCTACAGGGTCATTCATTACTATCTCTTGGGAGTTGGTTTATGAACCAATGTCGGTGATTAAATGCCGATGTAATTAGTAGGATTTCGCTAATAATGCCTTGTTCATTGTTCACTGATCGGAATTCCCACACGGTCTCCGAATAGTTTTTTTTTTGTTTATTCTCACTGCCTTGGTAAGCCTTCTTAGTTCAATGAAATGCTCTCGTTATTTTCCACCCCCTATCGGTATCAGTTTGTTGGTGTTTTTATCTTCAGTGTCATGTTTTAACGCCCAACAGTGCCTGCCAACGATTGTCTGTTCGGTGCACAATTCACCTCCAGTGTATCAGTTATGATCTGGATGTCGGGTGGACGACTTCCCTCGTGCTGAAGTCATCTCCGGGCGACCGCTGCCTGTTCTAAATATCACCGGTACCTACCCCCGTTCTCGCGCGACAGGAGAAGCATGTGCGTCACAAGGTCAAGGCGAACGGCGTGCACCCGCCCGACGATCCGTTCGGGGACAGCGATGACAATGTCAAGGAGATTGCGCGACGCTTCGAGGAGAAATACGTGAGTCTCTGCCGGCGGAGACGGCCGGGTCTGAGCCCCTACAGTTTGGGGCGATGTATGTCCGTAATAGATCATGGAACAGATGGTACAGTGTGATGCAACTGGTTCGGTTTCCTGGAGAGCGCATGCCAACTTTTGATAACTTTAAAAATGTGATTGGATTTTGAGTAGTAGCACGGATGAAGCAAAATATTAAAGATTATTTTTGAAGGTAGGGTCCGCACTGCATCAGGGAACTTTTATTCCAGCAATATCCAGATCTATTCTATGATATTAATTACGTTTTGGATGTTTTTCCTTCGTAATCATGCGATCAATGTCGCGATGAAATAACTCGCACGGACAAATGTTTGGGTAGACGACCCTCACCTCGGACCAGGTAGCTTTAATCGTTGAACGGTGCCAGTCAGCTGATACTGAGTGGCCTGTGTTGTGTCTACCTCTCGACGGAAAACCAGACTACTGTTTACCCGCGCTGGTAGGCGGAGCTGGTCAGACGTAGCGACTGGATTGATAGTGCTCCTGACAGCTCAGCTTTGATACACTGGTGTGCCTGTAAACAACTGCTGTCCCCATGCCATATTCTCCGTTTTAAATGATAAACCCTAAAATTAGTACGACGTCTTACCCTCGTCCCACTGCTGTTTCACAGGTTCCTTCAACAAAACCTGACCCCTCTCCTATCGCTGTTTTCTCAGGGCACCGGTGACGGTATGCAGCGTAAGAAGCACCGTGATGTGTCGGAGCTGGGCCAGGGGTACGACGAGAACGACCCCTTCATCGACAACTCGGACGTGGTTAGTGTCCAATACACAGTCTCTGTTGGTCAGTGGACTACTCGGTATTTTACTGAGTTAGCTGTTGTAACTGTGGATGTATTTATTTGACATTGGTCATAGCGGAATTTTTATGTGTCGAATGGTTGAGAGTGCCAATGGGTCTTATTGTAGGGGCAGTTGGCAATTCTGCTGCTATAATGCCTATAGCCTAACATAAGTGCAAGTGCATAGGTATGAAAACTTACATAACGTCAAATTAAACCCAACCTATTGTGCCAACAGCTAAGAAGTGCTTTGACCCGAGTGACCTAACCTGGGTGACCTGGCCTAGTGACCTGACCTGCGTAATATCTCCTTCGACAGCACGAGGAGGACCTGCCGTCCAACCAGCGTCCTGAGTTCGGCGGGTTCTACATCAACCGCGGTGCCCTGCGGCTGGAGCTGATTGATGGCGCCGACCCGGGCCGGCCGCCGCCCGCCAGACGGAAACGGGTCAGTGGAGCCGGGAAGGGGACCACCTCCGGGAGCCTGAGGTGGTATAGGGTCAACACAGCGGACATTGGACACTGGGACAGTCTGTTGGTGTTTTGATTGTTCTTTTACAGGAACATCAGGTAATAAATTTAGTGGTGTCTGGACTTTCGATTGGCTAATATTTGTGGATTTGATTTAAGGCCGCCCCACACTGGACCTCGCATGCGGGTTGCGAGTTTGCGGGTTTTGAGTTTGAGGGCATAATACTAATTCATAGAGTGATTAGACCGTTCCCTTATGGTAACTTCATGAATGCAATGAAGCCGGTACACCTTCAGAAAAATTTCGCAATACCAGTGCAACCAACCAAAATTCGACTTCAACGAAAACCCCGCAAACCTCGCAGAACTCGCAGACCTCGCAGCGGGGAAAATCTAAAGCTGACTCAAAATCAACTTTTGGAATGCGATGCAAGTTGGCTCGCATGCTAAAAACATGCAGACTCGCTTGTTAGATGGTATTGTGGGTCACTCAGCTTAGATTGTATTATTTGATTTGAAAGAAACCCGAAAAACCAAAAACTCGCAACCCGCATGCGAGGTCCAGTGTGGGGCGGCCTTCGCCCCAGTGGGGGGGGGGGCATATGTTACCACCCTGTCGCGTTTTTGGCGTGTGAATAAAAAACCGCGGCGCATAGCGCCGCGCCGCTTGGGGTAGCTTTTAGTACATCAATTTTGGACAATGTGTGAAATTTTTGACCCCAGGTCATGTCAGGTCAGGTCACCAGGTCAAGTTAACTGACCAAGCCTAAAACAAAGTTTGCAATCATGTCCAGCTTGCAGTGTTTGTCAGAAAGGTTTTAAACTTGGTGTAGAGGTGGCAAAAGATGAAAATTTTGGGAACCAGACTCGAACCAGACCCGGCTGGACATTTCTGGAACCAGTCGGACCCGGTCTTAGTTGGAATCGGAACCAGTTGGACCCGTTCCCCAAAAGTCAATTAATACAAACTACTTGTGGGTATCATTAGTTGCATCATGTAAAACAGCCTTTTCCCACTGGGAATACTCGTGAGCTACTGTGTGCAAAGAAACATTCACTTCATTCACTTCATATTTTGCAATAATGTGCAGTGTGCAAGATGTATAGTTAATGTTAGGACCCGGTTGGACCCGTCAGAAAATTTCCAGGAACCGGTCTGGACCCATATGGGTCCAGACTGGTTCTTTGGACCGGGTCCTCGGGTCCACATTTTGCCACCTCTAACTTGGTGGATTGCATGATGTTATGAGCGCCTACAATTTGTATATCTCCGATTTTTTATATCTGTGACCTAAGGCCAGGTCAGTGGCGTGACTTTTCCATTACAAGTCATTGGAGAAAAATGAAAATGCCTCTAGATCCGTGTGTACGCAAAGGAACAGTCCAAATATTTCAGAATCACAATGATTTGGACCACCCGTGATGACCAAGGTGTCATTTTTGCTGATAGCCTCTAGAAAGGTCATCCGAGGTCATTTGAGGCTACAAACAGATTTTTGCCAATAACTCGCGATTGGAAAGAGATAGAACGCTGGAGATGGTCTCATTGTGTTTGTCTTGTTGAGACGCATCGATTGATATGCAACATGACCTTTTCCGGCCAGGTCATGACCTTGACCTGAGGTCAAATTTTCAAGTTGACCTTTCAAGGTCAAATTATAGTTCATTCGACGCGTCTCGGCGAGAGGAACACGATTCTGGCAATAAAAATGTCGTGGCTTTTTGTAATCGAAAGTTATTGTCGAAAAACACTTTTCGTAAAAACAGCTATTTTTGGAGTTTTTGCCCTCTGGAGGCTAAACCGTTGACCTGAGGTCAATTTTGATAATGACTTTATCAAAAGAAGAGTTCAAAAGCTATCGATTGCTTTTCCATGCGTTTTTCTAGCTACCATTGATCCTGAGAAAACGGCATATTTTCTGAAAAATATAATGACCATTGGCAGATTTTGACCTTTGATGACCTCTGGTGACCCCAATATTGCTCTAAGATAAAAAATGACTGAAATACTTTCAAACGTACACATTGAGAGCTATCGACTGCTTTTTACCGCGTCTTTCTAGCCCTCTTAGTTTTTGAGTTAGAGGTGGGTGGTAACATATGCCCCCCCCTCACTAGGGCGAAGTTGGCTGAGACCGCCACTGGGGCGCGGGTTAAGCTAGGTACTCTGTGATTTCATTAATTCTGCCGGGCACAAGCGGCGTATGGGTGTTTTGTGTTGTAAAGCTATCAACAGCAGTGCGTAGTGCACTGTAGCTGCGGCGGTGTGTTTTCCGCCGCTGCCCGTCTGCATGGTGAGCATGTGCGTGTACACCTGTGAATGGCGCGGTTGGTAGCGGCCGATGCTGACACCCCTCCCCCCCCCCCCCCTCCCGGCCAGGTGCGCCGGCTGAGCTCGGACGCAGACGACGACGTCACCACTGGCGAGGAGCAGGAGCCCGGTGTGAAGCGGCCGCGAAAGAGGCTCGGCCGGCCGCCCAAGAAGGACCCCAGCCTGCTACAGAAGAAGAAACGACGCGCCATCGACGGCCTGCTCAAGAAGAAGCCGTCGCTGACAGTCAAGGAGCTGCTGGAGCAGAAGAAGGCGCACAGAGAGCTGCAGCGGGCCGCCGAGACGCCGCCCCCGGCTCAGCCACCGGCGGCCGCGGCAGAACCGGCGGCGGAGACCGTCAATGGTAAGCTGGGATTTGTGGATTTTATTCGGCATGATCGAGTATGATCTAGAGTACTGATTATGAGACTAGAGTATGATCGAGTAAACCATTTATATGACCCCATAAACGATCAAATGTCCTCGCTAATCCAGTTAAAGTCAGGGCACGCTTATATTGGACTGGAACTCATGATGCGCGGTGGGCGCGGATTCAGATGTGGGCTTTTTGGGATGTAATGATTAATGTGTGGAGTGGAGTGCCGTGGACAGCTGCTGGTGGGTGTCGGGCTAGGGGAGACGGCGGGCTGTACGGTCTGCTGCGCGGCGTCTTGGTGTTATTTTTGTCAACTTAAGCGGAGGTGAACGGCCGTTGCTTGAGCGAACACCACTGAAAGGGTCATTTCCGTTGTTGGGATTGCGAGGTTGCGAGGCATGGACCGAAATAACGCAGTGCGGGTAGTCGAGCGTCAGAAAGTCGGTGCCTTGATTTATGAGGTCACCGTGCTCCTGCTGTGGACGCTACCCGTTCCAAAGCTGCCTGCTGCAGTAATTGAGGTGTCAGGTCGACAGGGAATCACCCGTTCTGTGATTTTCCCGACGGATTAATGTGTCCTTCCCTGTCTTTTCCCTCATTCTCTGTCTGCATCCCACGTCTTCCAGTGACCATATCCATACTTGAATTATAAACTGACGCGTATCTTCTCTCCTTCCAGCCGCGGAGGCCCCCACGAATGGCACCGCCCAGACCAACGGTCATGACGGCTCGCGCGACTCGATGGACGAGACGATCGCCCACGTTGTGGCGGCGGCGGCGCGCCAGGCCGGCTCGTCGCCGGCGACAGGGGGTGCCGAGCGGTCGTCACCGCCGCCCCCGCCCGCCGCCAGGAAGGTCTCGTCATCGTCCAACAGTGAGTTGAATCAGCCAAGAGTGTATGCAGGGCTAATGTTACTCAGCGCTGGTTTTATAACGTCAACAGTCGATGTCTTGAAAATTATGCTCAGTTTTCAGTCATAACTACTTACTTTTCCTTTTTCACACCGCTTTCGTGACCGACTTTTTAGCCAGCCCTAAGCCCATTGCCGGCCGGCTTTATTGCTGGGCCACCTGGGAACATCCCGAAGACCAGCCTTATTACAATTGACCACTTCTCCTCTGCCCACAGCCAACAATTCGTCCAGTAACAGCGGCGGCGACAGCAGCAGCAGCGACGACAGCAGCGGTGACGACAGCAGCAGCAGCTCGGACGAGGAGGAGGGCGCCGAGCCGGAGGGAACCGAGGGAGAGCCGGAGCCGGAGCCGGAGCGGTGCCGCCGCCCCTCCGAGGACGACCTGCCGCACCTGACTCCGGAGCTGGCGCAGCTCGTCACCGCCATCAAGGCGGCCGCCGAGCTGGCCGGTCGCAGTGGAGAGGGAAAGATGAAGTTCTTCACGCCCGAGGTCAACAAGATGCTGCTCAAGTGAGTCGGGTGGGAGGGATAGCTAGGTTGACTGGTGAGACTTGGTGTTCGGAAACTGAGTCTTTTTAGATGTTGAATTGCAGTTGTTGAGTGATGATGTAGCAGTACTTTCATATGCCAGTATATCAGCTCAGCAACCGATGCGGTGCCACAGGACCCGGAAGCACGTCTCAATGCCTTGGCCATTCCTGTACCCGTCCGTTGATGTATCGAGCTGTTTCGATCCAGGGAATCAGTATATTAGCTCACCGCTCCCCTCCCTTCGCATTTGCCTCATTATCGACTTGGTATTGACCGACCCAGGGGCTGGACGCTGGGGTCGCTAAGTGTATCAACCCACCTCCCTCCCCCTTTTTCCCATTGGCCTCATTATCGACGCAATACTGTCCGACCAAGGGACTCGAATAGCCATGTGTAGTAAACCTCCGTTTCCTCTTTCTCCTTCCGCCCAGTCATAGGTATCGATCTTATGCTGTTCGATCCAGGGATCAGGGACTGGAATCACCGCGTGTATTAACCCCCGTTCTCCCCGTCCCCTTCCGCTGCAGTATCGAGCTACGATGTCAGCAGGAGCTGCGGAGAAACGACCGGCAGGCGGTGTACCTACATCTGGCGGCCCACCTGCCCTGTGGTACCCAGACACTCATCAAACGGGCCAAACAGCTGGTACTGGATGAGGAGAAGACTGTCATACGGCGGCCGCTCAACAGGTCAGACGGGAGAGGGTATAGGTGGCTATGTGGCTAGACAGAGCGAGGGACGGCTCATGGTTCAAAATATTAGCCAGGCTCGGTAAGGTTTATTGTCTAGACAGTCTGAGTAAGGACGGCTCGATGGCAGATTTTCGAGCGGACCCGCTATATCCGCTGACTCCGGCATAGAACCCGGAAGGCGGTGTATAGTGTTTACTGTCTAACCATGGTTCGCTGCCGGGTGCCCCGTGCCGATGCCTCGTTCATGTGCTGCGCGACTGTTAACCTCTCGGCAGTGTGGTGTCTTGGGTCGTTAATCACAGTTATACCGCTGGTGCCACCGGAAATGCCTGCTCCGCGTTGCAGTATGCAGCTATCGCGTGAATGCCAACTGGTAGCAGGGTCAACGCGTCGCGATATCCCCTTCCGTCTGGTATACGACCTAATATCGAGACCGGGGCCTCTTGCTTTTGTGTATAATCGTATGCTGATGTTTGGCATGTCTTCTTTTGACAGGTTGAAGGAATCCATCGCAGCAACTATGCCCGGTCTCAAGGAGAGATATGCTGAGGACTGCAAAAAGGTCATGGAAGCCAAGTAAGTGACATTTTTTTGATACAATTTATGAAACGCTGCCCGTAGTTTCCTTCGAAACCCCATTACATTTTGCGATAGTTTAAGGTTACTTTTTGTCCGTTTCTCATGGGTGTAAAGTTATTTCCATATTTAACCTGAGCGTTGCATAAGATGTGAACAGCAGTATCGTCAGTCAAAAGACAGAAACCGTTCTGTTCGCGATGCCGCGTTGCCGTATGCTGGTCCAGTTGTTAAATTCGCCTTTTAGGCCGTATTCTGAGCTGTGCCTATTCTCTGCGCAGCCCCAACAATTACTGGGAGCTGTATTACCAATTTTGGTAAGAGCACACGCAGTGAACCTCTCAGAGAGAGGAAGGGAGTGGAGCTGCTTGGGTGTGGGTCGGTTATGGTGCTCCTCTTTACTCTGCCTGCTGGCGCCTCTTTGGTTTGTGTGTCTGGTGTGGGGTGCAACTCAGAGATGCAATATTTGATTTGCAGCCAAAATCAGGAGTGTCTACGGCGTTGGGCGACGAGTTTCGACGCGGTTTTTCGATTTTGGCGGCCGCTCTGTCGATGGACAGACTGGTGCCTCGATTCCTTATTTGCAGCGTTGCCGGACGTTCGTCAATATTGCATCTCTGTGACGGTTGTGGCGATGTGAGAGTGACTCTGTGTACTAACTGACACGCGGAGCACGGTGGAGGTTGAAGGAGGCGGGACGCCCACCAGCCGGTGTCCGTCCTTTTTTACTGCCACCGAGGGGTCCGGTAGGACCCGAGCTGGGCTAGAGCGTGACAGTGGCGACGGCACTGTGGACCGCTGATTGCCTCCGCCGCCACCGCTGCCACTACCGCCCTTGCCGCTGCTGGGCTGATGCTGCTGTAGCTTTCTCAAGTGAAGCAGTGTCTGTCTTAGCTGTAGCAGCCTAGCTTACTCGGTGGCACTCAGTAAATTAAATGCATCGAACAGTCTGTGCTCAGCTGAAGTGAACTTCCATCGTCACCCCTAACTACATTTCCGCAAGCTGCAGTTCATCGTCATCGTCATCGTCATAGTCATCGTCATCATCACCATCACCATCATCACCATGTTCATAATCGGGCTGCACGCTGTTCTTTGGGCCCTCAGTGTTGCACATAATACTGCCGGCGTGTGGGGACGTGTTCATATACTAGTCAGCTTTAGAATTCATAATAGAAGCTAGCGCTAGCAACAGATTGTGTGGTAGCTCAGAAGACTTGGCTCATAAGATTGGTGAAGAATCTTCAATATAGTGCCTAGGCTCTGATGTTGATACTCATAGTGGATATAACTTCCCACTTTTTTGAGAGAATGAATTCAACATAACTGTGCAATATGCAACACAATGTGACCCATGATCTTCGTTCACATATTCCTAGAATTTAAGCTGCATGCCACGATAGGCTCTGCTTGCAGTATATTTAATATTCGCCGTACCATACCCGGTATACCGTGCAGTATTTGACCCGCTCCGGCCGACAGGGAGCTGCCGATGCCCGACTCGAAGAAGGCCGAGCAGCCGGCCGGCGCGCCCGACGCCAAGCCGCCCGCCCTGCCCAGGAAACGGTTCCGCTGGAACGATACCACCAGGTGGAGTGAAATAAAGGGACTGGGCAGGGTGGGGGTAATCAGTGGGGCTCTATTGTGCGTCGACTGGATTGATTGGCCATTCTGCGCCTGGCAGGGGAGGGATGGTTTGGATGGGGTGGGTATTCAGTTGGCTGAACTGTGTAGAGTGTTTTGATGGTGTGTCTGTATTTAGTTTTAGCTTCATTCATTCATTCATTCATTCATTCATTCATTCATTCATTCATTTATTCATTCATTCATTCACTCATTCGTTGTCTCATTAAATTTCCAGCTCAAATCGGCACCTTCTCCCCTCTGACCTCCCCGCTCTCCGCTCACAGGGAGCACCTGCACCGTGTCATCGAGGTACGCGCCCACTCGTTCAAGATGCTCAAGAAGCGGCAGGGCTCTGTGGAGGAGTTCCTCAAGACGTTCCTGGACACGGACGTGCTGCCCCTCTGGGAGAAGGGCTGGATGACGGGCCGCGAGCTGATGAAGCGCTGCCTGCCCGTCTTCCAGGAGGAGATCAAGTGAGTTGGTGTGCTGTGTGCCGCCTGTTCCGGGCCCCGCTGGCTGCTCGGCCGGGGTGGGTGCGGTGAACACGGCTCGGTGGCTGGTGGTGGCGGTGCGGGAGTTGTGATATGTTTGCTGATGTGGATAATGGTATCAGGCGTTGTCATATTATCAGGGAAGGGCTCGCGGTGATCCTCAGGAAACCGGTACAAATTTATTGGTATCCTGGCGATCTAGTTCAAACGGGTGGTACAATGCCGCAATGCAATACAAATTAGCTGATTTCGGTGACAGTAGGTGTTCAGTGCGCTTCTTGTAAACTTATTATTTTTCATGTAATTCTTATGGACAATTGTTTATAATTCGGCCGAGCTCAATATATCTGAGGCCGGTGCTGATGTTGAATGCTTCTGATGTTGCACGCTTTTGTTTGTCTTGTCGTTGATTTTGAGCACTTTTTGCATGCCTGCATGCCGCATGTTATGGGTTCGGATGGGGAATGCTCTAATTCGGGCTGGGTTATCTGCTATGATGTTTGGTTTTTGGATGTTGTTTTGTGTGAGTGTGTATATACGAGTGCGCTCCCCGGAAAAAAAAAAATGAACTTGGTGGTGGTGGTATGAACTGTCCGGTGCTCAATGGCGTGGAACCCGAGCTTGCTTGCCTGTTTCCCTGGCATACTAATTTGATGTGAATGCGCCTCAAGTGCTGTTGTATTCTATGTAATTTCGATTGTATGTGTGAACGCATGTTTCTGACTTTAAATGAGCCTGCTTAACTTAATCGGAATACACCAGAGGCCTTGTCCTCAAAATAATATAATGGCCTGAACGCCACCAGCCCGCCGCCTTGTATTTCCAATACCCTTTTTTGTATGTTTGTTAAACCTTATCCTTTAAATGCTGCAAACCTGATCCTGAATATATGGTGAGATTAATGCCTGTTTGAATGGTGAGATTAGTTTGTCTCTGAAGCAATATATGTATTTTTTCGGTAAGCACGGTGAGCCCTCACGGAGGGGTGGCGGCCGTGTGTTGGCGGAGCCACCAAGCGGGCAACGGTAGTCGGGCCGGTATAAGACTGTCCATGGCCGCGTATTCAAGCCGGTATGAGACGGTCTACATAGGATAGTATGGCCGCGGTGTGTCGCCTCCCGCCGCGGCAGAGACGACCCCCGCGCCACCCCATCGCCAGTGTCGGCTATTGTGGCGTGGCGACCAAACACCTGTCGCGGCTGATACGTAGTCGGGCCGGTGGTGGAGTCAGATTTAGGACGACTGGGGGACGGCGGGGAGGGGGCTGCTCGAGAGGCACCCTTCAAACACTGGGTGACCTGATGAGCGGAAAATTCCATATGAAGATCCGCGGGGAACGTATGAAGGTCAGGGATGCCGAGCCGTGGAAATTTCAGACGGCTCCGGCTGCGGCTCCGCACCCCTGATGAAGGCAGGAGAACAAAGGCAGCAGTGCGAGAGTCGGCATCCGTTCCTGCGACTAGCTGATTGGTCTGTGGTCAGGTTTTGAGGTGCGGGAATCTTGAGGAACGGGAGCCCGACATACTACGGGGAACATAACCATAACACAACATTTGGTTACTTAATCATTGACGATCTTTAGGGCAGATGGCATGGCCGGTGATTGTCATTTGTACATCCACGAGAGTACGAGCAATGGACTAATATCACCTTCACTAGACGGGCTTCATGAGTCGTCTGATGTCGCACAAATTCTCCATTTCGCCTGGCCAGTTCAAATTGTCTAACATGACTCATTCAACACGAAAAACACTAGGTTAAGTCAAGCCCCAGACAGCTACTCGCGCTATTTGGCTCACCGATGAATGACCAGAAATGTCGCGTTATATGTCCATTGAGTCGCCGCAACTCTCTTTAATATCGTCTTGATGACTTTAAGCGTTGTGACGTTAGTTTGGCATGTCCCACTCCCAGCGAAGAAGTTCATTCAATCGGACTTACCATGATTTTCTGAAGCTGTGTTGAGGGTTGATTTCTGCTTCACGCTGCATGCATCACAACGTCTTGTGTGTCTGTAGGTCCGTCTCATTTTGCTTTCTGTTGCAAAAAAATCGTCTGACTTTCTGTTTGGCTGACCCTAGCGACCTGTGTGCCCGCAGGAAGAAGACCCGCCCCGGTATGAAGGTGACCGGCACTCCTCCGCGGAAGGTGGGACGTCCTCCCAGCGACTCCGGCTCCAGGCACGCAGCGCGCACGGCCTCGCCACGACCACGACCGACCAGTCCGGCGGCCAAGGCGGCCCGCGTCGCCTCCCCACAGCCGGCGCCGCCGCCTCCGGCCGCTGCCCGCATCCTGCCGAGCAGCCCTGACCGGCCGGCGGCCCCGGCTCCCGCTGCCGCACCGCCGGCGCCGGCGCCACCTCTAGCCGCCCCCGTCAAACGGGCAGCCTCTCCGAGTAAAACACCCACCACCGCCGGCCAGTCTGACCCGGGCAAGGCGCCGGCAGCCTCGGCGGCCAACGGGGCGTCACCTACCGCAACTGGCCCAACCCCCACGCCAGCCGCGGCGGCGGAGACCAAACTGCCTGCCGACGAGAAACCCGTGATGGTGGCCGGTCCTCCGCCACTCGACCAGCTCTGGAAGTCGTTCACGCCGTCTATGTCCGTGGAAATGATGGCGCTGCTGTTACAGGAGCAGATTCGAGAAATGCGCTCACATCTGGCACGGAAAATGGCCGATACTGGAGGCCAGAGCAGTCCAGAGATCGTCAGGTGGGTGGATGCCTAGATTGGAGAGAGTGAGTGAGGGAGGGCGCGGGTACCGGAGGACAGCAGTACTGAGGTCGTCAGGTAGTTAGAGGGAAGGGGAAGAAGAGAACGAGAGGGAAACACTACGCGTCGCGAATGTTGATGATATCGCACATGGGCATGTTTTGCCTGATGATTCTTCATTAGTTGACGGGTTCCGTGTTTGTCTGTTTACAGGTATAAGGCGGAGTTGAAACGGCTCCAGACTGCCTTTGATGACGCCACCAACTTACAACGAAAGACGATGAAGAAGAAGCGCAGTCCAAAGCCGGAGTCTGATAGCTCAAAGCCTTCGGGGCCCGGCCGCAAACCAGGCGAGAAGCGACCAAAGCACTCGCATCCCTCAAGCGGCGGATCTGAGCGGAGCTCTGCACCTCCAGCCGCCCATCAGGCCGCTCATCAGACGACCCGGCCTACCAGCCCGAAACACCGGCTCCAGAACGGTGGGACCCCGCCGGCGGCTGCGGCGGCGCCTTCTGCGCCCGCTGCCACCCCTCCCGCCGCGCCGGCCAGGGATCCGGCTGCAGCCAGTCCTGCCGTCACCTCTGCCCCGAGCGCCGTGCCCGCTGCGCCGGTGGCCGCGGCGGCGCCCCCTGCCGCAACAGTACCTCCGGTGGAAACTCCGGCGGTGACGTCAGGATTTCAGCTGGAGCTGGAGAAACTGCGGCAGGGGATGAGCAGCTCGGCTCAGCGTTCTCACGAGCAACGACAGCAGGAGGCGGCTGCCGCTGCTAATGCCTCCGCCGCCGCTGCCGCTGCTAACGCCTCATCTGCCGCTCCCGCCGCCACCCCCGCCGATCGGTCGCCACCGCGCCGCGCCAGTCTCAGTGGCGCCGGCGGGCCGCCGCTGCTGCCGTCCCCGGAGCAGCTGCGGGCCGCCGAGCCTCGCGCGCCGGCCGCGCCGCAGCAGCCCGCCGCCGACCGTCACCACAGCCCCAAGAAGATCCACCTGTATGGCAGATCTCAGAGCCAGCCGACGGCTGCGGCCGGGGTCGAGCCGACGGACGACGAGGCAGCGACAGCAGCCGCAGCTGCAACCGCCGCCGCGGAGGCAGAGAAAAAGAAACGCTTCCGGGAGATCAATGAAGCCGAAATGAACGACGCGGTGGCTTCCATCATGGGTGGCAGCGAGGCAGACTTCTCGCTGTGTGTGAGCCCGGAGCCGACGGTGGGCCGGCGACGCACCAGCTCGGAGTCTGGCACTCCGACCACGGCTGCGGCCGACCTGTCTGTGCGCCGGCCGAGCACGGACAGTCTGACGGAGCGGCTGGCGGCGCTGGACAGCGCCGGTGACGGCCGTGTATCAGCACCCTGGGAGGAGGAGGTGATAGGGGGACGGACTGTCGGGGGCGACCGCGGCGGCTCGGTGATCAGCAGAGGGGGCGGGGAGGACAGTGGTGTCAGGGACGAGGCGCCCGAGCGGGCCCGGACAGCCAGTGCGGACAGTGTGGGAGCGGCCGCCATGGATGCGATCCTGAGCGGTCGGCAGGCGAGCACGGACAGTATCACAAACAGTTTCTTCTCGCCGCTGACGGACGGGGAGCGCCGCCCCAGTGGTGAGTGCTGGTCGGAGCCGGCTGAGACCGCCAGAGCCGGCCGGCGCTCCAGTCTGACGGACGGTCGGGGCGGCGGAGACTCCCGCCGGCAGCCACCGGTGCCAGAGCCGCCCGCCGAGCCGCCGCCCCCGCCGCCGCCCCCGCCCCAGCCGCCCCCGCCGCCGCCCGAGCCGCCCGCCGACCAGGGTCTGGACCTGTCTGGTGGCGGTGGCCAGCTGAACGAGGAGCTCGACTGTGTGATCAAGGACCTGATGAGCTTCAACCAGCTGAAGGAGGCAGCCTCTCCGCCGGCACGCAGCAGCATTCTCCAGCTGGCGGCGCGCCAGGCGGACATTTTCTCCCCGGAGGGCACGTCAGTGGGCTCGCCGTTCAGTGGCACCCATTCGTCGCCGTTCTCGCCGGAGATGCAGCCAGTATCGCCGGCACGATCTGTGGCCACCAATCTTCAGAGCGGTTTTGCGCCGTCCCGTTCTGCGGTTCTGGCAGCGTTTGAGGGCGGCTCGGCGCCTCAGCAGCCGACCCGTCAGCAGCCGCAGCAGCAGCAGCCGGCTGTATCCCGCTCAGCCTTCAGTCCGGACCCGTACGGCGGCGGACACCGGCCGGGTGGCGGCGGGGCCCGCGCCGATCCGGCGCCCCGCTCCAGGATTGAGCAGGCCGAGGGTCTGATGGCGCACTTTGCGCCGCGCGCTGACCCGGCGCCGCCGCCGCCGGCGCCCAACCCGCCGTCACCGGCCTCGCCACACCACCGCCCGCCGGTGTTCGCGCAGCACGGCGTGGGCCGCGCGGACCCCCAGCTGACGGGTGGGTTCGGCTCGAGACATGAGCAGGCGGTCAGCCAACAAAGCGGGCGGCGGGACTCCACCTTCAGTCAGCCCAGCCCCAGGCAAGAACCGCACTTCAACCAGCCCAGTCCGAGGCAAGAACCTCATTTCAGTCAGCCGAGCCCGCGACAAGAACCTCACTTCAGCCAGCCAAGTCCGCGGCAGGAGCCACACTTCAGCCAACCCAGTGCACGGCAGGAGTCGCATTTTAGCCAGCCCAGTGCTCGCCAAGAGACGCATTTCAGCCATCGCAGTCCGCGGCAGGAGCCGCAGCTTATTCAGAGGAGTCCGCGGCAAGAGCCTCATGCGGGCCATCCGAGTCCACGGCAGGAGTCCTACATGAACCAGCCCAGTCCCCGCCAGGATCCCCACTTGAATCACCCGAGTCCCCGGCAAGATCATCATTTGAACCATCCCAGTCCCCGCCAGGATTCCCATATGAATCACCCTAGTCCCCGTCAGGACCATCATTTGAATCATCCTAGTCCTCGCCAAGATCATCATTTGAATCATCCCAGCCCTCGGCAGGATTCCCATTTGAATCACCCCAGTCCTCGGCAGGAGCCCCACCTTTCTCACCAGGGACTCCGCCAGGACCCCCATCTCACCCATCAGAGCTCCCGTCAGGACCCCCACCTGCTCTCTCACCAGAGTCCCCGCCAGGAGAGTCGCCTTTCCCGCTCCGACTCTCAGCTCTCACATGGCTCGCCACGACAGGAGCCACCACTGGGACTCAGCTCACGGCGGGACTCGTTCGGTCAGTCGACTCTCCGCCCAGAGTCGCTCCCGAGTCAGTCCGGCGGCCGGCGTGACTCCCTGAGTCAGCCCACCTCCAGACATGACCCCGCCCTTGGTCATCTGTCTCGAGATCTCGGCTCGGCGTCGTCACGTCACGACCTGCTCGGTCACGCCGTGTCTCGTCACGATTCGGCCGCCTCCCGGACCGACCCCCTGGCCCAGCTGAGCCAGGCGGCAGGCCGCGCGCAGCCCCACTACCCGGGTGTATCTGCCGGGTCGGCGGGCCGCCGCAGCTCGCTGCCCCGTCAGGACTCGGCCCCAACCAGCGGTCAGTCGGGACTGTACGCGGCTGGTGAGCCGGCGAGGGATGTGCTCAGTGCAGCGCTGAGTGCGGCGCTCGGCGGCCGGCCGGCAGCCCCGGCGGCGGCGCGGCCGGCACCGCAGCAGCAGCAGCAGCGACGGATTGTGGACGGCTCCCCAGCCGCGCCAGAGAGGAGTAGTGCGGCAGCGAGTGCTGCTCAGCGGATGCCTTCGTACTACACTGCGGACGGTGAGTTGGTCCGCTGGAGTGTCGGACGAGGGAGAGCAATGACATAAACACGTCAACACATTGCTTCGGTCACGGTCATGAGACAATATATGGCAGGCGCATATCTCCCGCTCCGTGATTTGGAGATAGGTTGTTATTTCAATGCGTTGGGCCTTGCTACATGACATTTTTGAACCAATATGCTGCACTTAAGACGTTTTTGTCTACGGTTCTCACTGATCGGCTTTCTTACTCCGTATACGCTCGACGATAGCGGCCAATCTAACGTCCTCCGTCTTCCCACCTGACGTTGCCCGTGTCTCCTCCGCAGTGTCCCCTCGGCGTCCGTCGGCTTCCGACGCGCTGCTGGCCGGCCGGACGGGCGTCGTCCCTTCCTCGGCCGCGGCGGCGGCACTGCTCTCCCAGCAGCGCGACTATGCAGCGGCCGGTCTGCTGCCGCAGTTCCAGACGGCGGTCACCTCGCAGCCGCAGCAGTTCCGAGGCGCGGCTGCACTGCCAGATCTGGTCAGTAGGGGAGTGGGGTGGGAATTTCAGCCTGCTTATGGCAGTGTTTCATTTTTCAGCCTTTTTGGTGGCAAATCACACCTAATGGGGAAAATATTTTCATCCCTAAAATATGAATGACCGACTTTACTTCATCTCTGAAAAGAGTTTCATGTATTCCCAACAGCCAGTTCACTTGTCACTTGACAGTTGATGCACCCGCATCCTTTTGTTCCACACCCTGTCAAGATCCTGACATGAAATCCTGGTTTATCAGTTAGCATAAAAATTGGCATTACACCATTTTACAAAAATACTGCAGTTATTTTCCTTCTTTTTTTCTCATCCTAGGTTTTTTTTCTTCATCGGCACACCCAACCAATATCCAATTTTAGAACACTGGGTGACATTCGTTCCCTAGCGATGGTGTTTTATATTCTTTTGTATAGGTGGCTTTGTGCTGAGCTGGGGGTGCCCGGGCGCAGCAAATCCGCCGCCGCCCTAGCGGTGACCTTGACCTCCGCCGTCTGTTGCGGCTCCAAAGCCAAGCGGGTGTGGAATTGGGAGAGCTCGGGCAGCCCCAATCTTGGCACAAAGTTCCACCTATGTATTTTTGTGTGTATGCTCAACCAGAAATGCGAACTAACCAGGTCATCCTCGAATGCCACTTCACATATTCGTTCGCTGGAACCCAGTGCGCCCTGTCTTGACCGTTACTTACCATGTCTCTCGCTCCTTTCAGTCTCGCCAGCCGTCGGGCCTGTACCACCAGCAGTTCCTGGACCAATTGGGAGAGTATGGCGCCCAGCACCTCAGTCAGGCCGGTACGTGGCGAGAGAGATAAACGGTCAGCTGCTTGCACACGTTCTAAACTCAGTCTGCATTTGCAACCTATCTTGCCAAATGCTGTAACCATACCCGAGTTGCCCAACTACCATGCCAGACTGTGATGGCTGTTACCGTAACCATGGCAACAGCTTTGTTTGACAGTGACTTGTCGCCTGTTCCAGACCAGCTGCGTCGGCGGCAGCGGTTGCAGCAGGAGCAGCAGCAGCAGCAGCGGCAGCAGTACCCGTTCTGACGCTCCCCGCGGCGCCTCCTGCCTGTACAGTATGTCCGTGTGTGTGTGTGAGCCGACCAGACAGTTTTTGAACGTGTGTAGCCGGCCGCGTCGGCCGCAGCCCAGTGCCAGCCGCGGCGGGAAGGGAGGGCCCGGTACGCCCACCCGCCGTCCGCCATCCCTGCGTCATCTATACAACTGTTTATACATGATGCAATACATGTTATTTTGTTGCAAAACAATCCCGACTCTGAATTGGATGGATCTAGAGTGGGTAATTCATCGACCTCAGTTTCGTGGAACACGGAATAGGCGGCCCTCACGCTTCTGGAGTTAGAACTAAAACTATCAGTTCATCACACACAGCATTTATTAAATATCACATGAGATTTGTGCCGCTTCACAGTCTCAATGGCAGCTTTACACATATCGTCACTACATATCTAGACAAATACTTGCTTCTGAGTGGTCCAAATAAATGGCGTGACACAGACGGTATGCACAGAACAAAAACAATGACCTGTTGAGTGTTGAGCCAGCCAACAGACGGCAGTGTTGCGGTTCAGTTAGCGACGACACCTGCTTCGACGATTCGATACGCTTAGCGTCGCACGATGGACTCGATTACTTCTCGCCTTCTCGGCGTCATGGACCAATGATACTCGAACTAGGCGATGGGCATGTCGTTTCATTCAGACATGAGACACGTTGCGCAGTTACAAAAGAATTCGCTCACCATTTACTCTAGACTACTCGTCATAAGGTAATGACTGACGGTCACCCACAAGACACAAGCATTCCGACCCTCCCATCCCCCACACATCACAAAAGACGTTCCTCAAGTGCAACAGTCATTTAGAGATTTCAGGCACCCACGACCTCAGACGAGCTCATGCTCGGTAAACTCATCATAATCTACGAAGTCTCACAAATGCGTCTGTCTTCACGTTTGTCCGTCTCCACAGCCAAAGCTACCTCATCAAGCCTCCGAAACATACATTAGCCATGGTCCCTTCCTTTCCAACATCCCCAGTCCCCACCTCCCCCCTGCGAACCCTCCCCCCCTCAGGGTGTCACCAGCTGGTCGTGGCTGCGCTGGTGGAACACGAACAGTACCCCGGCGTCCCAGGCGGCCCTCAGCAGCGGGTCGGGCACGCGCCGGCGGCCGGCGGCGGCCGCGTGGTGCCACTGGGACAGGTCGCCGTTACAGGTGGCGTCGTCGGGCGGCGGGCGGAACTGGGTACCGTTCACGCATCGGGTGCACTTCAACCTGGAGAGGGAGGGAGCGGTCAGTCGGCCGTAAAGCGATGATTTGTGCATGGCTAGAGGAAGCAGAGTAGCGGCAAATATAGATAAGACTGCTGATACTATACTCTGTTCCGTTTCAAGCTTGCAGCCGAAGTGTCCTGCTGAAAGCAGTGCGTGAATTCCGTATATAACTACAGCTCTTACATTTCAAGACGAAATTCTTGAGCGGAGGAGCGATCTGCCGAAGAAACTCCGACCGCAAGCTTGAGTTGGAACAGACTATAGGCCCACAACTGGAATGCAGCCATCACAGCTGAAATATTCACCGATGACTTACGGCAAAGCCTGAAACATGATTTCATGACAGCCGGACCTTCGATTTGTGAAAGTCTCACGAACGCTGTAATCCCAGCCTGGATAGCCCACGGCCGTCCGTGACCTATGCCATGTGCATCAGGAGTCCGGACCGACCGTCACCTCTCGCTCACCTGTCGTGCGTATCACAGATGGTGTCCTCGCGTTTGAAGAGCTCCTTCAGCTCCGCCACGCTGAACAGTCTCTGTACGTCTTCCTCGTTATCAACGACACACGAGCTGAGCGCCTTCTTGTGCGTCTGACGCTGGAACATCTTCTCCTCGATGGTGCCCGCCTGACAGCAGTAACGATTGAGGTCCGTCAGATCGAGAAAGTCATGTTGAGGTTGGGGAAAATGCTACAGGGGCTGCATGTCGAACCACTTTACCATGATGCCGCATACGACAATGACTATGAGTATTGATTTACGCCGTCCCAGGTGGATCAGTTTATGTACTACCGAAGCAAATACGCCTGGACTTAATTAAACATCGGCGCTCGACATGCAACACAGGAAAATGCAGCCTGTTATGGACACATTGAACGTCGGCTCTATGCTCACCGCCAGCAGTCTGTAGACGAAGCAGGGCTTCTTCTGTCCGTCTCTCCAGACGCGCGCCATGGCCTGGTCGTCGTTGGCCGGGTTCCAGTCGGGGTCGAACATCACCAGGCGGTTGGCGCCGATCAGGTTCAGCCCACAGCCGCCCGCCTTGCTGCTCAGCATGAAGATAAACTCGGGAGACGAGGGGTCGTTAAACCGGTCCACTATCTGGAAACGGGCAGAGCGGGATTGGCGGTCGTGGGGAGGAAGCCGGAAAATTGGTAAAATATATTATCGAACTAACCAAGAGAGTGCAAAGATCAATGATAATTATTGGACCTTAGGGCGTTTCGCCAGTTGCCCTATGCTCCAACACCGACAGTAGCGTCAAAACCCAGTCATATAGCTTGTGTGGCGATACCACCAACACAAACGACCTCAAACAAATATGTATCTAACCCTTGTGGGGCGATCGCCCACCTTGGCGCGTTTTTTGATGGTCATGCTGCCGTCGAGCCGGACGAAGCAGTAGCTGCGCATCTGGCAGAGGGTCTCGAACAGGTCGAGTGTCTGCGTGTAGTTGGAGACGAGCACCACCTTGTCGCTGGTCTGCGTCTTCACCAGGGCCAGCAGGTAGTCCAGCACCGACACCTTGCCGGAGAGCTCCGGACGGACGCGTCTAGTGGACACAGGGAGGGGGTATTAGACACATCAGAAGACACAGACACCCTGCCGGACAACTCCGGACGGACTCGCCTGGAGGACAGGGGCGGGTAGATATTAGAGGACAAAGACACCCTGCCGGACAGGTCCGGACGGACTCTCCTGGAGGACAGGGGCGGGTAGATATTGACACAGACACCCAGCTGCCGGACAGCTCCGGACGGACTCGTCTGGCGGACAGGCGGGTGCGGACTGCGGAATTTCAGATACGAGTGGACGCGGACACGCCTGGTGGACACAGGAGGGGAGAATGATATACTGTGGTGGTGTTTGCAGGTTAGTCATTCAGTTGCTTCACGGGATGCCCCTACTTTGTAACCTATACGGACCTTGCTAGTTTCCGACAGCCTCTAATATCGCGAGTCCGTCTGGGCAGGACTGTCATCCCTGACAAACTCACGGAGTATCTGTCTGAGTTCGTCTTGACTCTCTAACTCACTCTGTCGAGTGTCCGTCTGACTGTCTGAGTTAGCTCTGCCTCCCGAGTCCCCGACTCACTTTGTCGAGTGTCCGTCTGGATAGAGCTGCAGCAGATGGCGCAGCTCACTGCCCGGCTCAGTGACCTTCTCGTAGATCAGGTCCGGGTGGTTGCACAGCTTCTTCAGACTGGTGATGGCGGACAGCGCCGACTGAGTCGATTTGCCGTGACCTGGCGGTGCAGAAAAGTGAAATGATAGGCTAGAATCGCTACCAGCCCGCGCCATTTAATCCACTCCACATTCTTAGGCATAGGTAACGATTTTTGCTGAACTGGAGGTGGCCAAGCTCTCCCAATTCAACTCCGGCTTGACTTTTTGAGCCATAACAGACGGTGCGGGTCAAGGTCACTGCTAGGGTCGCGGAGGATCTGTAGTGTACGGGCACCCGCAACTCAGCAGAAATCGACACTTATGTTTATAAGCATTCGCGACTCGCGGTGGTAGTCAGTTTTAGTTTCAGACAAGCACTGACCCTCGTATTATCTAAATAATAGAGCTAAGTAAGTCCATACATCAGTGTCAATCGACGCAGAAGTCACGCCCAAATCACGACTCTCTCCCCGCGCATCGTTATCTGCATCTCAGCACCCTGTACGTACCGCTGCCCTTCTGTCCCATCAGACTCCGACGCACGGCGTCCGAGCGTATAAAGGCGTCATAGAGCGCCAGTTGGCAGTCGGTGAGACGACAGGACACCACCAGCTCCTGTTTCACCGGCAGGTACTTGGAGAGAATCGCTGCCGTGCGGCGGATGATACACCTGAGGGCAGCGACAGTTGCATGTCAGTCATGGTGAAAACGCTTCACTGATAGAGAAAATAAACCGGAAAATGGCTGATTGGTCGTTTGATGATTGACGGTTGATCCGATGTCAATGATCGTCGGGAAAATTGGGTAGATGCTCGAAGAGCGCCTTTTTGCTATCAGTCAACGAAATGAGCATAATACAACCCCAAAAGCCAAGCAGCTTCTGTAATTAGGATTCGATCCCAGATATTTGTGTCAAGATGGTAAGATTACTGTGTCATAGCTACCATAACAGATGCAGAGAACTCATTTGATTTCTTTGAATAAGAATGCCTATCCTTTGAAAACTGCTCGTAAGCCACCCCACCTAAAATATCCTTTCCTCTACCGACCGCCTCCCAGTCTCGCCCACCTGTTGACGATAGACAGCAGCTCCTGGAGGCGCTCGTTGCCCTTCTTATGCTCGTCATCGGTGGCGTCAGCATCACGACCCCGCAGGATCGGCGTCTCGAACTTACGCTTAAACTCGCTCGCAGTGCCCAGAATGCCCTGTGGAGGGACGAAGAGGGTCGAGAGAGGTCGCTGTGAAAGGCTCCAACATGCGAGTGAGAATTGGAGATATCACCAGCCATATGCCGCGTCGGTCAGCCGTACTATGCTGTCGCCACTATGGTCGCCACACCCACTCACTGTCGCATTATGTTATCGCCGTTTGTTTATCGGGGTTTCGCCAAACCAAGAGCCATCTGCTGCTCGTGACACATCAAGTGCAATATGCTGTCGCCACACCCAGCCTTACCTCATTGACGAAGTGCACCAGACTGAAGTACTCGAGCAGATCGTTCTGGATGGGTGTGCCGGAGAGCAGGACACGCCGTCGGCAGTTGAGACTCATCAGTGCCGAGTACGTCTGGTTCTCGTGGTTTTTCAGACGGTGACCCTATTGTCAGGGAAGGGAGGAAGACACCTGATCAGGCCATCATCCATCGATGTAAGACGATAAAATAAATTTGACATTTGCCACTACTACAAGAGCACCAGCCCTCTCACTAACCCACTCGACATCCCAATCTGACAATCACCAAATATCTCACCACCGTTCTCACTCCATTACAGAGTCCCAGCTCTTGCACCGACTCTCACATCCTGCCATCGACCCCTAGTCTCGCCAGTCCTCTCATCACCCTCTCACCTCGTCACAGAGCACGAGTCCGATCTCTCCGCGGTGCAGCAGCGCCGCGTGGATGCGGAACGTCTCGTAGGAGATGATGAGGATGGGGTTGACGGGCCGGCGGCCGGTGCGCGTCATGAACCCCTCGAGCTGTCGGACCACCTCCGTCCGTCCGCCGCCGTCCATCGCCAGCGCCGAGACCCGGCCCGACAGCCACTTGCTGATCTCGTTGTACCAGTTCTGGTGGAAAACGCGGGCATAGAAAGACATCGTAAGGACATATTATGATAGGTGCAAAAACGTAATCACAACAGACTGGCATCACATTTGATACAGACGAGTCGCAAATGAAAAATGACCTGAGTTGGGCTTTCTATAGCAAACTGACCGAAGCTCTGTTATAGGCAGAACATCTTCGAAAAGAACTAGGAACAGCCGATGAAAATCGTCACTAGCTATCTACCGGTACGTAATGCAGCATCTCGCGAGATCCACGTCGCCCTGCCACCGACCTTGACCAGGCTGCTGGGTGTGACGACAATGCAGCGATCGATCTCGGGCCGGCAGTCGGGACTCTGTCGCAGCAGTGTCCACATGAGGGTGATGCACTGCAGCGTCTTGCCCAGACCCATCTCGTCGCCCATGATGCAGCCGAAGCTGCCCTCGATCCGGCGCCCGGTCACGCAGTCGTACATGAACTTGACGCCCTGGAGGAGACGGACAGGTGAACGTGATGCCGCGGGGATTGTTGTGAGCAGTAGGGCACGGCGATGAGCAGAAACAGATCATGCAGACAAATCCTATCATGGACAAAAGCTGACTCATGCTTTGTCACCGACGAACAGGCGGACAAACTTTATACGACCCCTAATAATTCCAGCCCTGTGAGGGATTGGGACGTAACGTACTTCCTTACAAAACCGACTCTGGGAGAGGGGGAGGAGAGAAGACAGGGCGACTCACCTCCCGCTGATGGGGCCGCAGCACATTACTTAGCGCCGGATCCACCACCACGTGTACCAGCTGCTTGTCACTGAAACAGGGGGCGGGCACGCACAATTCAGCAGCAGAGTTCAGCAGTGCACATTCGGAAAAATTGCAAAACTCCAAAATGCTATCGTAAAAAAACTGGAATGAAATGATTGTATAAAAAAAGAGACAGGAAGGGTATGTGTAACTGAATCAACGAGGTCAAAACGAGTGATTGCCCCATCACTCCAAAAGTGACTCAGGCAGAGTTAAGTACGAGTCAGCCATCAACATTCTCTTTTGAATAGGAGCTCATGACCCAGACTAGTTTCCCCTTTCCGGCTTCCCCAGCCCCGACCTCTCCCTCCCCATCACTGACGCCTGCATGGTGAGCTGCTCGTGTTGGCTGAGCTGCGGCGGACTGTAGAGCACCAGCGCGCCCGGCTCGTCGGGGTCGTGCAGCGGCTGACGCGCACCCGTGCGCCGCACCCCCAGTCGGCGGTCCGCCAGTCGCGCGCCGTTGTAACTCGGGATCGGGATCTTGAACGGTCGAGACAGGATCTGACGCAGACGGGCCTCCTGGAGACAGAGTGGGAACATTGAGCAGTGAGAGGGCGATGTGGGGTGTCTCACCCGTCCGTTGGGACAGGATGGGTGTGTACCTTTACAGACGTCCATGCAGCAAACCGTAGCTACGGTGTGCTGCCGTGTGCTACGCGTAGCTTTGGTCCGGCGGCGCTAAACATCGCGTCCGGGACCAGTCGCCGACTCACATACGGAGAAGGGCCCGGTGGACGATTCAGATAATCGGTGACTCACCGTGTCCCAGACACGTCAAGCAAGCGACTGACGTTTAATTAACATACGGGTTTAGTGTGTTACGGTTCCGCGAGGGCGACTCACATAGTCAGAGACGGGTCCGGTGGGCGACGCGCCGAGCGGCACGTTAATGGGCTGCAGCGGGGAGCGGACCACGGCGGCGCCATCCTCTTCCAGCGCCGGCTGCTTCCTGCCAGATGCCCGGGAGCAGGACTCGTCCGAGCGCCGCTTCAGCGCCGAGAACTGACTCGGCGCCAGACTCCGACGCTGCAGAGAGCGGGCATCGGTGTCAGCTAATACATGAAGCATAACTAAAAATGACCCTACTCTGGTATTGACCATGATTTGAATGTATATATTGCATGAGCACAGGCCACAACAGCTGTGGGGCTGATGGACTCTCTAAATTCTGAAAGACAAAAGGCTTTTGAAAGCCACACATGAAAAAGCATTTGCCATTCTCACATGCTAATATTATGAGCATGGACTATGGAGCTGGCATTACCATCACCTGCAGTTAAAATTGATGTTATATGCATGCTTACAATCTAAGCATCACTCATTGATCCCCATCAAACAATAAATCTAGGCAGCTTTTATGATAAACAAGGTAACCTGAGAACATTCAAGGTGGTGAACATGCCTAATACAATAGTAGCAGGACAAGTAATTTTATTTACAAGAAGAAACTTACCATTTCTAAGTGAATATATCAAGTAGCAACTGGTGCAAAATACAGAAGTTCTAGTGTATCTAACACAGCAATTTGAATTCTTTCTTCCTCTTACATTAATCTTATCCATTCAATTATTGCACCTCAGCTTGACATCCTCTAAGAATGAAATGCCACAAGTTATCTGCAAATGCAATTAAAATAATGCCTTAGTCTTGCACACATGAAAATGTGCAGCATTTAGAAGAAAGCAGATAATCATAAAAAGATAATAAGCACCCAACAAATGGCTGGATCATGACTGGGTCACATAAAAGCAAATAGAAATACCTAGCTTTACTTTATAAACTTTTAGCACTTTTTTGGGACAGAACCAAAGCAAAAGGGCACCAAGAATTAAGTAAAAAAAAACCTGTGACATTGGAACAAACACAGTGTCAATATCAATCAATATTTGGTCATCACAAGTCAAAACTGTTGAGCCCCATGATTGTGATTGAGTGTTATCACCTGGCTATCTGTATCAGGCCATCTGTTTATTTCTTTCAGCATATATACTTAATACTGCACAAAGGTCGACCTTTGTCTCTTAGATCCTTGGATCCTCTTAGATCTCTTAGATCAAGATCCCTTGTCAAACTTAGATCCTGTTATCTAAGTTGAAATGCCTACTCTCCCTTGACTAATGCACTGATCAATTTGGGATGATTGGATTGTAATTTAATAATGCTAATCAAATTCATTCATTTTGAAAAATGTGATGCAACTAGGGCTTATCTTATGATCTTATCCAAACAACGCGGCTATTTGCCTTGTCTTGGTCTCGAGATAGGAATAGGTATAGGTATAGGTTCAGTGGACTAGGATTAGACGATGGTCTATTTGATGTCCACATCGGTCATAGGTGGAGGCAATTACTCAGGAATGGTTGATTGTCATGATCATATGCAGGGCTGCGGAGTCGGAGTCGGAGTCGGAGTCGGTCGGAGTCGACAGTTGTGACCAGAGTCGGAGTCGGAGTCGGAGTCGATTTTAGAAACCCGAGCCGGAGTCGGAGTCACCGAAAATCTGTCGACTCCGCAGCCCTGCTAGGTCTGCAGAGTCGGAGTTGGGAGTTGGAGTCGGTCGGAGTTGACAATTCTGCCCGGAGTCGGAGTCGGAGTCGGAGCTGGTTTTTGAAAGCCGGAGTCGGAGTCGGAGTCGCCGAAAATCCATCGACTCCGCAGCCCTGATCAGGGTTGGAATTTCACTTTTTTGTTCTGGTAGTGGAGTACAAAATTTTTGGGCCAGTGGAGTACAACTGTACAGCGTTGGGGTGGTCAATTGCGTCTGCATAGTGTATTTTTTTGTGCAGTGTTTTTCTTTGTACCTATGTATGTAGAATTGTAAGCATGTGAATAAACAATACAGTGTGGAAAACAATGTTTATCGAGTGACGCAGCAAGACGATCAACTAGAACTTTTTTGTTGAGAGTGGCAAGTATCATGTGATCATAACTGAGTGGTTAGTGGTCATAGTAAGGATTAGGTTAGCAGCTAGAAGTAGGGACGAGAGTCTGGAACCAAAAATTGGTGCTCTCGTATGCACCAGGAAGCACTACTTAGTCATGCAATATAATGAAATGCAAGCTATAACTGAAAGCAAGATTATCTGAATTTGTTAGACAACTTATGTATAGGACTTCACTTTGTTGAATCATGCTTATGACTTAAAATAAGAATGAATATTCTGATTCAGGGTCAGAGAAATGATAGTACCTAGATCAGCAAAGACAATTGGGAGGTTAATGATAGTGATATTAACTCCACTCCAGGTAACAGTCAAATTATCAATCAATCATCATAGTCATCATAGTACATATTTATTATTTACTATCATGAAAGGAACCAGACCAAAATCAAAGTGGAACGTTCACTTACCCCACCGCTAATGCCAATGCCCACGGCCACGGCCCACGCTTGATTACAATTACAAAAGACAAAACCTGTTAGGTTGTTCTTACAACTATACTCATAGCATGGAAAACAGGCAACAATGGAAAACAAACGAAAATATAATTACTTCAGCCAGCTTCGAAAATGTGGAAAACGCCGCCGGCGGCACCAGCGGCACAAATATCGGCGCGGCGAAATAAGCGGCCCGATAGAGTTGGCACAGCACATACCACGGAATCGCGATTACGCTACGGCAACAGGACCCGGAGACAGAGGTCGGAGTACAGCCTTTGAACACCAATTTCACAATAACCATAGGTCCTCTGGCCAAAAACTGCCTACCATCAGAAAGCAGGCTCAATTTTGTATCTGTCATAGCCGGGCCATGAGAAACGGAGCTGTGTGGAGCATACAATTGGCAAAGGAGTACTGGATCTGCACTTTAAGTTTTATCATCGAGTTTCCAGTTCAGAAAATCTTCAATATTAACAGTTACGGCATTTCATTTGGAAAAAATTGGTCATATTTTGAAAGGTTGTATTTTTCTCCTTTTTTTAAACCACAAACAATCATTATTTGAGCAACAGTTACGATGCAAATGTCGAAAGATTCCAAGTCGTCTCCCGATCATAAACCATTTAAAATTCCATCCTTAGGAGAACTGAATCAGCGACTCCACAGAAGCTGTGCTGACTTGATCATCTCTAACAAAAAGACAATCATTGCGCACTTATTTTTGCTGTGGTAGGTAGCGGCATGGAGATAGGAATATATACGACGCATCATAATGAGATGTATAGTGTATTATTGTATAGTAATTAGTAAAGTGTTTTTATATACCTTGCGACGTATATTCATTCATTTTGTGGTCGGGCCTGTGAGTTGATATCCGGATATCCCTATGATCCCTATTACGATAGGTACACATGCAGCGTTTAGTCCAGACCCTGGTCCAGACCAATAGGTACTCCATGGCGTTTTTGATAACTTTGTACCTCATCATCATCCTGGATTTGGACTTGGCACAAATGCAAGTCATTCTTAGTTATTAAGCTCACAAAATACAACACTTTGCATGTATGTTTATTTCATGTAGGTACATTGTCTACAGGACCACGTAAGCACATAATTCAAATTTGTTAAGCATAACACAGCAATGTACCAGTACAAGTATCAGTTCTGGTAGTTGTTCATCACGGCTGGTGGATGTTATGCAGGATATTTGGCTCTTCGATCTTCATTATGCTGTGCATTGTACTTGTAGTTTTTGCCCTGACTTGGGTTGGGCCCCCGGGCTGGGATGCAGTTATTGCAGAAGCTGTGTTTCCACTGGGTACCTGTAACACAAGGGAGTATGGGCAGTTCATTGTCAAATTTCACACCCTTTTATTTGTGTGGGACGCGTAGTCATTGGAGTACAAAAATTGTCATTTTCCAGTGGAGTACAAAATTCCTGGCGCATCTGATACCAGAAAACGGCAACTTTTCCAACACTGGCCCTGATCATATGTCATCACAGAAACAGCTTAAAGCCTTTGCTGAAGGTACTAGGCACATAAATAACATAGCACAATAACAATAATATAAGAAAGGATACAGATCAATAACTATATCAATATAGTGCATTTATTATCAACAAATTACACAATTGCAAATATCAAAATGTGTGTGTTGTGTGCGCATCCTCAGCGGGAAAATTTATACGACCATGGCGCATTAGTTTAGAAATCGCGCCAATCACGATAATATAAGCCTTTGTAAATGACGTATTACTTAAAAGTTATTTCTTTGGAAAGTTAAAAATCATGGAATAGATATGCTTTGCTTTGCTTATTTTGCCAAAAAGAGCTTGGTTTATGATATCTTATGCTTAATTGTTTAAAAAACGTTGAAATGGCAAAGGTAGCAAGGCAAATGAGATGTTTAAGGATCAGCATGCATTTTTTTAAAACTGTTATCAATTTAAGCCTGCCTACAGTTTTAAATTTTTCTTAAGAAGTCAAATATTTTAGTCAGCTTTAAATCAACTTTATCGTTTATATAGCCTCGATGCTGTTTACACAGTCTTGTACCAAACTCTATGTGACGTCATATCAGATCAAAACAAGATCGAGCCTATGACGTCATATTTATTCTGTAGTTTATTTGGAACACTGCATTGTATTCGGCCCTGAGCGCTCACACATTTTTTGTCTTTTCATATAGGGCCTTGGTCTTTTCAAAGAGAGAAAAAAGAGTGGGAGGGGACGTACTAGACACTGCCGGATATTTATATTTTCCATTAAATATGCATAATGCATTAATGGTGTTTTCCCTCATTTCGTCTTTGTTTTCTTCGACGAAATAACGATGACGACGGAGGCTGACTGCTGAGGCGTCCTACACTCGCTCTGCGGCTGGTGAGTAGATATGGCGATTGGCGTCTATTTCAATTTTGATTTTAACCAATGACATTTTCAGTGTTAAGTGTGAATTGATAATTGTGGGCACACACTATTAAATGTGAAGATGAAGTCCAAGTAGATAAAAATCTAACGACTGGTCAGAGGTGCTGACGTATCCTAGCATTTTCGGTACCTATCGGTAAAGCTGGCGTCACCGTCGGCGGTAGGTAGGTAGGTTATGTTGTGGGTTCAGTAGGTGGAACTATGGTCATGAGTACCCAAATATAGGAACGTTCCCATTTTTGGGAACGGAGTTCCCAAATATGGGAACGGGCGTTCCCATTTATGAGAACGGAAGTTAATTTTTCGGCCGTTCGCCCACTAAAACTCATTAGTGCATCACGTCTCAAAAAAGTGCACGCTAATTTAAGTATCTACTAAGTCGATTCCAGGACAAATCTTCGTATGGCATTTCTTCGTCGCGCAATTCTTCGTCCGCATTTCTTCGTCCGCAAATCTTCGTCGGCGCATTTATTCGTGTCGCATAACTTCGTCTCGCATTTCTTAGTAAGCGCAAATATTCGTAGCGCATTTTTTCGTATCCGCATTTCTTCGTACGCGCATTTCTTCGTCAAGCATTTTTTCGTCCACGCATTTCTTCGTCTACGCAAATCTTCGTCCGCATTTCTTCGTCCACGCAAATCTTCGTCTGCGCATATCTTCGTCCGCAAATCTTCGTCCCCGCAAATCTTCGTCCGCAAATCTTCGTCCACATTTTTTCGTCCACGCATTTCTTCGTCTACGCAAATCTTCGTCCGCATTTCTTCGTCCACGCAAATCTTCGTCCCGGCAAATCTTCGTCCGCAAATCTTCGTCCGCAAAACTTCGTCCGCAAATCTTCGTCTGCAAATCTTCGTCCGCATTTTTCGTCCACGCATTTCTTCGTCCACGCAAATCTTCGTCCGCAAATCTTTGTCTGCGCATATTTTCGTCCGCAAACCTTTGTCTCCGCTATCTTCGTCTCCGCAAACATTCGTCCACAAATGTGGTTCAATAAAACCATGAAGAAATATCAGACCATCAAGTGATTGACGAATTTAATGCATGGAATGGATGATCGAAACTTTTGAAGTCAGGTAGATGAGGTCTGTCAGGTGAAGCTATTGTATTTGGGAGCCGAGAATTGAAACATTCCATATCATTTGTGTCCCGGACATTCTTTTTTCGCGGTCGATGAATGACAATACAATCTCTTGTACCCTCGCCGGCATAGGCGGCGGAACGGGGAGGGCACCGGGGCACCGTTCCCCTCTTTAATTTGGCCTTTTAACAGTAGCCCTATGGGCGTTGCATGGAAAGAATGGGACTAAAAGTCGGCAGTGCCAAGCCCCCCCCCCCCCTAATTGAATGTGTTCCGCCGCTACTGCTCGCCGTCGCCGGACCTATTTGTTTTCTACATATACGCCGGCCGAGGGGGGGGGGCGGGCACGACCCCCCCCCCCTTCCCCCCATCGCCGTTTCGCCACTGGTGGAGCTAGCGCGTCGCGGAAAAAAACGAGCGTGTGCGCCGTTACGAGACGCAGAGATTAATACCCGATTTTAAGGCCTTCTAGGTCAGGGGTCGGCTTACGGCCCGCGGGCCGGATCCGGCCAGGAGGGTGACGGTTCGATCCGGCCCGCGACCATCTGACGTCCGGCCCGCGGCTGGTATCATCGACTTACATCGTGTTCCGGCCCGCGGTTCCTTCAGAAATCGACTCCGATATAAAAGTGACTTAAATGTGCTTTGGCACAATAGTTCTTCCTTCGCACACTTCATGAGTTTATAAACACCATTTGCGGGTGTTTTTGTCTAATTCTACTTCTAGACAAAACTTGCGCGGGCCGGACGTCAGATGGTCGCGGGCCGGATCCAACCGTCACCCTCCTGGCCGGATCCGGCCCGCGGGCTGTAAGCCGACCCCTGACCTAGAAGGCCTTAAAATCGGGTATTAACCTCTGCGTCTCGTAACGGCGCACACGCTCGTTTTTTCCGCGACGCGCTAGCTCCACCAGTGGCGAAACGGCGATGGGGGGGGGGGGGGGTCGTACCCGCCCCCCTCGGCCGGCGTATATGTAGAAAACAAATAGGTCCGGCGAGCAGTAGCGGCGGAACACATTCAATTAGGGGGGGGGGGGGGGCACGGCACTGCCGACTTTTAGTCCCATTCTTTCCATGCAACGCCCATAGGGCTACTGTTAAAAGGCCAAAATTAAAGAGGGGAACGGTGCCCCGGTGCCCTCCCCGTTCCGCCGCCTATGCCGGCGAGGGTACAAGAGATTGTATTGTCATTCATCGACCGCGAAAAAAGAATGTCCGGGACACATGATATGGAATGTTTCAATTCTCGGCTCCCAAATACAATAGCTTCACCGGACAGACCCCATCTACCTGACTTCAAAAGTTTCGATCATCCATTCCATGCATTAAATTCGTCAATCACTTGATGGTCTGATATTTCTTCATGGTTTTATTGAACCACATTTGTGGACGAATGTTTGCGGAGACGAAGATAGCGGAGACAAAGGTTTGCGGACGAAAATATGCGCAGACAAAGATTTGCGGACGAAGATTTGCGTGGACGAAGAAATGCGTGGACGAAAAATGCGGACGAAGATTTGCGGACGAAGATTTGCGGACGAAGTTTGGCGGACGAAGATTTGCGGACGAAGATTTGCCGGGACGAAGATTTGCTGGACGAAGAAATGCGGACGAAGATTTGCGTAGACGAAGAAATGCGTGGACGAAAAAATGCGGACGAAGATTTGCGGACGAAGATTTGCGGGGACGAAGATTTGCGGACGAAGATATGCGCAGACGAAGATTTGCGTGGACGAAGAAATGCGGACGAAGATTTGCGTAGACGAAGAAATGCGTGGACGAAAAAATGCTTGACGAAGAAATGCGCGTACGAAGAAATGCGGATACGAAAAAATGCGCTACGAATATTTGCGCTTACGAAGAAATGCGAGACGAAGTTATGCGACACGAATAAATGCGCCGACGAAGATTTGCGGACGAAGAAATGCGGACGAGGAATTGCGCGACGAAGAATTGCCATACGAAGATTTGTCCGGTTACGTACTAAGTCTCTATAAAATTATCTTTAATCTGACCGTTGCACAAGGAAATTGACCGTCGAATGATATTTTTAATGATTTTTTGAAATGACGGAATGGTGAAAACATGGGTTATACTACATTTAACTTGCAATTTTAAGGAAAATGAAGCGTTTTTTACATTTTGAGGTCAAGTACAATAATTTTCGCCTGGTTATGAAGTTTCATACTAGCGACACCAGATGCTGACATATGCAAGCGAACACGCGGACAGTCCCGAGGTAATATTGTTGACTTTTGGTGTCGGGGCGCACGACCGCGTGGAACGTCAGTGATTTTACCGAACTACTGTTGTAAACTCGGTTTCAGTGGTTTAAAATTATTCAGCTGTATTTTATCATCCCGGAAAGACATATTTTATTTGGATGCTAGCTGTTAAAGGGACCCTCCCACCTTTAAAAAAGTTTATGAATTGGCATGAAAGTGATGTCGCTCGGTTCAGAAAGAGCGAAAACGAATATCTACCAAATTTCACCGAAAAATATTCACCGGTTTTGAAGATATTAGACTTTTACTTTTGTTTACTTTTTGGGATCTCCGCTGTTCCTAGCGACTTTATTTAAAAGTGCGGCATTTGTTGCGCGCAACGCAGCATATACCACCGCGTGCTACAAAACGTTTTAGTCAAACATTTAACGGACGTTCGAAAGCCTGATGACGTCATCAGATTTAAGTGCCTATACCAATACATTGTGGCACTTATTTGCACAGATGTCAAAATCAAACTCAAATTTCTTTGCGATGAAGTAATTGCTGGAGAAACGGTTTTCACGGCACTGATTTTCAAAGAACGTCCATCAAGATGGCTATCTCAACTCAAATCTAATGTTAAGGTGGGACAGTCCCTTTAAGCGTTGTTTTATAAGGAGCGTCATGAGCGTGATTTTTGTCTTCCGTGTTTCTAAGCACGATCGTTTTGGGGGAATTTCTCTTATATAGGTCGCTTTGTGTGGCTTATTTATAATTTTTATGCTGATCTCGATCATTCCTCGTGCCCATCCTACCAGGCCTTTTGCCACTTACACCCATCAAGAAAGGAAAAAACTAGATTTTCATTGGGACTAGGTGTTTTGAGGGTGTAACATATTCAGCGTTCCCATTTTTGGATACTTCCTTGTGCTCGTCAACTATCGGTGATAAACAGACAGGTGCTTGACATGTCTCCACCCTCGGCGCGGACGGTGGATATAGGTATGGAAGACCTTGTTGAACATCGCTGAGCGTTGTGAACTACGTAATCCTGCAGAGGGGGGCGTGCCCGCTGCGAGATCGACGGGAATAAAAGCGCAGAAGACCGGGCGTAACATGCGACGGTCTTGCCGGAAAGGTCATCTGATGATTGTTGCGTTAACAATAATTTGCGGCGTTGGACGTGATGCTTGTTAATGAAAAGAGCCCCTGAAAGGCGTCGGTGAAATCGTTCCCAATTTTGGGTACGCCGTTCCCATAATAAGGAACGCTTGCAGCGCCAGTGTACGAGAGCGTTCCCAAATTTGGGCTCGCGGCCCGGATGATGGACTGCTTTAGAAATAGGGGAACGATTTGAAACTACGATGGGCCTTACAATATCAAACTCTTTCCCAACAATATTGGGACAAATATCAGGCGGTTCACGATCGTTTTTTTTTTTTTTTGGACGTCATTTAACGGTTCTTTTTCTTGTTTTAAATAATGCCTACATGGCGTTCCCATATTTGGGTTTATCGTTCCCAAACATGGGAACGAAAATGCGTTCCCGAAAATGGGTACGCTTGACCATAGTTCCGCCTACTGGGTTTGTAGGTTGTAGGCTGGTTGGTTCAAAGTGTGTAGGCTGGTAGGTTGTAGGTAAGTAGGTAAGGCTAGGTCAGGTTAGATTATGTGTTTTACTCTAACTTCATCTACACATTTAGCTGTTAGTGGTGATGGTGGGGCTCTGTCCTGGGGCCCTTACTCTTCCTGGTGTATATCAATATTAATAGTGTGGCGTCCACCCTCAAGTGCCAATACAAAATTTTCACTGACGACCTCAAGATTTACGCATGCGTGAATCATACACGACTGTCTGAGACGCCAGCGGTATCCCACCAATGTGTCCAGGATGACATCAACTCACTCCACGACACTGCTCTATCTTGGGGTCTTCATATGAATGTCTCAAAATGTGCAGTCCTTAGTTTTTCTAGGAGGCGCAATAGCGATGCTCCAGCTTACTTCTTGAATGGCAGAGAAATCCCTCGGGCCAATTCAGCTAAAGATTTGGGAGTCACGGTCGATACTGATTTGAAATTTCACACCCATATTCAAAACGTGTGCCACAAAGCTGGCGGTCTTGCTCAGAACTTTCTCAGATCAACGGTAAGCCGCTCTCCGGAGTTTATGTTGTTTTTGCTCAAAACACACATCCGACCTATCTTAGACTATTGTTCAAGCCTTTGGAACACAGGTTACCTGCAGGACCTCCGGCTACTGGAAAGGGTGCAGCGACGCTGGACTAAACGGATCTCTGGACTTGAAACTCTCAGTTATGCTAATCGTCTCCAGTCATTGCAATTGTACTCTGTCCAGGGCAGACTGAAGCGGGCCGATCTTCTCCTGTGCTGGAAAATCTTCCATGGACAGTCCTTCATCTCTCCAGATGATCTTTTCCTTACCACTCCCTTGAACCGCACCAGAGGCCATAGTTTCAAGATTCATCGCACACACGGTAACACGTCCACCAGACAACGTTTTTTCTCAGTGAGGGTGATTGATACGTGGAACTCGCTGCCAGATTATGTGGTGAATGCCCAAAGTATACAGAACTTTAAAAAAAATGTTGGATGCCTGCATTCCAGATGTACTGTTTTCTTACGTTGACTGAATCATGCCATGTTGTGACTATGTACACACATTGTTTTCTTTTGTAATTGTGTAACCTAACAATGTAACTAGGCATAACTCCAGAAAGCCTGACAATGTTTTGGTAATAATGTCACCGGAGGCGCACTATACCAGTCATTCTCTTAGCGAATGTTAACATGTGCATTGTTTCCGTTGATGACTGGCGCGTCTCGAGCAGTGCGGGTTCCTCATTTCCTCTCTGACTGTCCTTTGAAACCACTCCAAAGATATGCAGGAACCAACGAGAAGAGTAAACGAGGTGAGGGTGACGCCAGCTTTACCGATACCGCATTTTCATTGTGATTCATGGTTAATTGGGCTGTTCTGTTGACCACTCTCCAGGGCCCGGGCAGACTGCACCTGCACTGCAAAGTGAGACAACAGAGACAATGACACTCACAAGCTCATTCGACAAATCTGCACCAGCCCATGCCAAACACCAGAAAGCCACACCAGGCTGTACCCAACAGGACCCATTAATTTTTGCCCCCAAATGCACGAGATATATGCACTTATGATATCAAAACTAGTGCTGCAGAGTTGGAGTCAGAGTCATCAACTGCAGGGTCAGGGATGGCCGCTAGGGGCCGGGGTCTGAGTCAGTTGGAGTCAGCAGTTTTGCTTTTGCCCAGAGTCAGAGTAAGAGTTTTTGATCTATAATTGATCATTAGAGCCCTACCAATTTTGGAAAAGTGATGCCCGTGGGCGTGAATGTGCAAGGACAGCAGTTCAGTATAGTGGCACATTGGGGCCAGCTGTACAGCTCCAAGCAAAATCCACACTCCAACATTGGAAATCAGCACAGCACCATGCACCACCTGTTTGCCTGTGCACTGACAAGATCCTATTAACAATTAACATTGCCATGCTTTGCAGTCTGGATCTGCAGTGCACTGATTAATCTAAAGTGTATCCTCACACTGTCAATTGCCAATGTCCCTGCTGAACATAGCCCTTATCCCTTACCCTGCCAGCACCCAGCATGCATAATATCACAGCAAGTACTGGTTTACACACTGGGGCTCAATGGTATTGGCATTGGTGCACTTGACTCATGAATGCTGACAAGTGACACTAGACAGTTTCATGGCTTCCTGCCAGTGGGGCAGATTTTGGGGATCCTGTCAGAGTGGAAGATAGCTCTAGTGTAGGGCACTGATTATGTGGAAGCTGATCAAGACCCAAATGGGTCAAGACCCAAATGGGTTTGTTCTGGTTAGGCATGTAAATCCTCTCTCACATTCCATTTTGGGTGTCCAGCATGAATATGATCATACTGTTTAGCTTCTTTGCCTGGTACTACTCGAAACTGCAGCCAGCTAGCCGATATCGCCGAAATCGGCTGGGGCTGCTCGGTGGACTCTGCACCGATGGAGCGTTTGGCTCCGTCCTCGCCTCCCGGCCGCGTATTCGCCAGAAATGGCGTCTCCAATGGTGGGGTGAGGCGTCGCGCGATGCTTTCATAGGAACGGAGCGCTCGCGCGATCCAAAAAGCGAATGTGAACAAACCGGGCTGTCACCCGTTGAGCTCAACGCTCCACCAACTGAGCTGCGGGACTGACGTGATTTGAGAAAAAGTATCTGATGCGGGGACGCGATTGGGTCCTGTTGTCTGCTTCCTGCAATGGGATCTCATTTATCGCTCCTTTAAAAAAAATGAATTTCATATTTTCTCAGAAAGCCCCAAACCTACGAACTCCAATGTTCAATAGGCGGAGGACGAATAACTTGCCCCGGTGTCGTTGGGGTCAGGTCAGGCCTCAGGGTGGAACGAATGACGTGTGCTGGCTCGGGGACAGGTGGGATGGGACGAATGACGCGCCCCAATACTGGCGGGCTTGGACGACTGACGTGTCCCGGGATCGGCTTGGTGGGCCATCATTCAAAGACCAGCAGTATTGCGTGCGACAGCCTGTAGAGACTAAGATTAGCCATGATAAAAATCAGTTAATGGACCACCCTGCCGGGCTGAAAAAAAATTAACACTTGACTCTTAAGCTTTAGCTTTGTTATTGATTGTAATATCCTTTTCAGGGAGAGTGTGAACCATCTGGAGATCAACATTCCAGCTGACTGAGGGTGACGATGGCGGTCAACTCAACTCACCAAGACCGTAATGTAAGTTTTGTGGTTTTGTGAATGCAGTAATAATTGTTTTGTTGTCTTTCACTATCATATTTTATAAATTGATCCATGCATTTGCACTTTTCTCGTTTTGTGAACGACAATTCATTTATACTGCATACTCTGGATTTTTCAAAATGTGGTTTGAGGTTATTCCTCTCACATATGACCAGGAGTTCCATTCTGCTTTCAGTGTGAACTTTTTGTAAAAGTCAAACTTAACCCATTCTTCTGCTAATTTTCAAAATTTAATTGCAGTGACTGGCCATAATGAATTAATATTACATACAAATTGCATGTCACTGCCGTTCAGGCAGGATGGTGCCAGGCCAATCTGTGCAGTAGGCAGTGAAGCTGGCTCATCCTCAGTAGCCTATTTACCATTCAGTTCCATGTCCCCGCCTCCAGGGTATTGGGGTGCACCGAAGTCTGCAGCGGACCAACTCTGCGCCCAAGGTTGCCATTCCGTTCGTGGTGGCCGGTGGCCGGCGCCTCGTGAAGGAGCTCCACATCAACTACAACATGCGCGAGGTGCTGGCCGTGCTGGCTGGCGACCTCAACTACCATCCGGATGATGTGAGTGGCGTGGGGGCACAGGACGGCGGCTAAACGGGATAAATACAGCCACTGTTCGGTGACAGTCAATGTTACAGTTAAAAATGTTACGATTGTGGTTGTTTGTGCAATTCTACGTAGACAGTGATGTGAGGTTACTTGTCAGATCGTCTTAGTCTGCTTGTGACCTTCCATCCTCGTTTGTGATTGTCTCACAGCTGGAGATCTACCTTGGCACGGAGCCGGTCTCGGACAGTCTGGTGCTGGCCGGACTGGACCTCGAACAGCCCGGGTTCGTGCTGAATGTGCTGGAGAGGATCGTGCGCCGGCGACCGTCCTCGTCTGACGGCCCGGGAGCGGGCGGCGGCGGCGTGCGGACCGTCACCGTGCACACAGGTCGGTCCCCGGAGCTTCCGCCGTGCAGGTTAGTCACAGTGAGCTGCCTTGTGGAGGGTAGGTCTTAGGGTCCCCTCTCGTAGACTCGGTTGTGAGCTATGTTTTGGGATTAGTCCTTTGTAGTTGCATGGTCTTTGCCCAATCTTTTACTACTTTTTGGTAGATCTGCACATGAAATACCGTAGAATTGTACCGTAGAAGCGTGGAGTCATACCGGACACTTCAAGTTGGTGTCTCAGTCTATTGACCGTTCTAGATGGTTTGATTTGCTCAATTAATGACTAAGCATTCCCCATTCATGCCTCCTGGTAAAGGTAAGCCTTATGCAAACGCGAATGTTGTTCATTCATGGTGCTGGCTACTTGGGGTGCCTCTCAACGACAGTTTAATGACACTTCCTAGGGTATCAGCTATACCTTACGAACTGAACCAATACCTTGCCCTGAGTTCAGCGTGACATATCTGACCTATTCGCCACTCTGTCCTGTGCAGAGGGGGAGGACGGCGGACGGCGGACCATTTCGGTGGCTATCGAGCCGGGAGACGGCGAGAAACCGTTCTTAGGCGGATACCGGGACAAACGGGACGGCACCGAGTACCTGCACGCCACCGCGCAGACCTACACTCGGCCCTTCAGAAACTACGCCTATGGTGAGTCTTTCAGTTCGGAGCAGCGCGGAGTGCCGCGGACTCTACCGGCAGCTACGTTGAAGTTATGCTTATCGCGTGTTAAACCGTCGGTGGCCCGTGTCCCTGACTGGTTCCCACTATCCGTGTCTTTAACCCTCTGTGAACCTCGTGCTAGACTGTGATCCGTGTTCAGGACCGTGTCCGTGCCATTTTTCTGTGATCCGCGTCTGTGACCGTTGTCCGTGAACCATGTGCTATCGTGATCTTTGACCCATATTCTCGAAATCTCGACCCAACGGGCCTGTCCTCGACCCACGCCTGTTCGCAACTCGTGTCAGGTCGTGAATTGTCAGCGCCATTGATCTTAACCGTCCGTTCGTCCAGAGCGCCACGAGCGGGACGCGCAGACAGCATGGGGCCTGCCGGCGGCCGTGCAGACGAACCGCGACACGTGCACCCAGATGCCCAAACCGGGTGTGTGGCAGGACCACCGGCGCGAGCGGGTGCTGTCCTACAGCGGCGCCTACCAGACGGCTGACGAACTGCTCCAGCTGCGAACCGATAAGGTGAGAGCGGCGCCGCGCTGGGTCTTGCACTGGCGGCATGCTCACAAACAGTATTACAGCCATGGTGTGGGATTTTGGAAATTATAACTAGCTTCGCTATGTTTAACCATTCATAAACAATCAAGTACCCTCACATATTTCGCTTAGCTTGTAAAAATAATTTATTTTGACACTTGACAGTGGTCTGGTCCATATCAGCGACAATCTGTGCCTCTCGCTGATATGCCGTGCCCCCCCCCCCCCCCCACACGCACCAACAGTCTTCCCCTCGCCCTCACAGGTAGTCGTTCCTCACAAGCACTGGCGTCGCTGGCTGGCCCGTGTGACTGTCTCCCCGCGTCTGACTATGCTCCCGCTGTCTCTGCAGGCGATCGTTCTGCAGAAGTACTGGCGTCGTTTGTTGGGCTGTGTGTCTCTCCCACAGACAGGCCCCAATCCGACGACCAAATCCGACACCTCGGGACGAAGAAGGCGCCAGGACCGGACCGGGTATGCACCGAACACCTGCGGCACTTCGGACCGACGGCCTACCGGACCCTTCTGGCACTCATCAACAGATCGTGGTCCAACCTCGAGACGCCCGCCTCATGGCGACGGGCGACCATCATCCCTATCTTTAAGGCCGGCAAAGACCCCAAACAAGTGGGCAGCTACCGCCCGATCGCGCTCACGAGTCACATCGCCAAGCTAGCGGAGCGGATGATCGCGGCCCGGACGACCTACCTCATCGAGCGAGACCGACTGGTGCCCCCCGAACAGGTCGGGTTCCGCCGCGGGAGGTCGGCGGAGGACAGTCTGGCCCGCTTGGTCCAAACGGTTCAAGATGGCTGGAATCGCCCCAAGCCGAGACGAGGCCCGGAGGATGGCGTGACGGCGGACCGCTTTGTCCTCCTGGCGTTCGACTTCTCCCGTGCCTATGACACGATCGATCACCGGATGTTGCACCTGAAGCTCCTCAAGCTCCTCCCCAGATGTCTCGCGACCTGGAAATTCCGGTTCCTTCGCGGCAGGCGGGCCCGCGTAGAGGTCAACGGCGCGCACAGCAGCGAGCGCGTGTTCCGCGCGGGCCTGCCGCAGGGCTCGGTCCTGGCACCGACCATCTACACGCTCTGGGCGGCGGACCTTATCGAGACCCTGCGGAACGCCTCGGACCGCACGGACGTCCTGATGTATGCGGACGACAGGGCCACACTGAGCGCTGGAGCCACCGTAGAGCTTGCGGTGGCTCGCGCCCAGAAGTCGGCCGACGCCCTGGCCCGATGGGCAAGGCACTGGAAGATGTCCATCGCCGGACAGAAGACCCAGGCGCTGCTGCTGACTCAGCGGAGCAGGGACGAGCGCGGCGTGCAACTCCTGGCGAACGGCACGCAGGTCACCGGTGGCACCAGCCTACATCTTCTGGGGGTGACCTTCGACAGACTTCTACACTTTAAAGACCACTGCGACTCTCTGCTGCGGCGGAAGGTCCGGCCGCGGACGGCACAGCTGCGGAGGATGACCGGCCGGGCCTGGGGTCTCCGCGAGGCGCAGCTCAGGACAGTCGCGAACGGGTATGTCCGGGGAGCCCTTGAATACGCAGCGGGTGCCTGGCTCCCGGCCGCGTCCCCGTCACACGTTCAGCTGGTGGAGCGCGAGCTGCTGGCGGCAGCCCGGGTGGTGACCGGATGCCCAAGGTCCACCCCCAGGGATCCCCTGCTGGCCGAGGCTGGCATCCCTTCAGCATGGTCCACCAGGAAGACGCTGGCCGCGCGAACGCTCTGCCGAGCGCTCGCCCTGCCGGAGGACGACCCTCTTCGCCGCGTCGCGGAGGCCGACCCACCCACTCGACTGCGGTCTACCACCGGCTGGCGACAACTGGGGCGATCGGCGCTGATCGAGGCGGGCGCCGAGGGAGTGACGGTGGAGCCGCGCCTCGAGGTTCCCCTCCTCCCGTGGACAACCTGCCGCCCGATCGCCTTCAATCTGGACGTGGGACCCGGCGGTCGTCGAGCCTCCTCCAACGAGACGCGACGAGAGGCCGCGCGGCAGCACCTGGCGGCGCTCCCAGCCCAGGCCACGTGGATTTGGTCCGACGGCTCTGCGGACGCTGGGGTCAGGCGAGGCGAGGGGGCGGCGCCATCATCTTTACCGCGTCGGGGGAGACTCTCGAGGTTGAGGTGGTGGCGGGAGACCTCTGCTCCAGCACCCGTGCGGAGCTGTTCGCCCTGAGGGCGGCGCTGGAGCGGGTCCGGGATGAGCCGTCCCCCGCCCCGCTGGTGGCGTGCTCTGACTCACGAGCCGCCCTGAGCCTCCTCAGCGCGGGAGCGGCCGCCCAGACCTCCACTTTCGGCGCGGCGATCTGGAGGACGCTGCTGGACATTGCCGAGCGCCGGCAGGTGACCCTGCAGTGGGTCCCTGCTCACTGCGGGCTGGCGGAGAACGAGCGCGCTGACGCCCTGGCCAAGCAAGCGGCCACCCTGCCCCAGGGCGCCGTGCCCTCGGACGCTCGGCCCCTGACACGGGCAGTTCATCGGACGACCACACGTCAGTGGCGCGAAAACTGGCCCGACTCCTTTTTCAAGGCTATCTTCGGGAGCACCCTGCCGCTCCCCATCCCCGGAGAGGACCGAGAGGCCGCCATCTCGGTGCACCAGTGGAGGGTGGGCCACTGGGGCCGCTCGCTCCAATACCTGCACCGGATCGGCCGCCACCCCTCCGTGGCATGCCTGCAGTGCCCCGATAAGCGGTGCCCCACGGCGCTCTGCGCCGTGTGCCGGGAAGAGGCGGACGTGCCGGAGCACGTGTTGCTCCGCTGCCCGGCCCTCGCTGGCGCCCGCCTGCGGCTAACTGGCAGCATTCACGTCGACCCGTCGCGGCTGCGGGACGCCGACCTGGTGGCTGCCTTGGAGGCCGGCTACCTTCGCCATAGGGAGCCTCTCGGCTATGGTCCTCCGTAAGGAGGTCCCAGGGGGAACAACAACAACAACAACAATAGGCCCCAATTGTCTGACGATGTTCCCTCTCCACCACAGGCGATCGTTCTACAAAAATACTGGCGCCGCTGGTTGGCCCGTGTTACTCCCCTGTCTGACGATATTCACGCTCTCCACCACAGGCGATTCTTCTACAGAAGTACTGGCGCCGCTGGCTGGCCCGTCGCCGGGTACAGCGGATGGCCAGGGAGCGGGATGTCGTGCTCCAGTGGATTGTGGACGACGCAGAACGGCGCAAACAGGTCAGATACGGGTCATTGGGTCATCGGAGGTCACCAGAGACTCCGGAGTGCGGCATTGCAACGTTAGTCGAGTGACCAACGCTCACACTGAACACTAATTGACCTATCTTAGATTTAGTGTTGTTAATGTTTTCTTTGTAGCTTATCTCTCTCATGGCGATCATTTCCTCCTCTTATCTGCAGCTGTTGCTGTAATTCTGTTCGTTATTGCCGACGCTGACCTGTATTCGGCCTGGGTCCCAGGCTCGGCTGAAGCGTCGCGCCGGAGTCGTCGAGCGGAAGATGGACCCCAAGAGCAAGAACGACTTCGACATTCTGTTCAGCTCGCTGGAGGCCTGGCGGAAGAAGGCCATCGCCTACTGTTACTCCACCAAGTCGGGTGGTGAGCTGAAGGCGGCGCTGTGTCAGCTGCTGGAACAGGAGGCGGAGATGCTGAAGGCCATCAACGGCCATCAGAGCCGCGCGGCCGCCTGCGGACAGGCCAAACGCATACACCGGCTGCTGGAGAAGGTACGTGAAGTTTGGATTGGTCTAATAGGTACTATGATTGAACTCAACATGTAATGATATTTCAGATCAACGCTCTTGGTTCGGGAAAATAGTTATCGAATCATAAGTCGACGTTGCATGGACACTTTTGAATGGCACTGCCTACCACAGGCCGGCTCGTCAAATCAAACTTGCATTGCGTCGTTTAAAGCAGGGTCAGGCATACGTACTTTGTGTTGCTGCCTACTCCTCTCTATGACAGCGAGTCGCCTATGCTGTGCCTGTATCAGCAGTTACACTGTGTCTAAGCCCTTTACTCCCCTCTCTTGACAGACGCAGGCACCTCTGCGCTGGAAGGGCCGTGACGGCGAGCCCATTTCGGTGGACAACTCAGTGACGCTGTGGGCGCGTCAGCTGCGCGACATTCACACCTCGCTGACCCTGCCCGGGCTGAGCGCCGACGAGCGGTCAGACATCTTGGCCACGCTGGCCGACCTGGTGAGACTGGATCGGACTTGGGAGGGTGAGAAAATCAGCGCACGATTACGTGTATTTTGCGCAATCATGTGACAGGTGTCAATACGTTGAGTTATGGAAGTTGTCAGGTTTTGGGGGGTGGGACCATATGGTGGGCATCTTTTTGTTAAAATGTGTTGTTTCGGTTACCGTGAGCACTGTTGAATCTGTTTTGGTGTTCATATTATAAGAGGAGTAATACGTTATCATGCGGAGTGAGTTTGGTAACCATCATTTTATTCGGTCGATTGTTAGCCAGTCAGATGTGCGACATATCCGCGCTTCTCCCTCCTATTCGGCTTCTAACGCCCATCCGTCCGCAGATCGCCGGCCTGCCGTTCTCGGCCGATAACCACGAGCTGCGGGACCTCTGTAAGCGCGAGATGGACCTGCTGTCGCGCGGGGTGACGCCGCGGCACCTGGCCGGCCTGAGACACCGCTCCCTGCAGCTCTTCTGGCGACTGCTGAGGGATGTCAACTTCAACCCGGCCTCGGCCAAATGCCAGAAGGTGCGTCCTAGGCCACAGTGGCTAGGAGTTCTGCTGGGTCTGGCATGGCTAGCTAACAGGGTCCACTTTTGATACTATCCTGGCTGATAAAAATGTACATAATTTACCGCGTTTTTTCATGATGTTTGCTAATACTCTATGATGCTTACACATGTTGCTTCACTGCCTGTAAATTTTCCTCATCTCGCCTTATTGCTTTTGGATGATGTCTGCCGTCACCATCACTGTCCCCGACTGACGTGTGCCTTGTTTTGACGTGCGTCAGGTACCGCTGGACCCAGAGTCGATCCGCGGTGACGTCAACACGTGCACCTCGTGCCACCGCTGTCTGCCGAGACACCAGTTCCAGGTGGACGCCAGCGACGTTACCCTGAGGAGGTACGTCAGAGCGGCGGGGAATTGGTGGGTGTGGGAAAGTGCAGTGGGATGGATATTGATTTAGGGGTCGTGAATGAACTGATGTCCCATATCAGACTTAAGGACTTATGCCGTCATAAATAATGCAGCTAGCGAATGCCATTATTGTCTTATTTTTTACAGCCTAGTGGTGACTTGTGCGCAGTACAGAGTGCCTCTGTCGTTGGCTTCAACTCTAGTTAGATGTGTAACCACTAACCACCAACCATCCTTACCGCTCCGTCCCGCTACTTTCCCTCAGGTGCCGTATGTGTGAACAGCTGCAGAACTGGGCGCTGCGGCGTCACGACAACAACGTGCTCGGGAAGATGCTGGAAGAGCTGCGCCGTGACGAACAGAACCGGTCACCGGGCTCGGCAGCCGTCTGCCTCATACAGGTCAGCGGAGGATTACTGACGGGTCAGTGGTACTCTAGTATATGTGAGAGAGGACAGCCTGCAGTCGAAGTACGGGGAGCGTGCGTGGGGTTTGGTCACTGGCAAGTCTTTCCTCGCTACATACGGTGTGAGAAAGGTGTACGACTTTCGCTACCCATGTGTGTGCGAGGCCTACGTGTGACTTATGATCTGGGTATGGGACAGGTTAATGAGTCTGACACATGTATTTGTTTCTGTGACAGGAGTCTGACTTCCGCCACCTGGTGCTGTCGCTGTGGGGCGGCCAGTCCTGTCTGACATACCACCTCTGTCTGTGTGTTACAGGAGTCTGACTTCCGTCACCTGGTGCTGTCGCTGTGGGGCGGTCAGTCCTGTCTGACATACCACCTCTGTCTTTCATGTGTTACAGGAGTCTGATTTCCGTCACCTGGTGCTGTCGCTGTGGGGCGGCCAGTCCTGCCTGAGCGCCGATCCGGACCTCTATGAGCTGCTGCTCTGCCGCTGGGACGTGGAACAGCCCTGGACGCCTTGGAACTGCGTCCTGCTCACCAGAGACGAGACCGAGGCGCACTACAAGCTCGGAAAGCCGCAGCAGGTCAGTGATGACACACCTGGAGGTGCGCGTGCGTTCTTAAAGTGGATGACGATCCAGGAACGAGACGGCTATACCAATCATGATTTCAGTGTCTCGTTATACTTCTCGCGTGACCAGTGTGTGCTTTGTCCAAACTCTCCCACCTCCAGCTAGCAGTACGGCCTGTAATATATGTATCAGGTACCGGTGTGCTCCTCTCCTTTCTTCCCAGTAGCGGTACTGACGAGTGTGACCGTACCTCATCTCCCTCACAGCGGTACTGACCGTTTTGTGGCTGTACTCCTCTTCCCCGGCAGCGGTACGGGCCGGAGCTGTGTCAGCGGGTGCGTCTGCGGCACGTGGCCGCCAGTCGCTACTTCTGCCACCTGCCGGCCATGGTGGCCCGCCTGGAGGCCGGGCTCACGGAGCGCGAGACGGGGCCGCCGTCACCGGGCGCCTGCCGCCGGCCGGCCGCCGCGCCCGCCTGACCTGCCGAGAGGCCACCACCGCCACCCGGGACCTCCAGCTGACGGAGAAAACCGGGCGGCACGGACAACGCACCGCTCCGACGCGCCTTGTGATAAATTAGCGCCACGTCAGGCCGGGCTCGAACGAAGCGAACGTAGTCGAGAGATCTGACTAGTCATGTAAATCGGTGTCTGTGGCTGCATGTTTGTGCCAGGTGATATAATGCACGGGTTTGGCGCTTGCGTTGGCGGTCTCTCGTTATTTTGGAGGGGTGTATTGTGGCATCTCTGCTGGTGTAGTAAATATCATGCTGATAGATATCCTGCAAAATCGTGTATTCCATGCCAAGCAATTGTCGTTTTGTCTGCTTGTCTTTTGTCCTTGGACCAACAACGCCGCATTTACTCAGTTGAATAAAATTGCGTGCTTTGCCTATTTGAATTTTCACAACAAAATCCAGAACCAGGGAAAAGCCACGCAGCTTTTGAAAGCTCTCATCACCAGAGGTTAGTTTCATTCTCTTCAGATTACGCTTGTCGAAGTGCTAGGACAACGGTGAAAGCTCAACCGATCATATATCCCGCGTGTGTTCTCCACTCGGATTCTTCCACAAAAGTTGTAGACCGACGCAAACGCCGATTGTATAATAGGCAGTATATTCCAAAAATACGCGTACTGCGTAGAAAACTACGATGAAATATGATAAGCGATGAGATTCTCTAGCAATCCCAGCGTATTTCACGGGGAATGGTAAGCGATATTTAGCCAAAAAGCTCAGCGTGCAAATCTAAAACAGAACTACGAACGGGGTGTGCAACGTACGAGCTTAATTAAAAAACAACGCACATCAATTATTGATTCACTGCGGGTGCATTGGACGGACTAAATCAGCAGCCACCAGCACTCCAGATGAACTCGCAAGCATGCGAGTTGCGAATGGATTACACAAACAGCTAGCTACGTCCCAGCACGCTTCCAGAGTCGACACATTTGGTGACATCAATTACATACCAGCAGTAATACCTCGGCTATCAGAAGCAACCCGACAAGTTGGAATGTTACAAACAGTCTCGATAACGCTGACTGCCGGGGAGATTCAGACAAAATGGATGTTCGGCAGAAAGCCGATGGACGGACGTATTTACACAGCGCTGGAGACAACAAACGGACGGACGGACGGACGGAGGCGCGAGCCTGTTGCCCGCCTCGATACAAGCCTCAACACTGCGCAGAACGGGCAGGTAGATACATGAGGGAGAGAAAACTCCGTTTCCTCAGAACACGTTCTGTGGATCGGTCAACAGTCAACACCTATCCCGATCGTCTGAAAGTAGCAGCGACGACCAGAGCACTCATCAGCAACCGATCACTAAAAGCAGTAGACCCAGCCGCTACCACATCTCTCCCAACGGCGGCAGGGCAGGCCGAGTCCCAACTGGTGACCGTAATACCCATCACTGCCTCGGGCACCCAGCGCTAGCGCCGCGTGCCACCGATGAGCACTCGAAACCATGACCGCACTCGGCGCTCACAGCTGCGGGTAGTACACCTCGATGATGGGCATCTGGTTGAACTTGATGAGCTGGTACTGCGAGTAGACGCACAGGTGGCAGTAAAAGTGCAGCGCCGCGAACAGGTACAGGATGACGAGCGCCATCACCGAGTACAGCTGAAACGACAGTGGTAGTAGTGTCAGCGGCGCAGTAGGTAATCAAGAGGTACACAATCAATGTGTAGCGTCTACGGTACATCAGTGGTCCATCAGCCAGTCGTATATAGGCGTTACGTTAGCAGTATGTCATCGATTGGACGCTACAACCGAAGTGCCGTCCGATCTAATACTGAAACAATTTAATTCACACATGTCGGCACCCTTGACTTAACCCTCGCCCGCACATGCCATTTTCCCATCCTAGAACGCACATGGGGGGGGTGGTTGCCACCCCCCCGCGCCATTTCGTTCCTGTTGGAGATAGAGCTTAGCAGTAAAGACCAAAAAGATTCTTTGGGAAGAGACGAATCCAATGATACCCAGTTTTACCTTCTCAGGTCAGTCATTGACCTTCCAGGTCAGGTCAAACTAAAAAATGTTGCTGTTTTGGGTCACCGTTGGATATCAAGTGTGCTGCTTATCAAATACCGATGACGATGCTGTTTTCTGGTGCCAAGCCAGCTAGAACCTCTTTGTCACACTACCCGACCAGAATTTTGCTGCTGAGGTCATTTCAGGTCAAGTTAGGTCAAGGTCAATTATATGTGTTTGTATGTCTGTGTGTGTCTGTGTGTATACTGATGTGTGCACCGATTGTTTTTGGGTCCATATTACATAAAATCATGATCTGAGAAGCTTTTACCAAAAATGCAGTCAAAAAACTTCAAAAAAAGTAAATTCAGCTTGCCTAAAACGCAATTATCTTAGGTGACCTAGGTTGACCTTGACCCTGACCTTGACCCCTGTACATCGTCGAACAACATGTTCCATGATAGGTAGGAGGTAAGACTGGCAAAAAAGGCCGAAATCAGGGTGTCAAAAGCTCATAAGGCCCATGGCAAACGCAAGATGTTGAGAATTGGCCATTTGGGTCATGACATGACCTGAAAAACAAGGTCATATCTCCGAAACCAAAAATCACAGAAACTTGAAATTTTCAGTGGACATCAAGAAAGAATAGAGGAGCAGCTATACCAAAAATCAGCCTTCTAGCTCTAAAAATGTTGAGTGCAGAGCAGAAAGACTACCTGGGGGGGGGGTGGCAACCACCCCCCCCATGTGCGGGCGAGGGTTAACCGGCACGGTCACCAAATAAAACCGTCTGACCCATTCTGAGCTTATATGAATAATACACGTTCACACCGAGAGAGTCAAATCAGTCCACCACTACCAACGCAACGATCCGCGATGCAGTATGTGTATACCCACCAGTGAGTAGTACGTGTAGACGAGCCAGCCACCGAACACGAGCATCAGCAGCACGAACAGGAAGTTGTAGATGATCCACGGCAGCAGCATGAAGCGCAGCTCGCGCTTTACGCCCGACGACATCATCAGCGTGAGCGAGGCGAAAATCACAAAGTACAGGATAAGACCGAGGCCCCAGCCCAACGTCGCTGTGGGTAGACAGACGGTCAGGTAAGAAACGGCTCAGAGATAGCGATCGTGAGCTGACTGGTCATTTATTGACTGCATATTAACTACCTATCAAATAAGATAAGAGCAAACGAATCTTGAAAGTCGACAAGAACAGACGGAGGCGCGGTTGCCGAGACACAGCCAAGTCACAGAGTCAAACATATATAATAAAGACCCAAACTAAAAGCCAGTCGGCCTAGCCTCATCTATCCCGCCTCCGCTGCCGCCCAGCAATCCAGCCTCAGCCGCCGTCCCAGCACTCACAGTTACTATATCCGCCGTTGTTGCTCTCGAAGAGCGGCAGGTAGAACTGGGACGACTCTCCGCCGGCCATCTGGTAGATGACGAACACAATCGCCAGGATGTTCATCACCTGGGAACACAGACAGTGGACGGACGGTGTGAGACATGAAGCGAGCGGATCCACAGCATAGGCTGATAATGATAAAGTGAATAATTAAGTCATCACGGGGTATCGATGCACAACATCAGTACCTAAGTTATAAAAAAGAAGTCAGTCACATGGTGGCCATTGTCAGCCAAGGAATGAGCGGTAATCAACTACACATAAAATAGGTGACGCAGAAATAGTTTAGGATGGATAGAAGCAGGATAGTCACGAATATTGAATAAATGCAGTTCTTCTGCTCATTGGGTACCTACCTGTATTAGTACCAAATAGCAATGCATAATTCATATTCAATGTACAAAGGACAATATATTAAAAAAATGGATCACCAGAAGCTCCTAGACAGGAAACTAGTGCTCCAGACACTCACCAAGCAGTATGCGGCCACAGCATGGCTTCCTTGTCTGGTGTTGTCATAAAACATCCAAGGACTCCAGCAGGACCGGATGATCATTTTGCAGTCTCCTTTTCAATTCTGAAACAAAAGTTAACATTCAGCTACTGGGCATTGACAGGTAAAAATATTATACAATTCTCTAAATGGGCATTTCACATTCAGTCAGACTGACTGTCAACTAGTTTATCATTTGTCCCATAGATTAGGTAGGTATATTGGATTACAAAACATTTGATCCACCTTAGCCTGTGGTGGAACTTGGAGCCTGGCCATAATGACGATTCCAAAACAACCCCAGTTTCTTCAGTGTTAAATCTAAATACCTACATGAATAGCATGTGACCTCAACAAGGCTGGCCTGGTACACAGGGCCTGGTTGGTTGGTCTATTGTTAGGGTGAGTACATGCAGAAGCCAGGTGATGAAAGTGAAGGCTTCTGCATGATAATGCAACCTTTAACACGATAAATTGGACATGAAGCTACAGGGTGTCCCAGAATTACCCGGACATTTATTTTCTGGCTAAAAGTACGATTGCGCTCGATTCTAATGATATACAAGCATCATACTTTTATAAGATATCCCTAAGCTATCAAGCTTGGGGACTGTGTGCTTTTGGTGGCCGGTAACAACTCGAGTCAAGTATTATCTAGAGTCAAGTAAGAGTAGTCCTTTTCCGTTTTCAGCTTAAGCCACTTATAGGCAACGATGGTCAATCAACTCCCGTTTTCAACTTTGTAAACGGACTTTCGGCATGGTTTTCGCTGGAGAGCTTCAGCAGCTCATCTGCAAGCAGTTAGGATTGAGCAAAGCGCAATTATATCAGCTAACGAAGCCAGAGAGAGCAAGAGATAAACCTGATTGACAAGCTTGGGCTCGGCCATAAAGGGCCATGCACCAGTTGTCAAACGGGTGGTTGCTTGTCATGGACAACAAACGTCACTGATCTAGCTAAAAACTAGCAAAACGATAGATCAGGATTATCTAAAGAACATCAGTCTACTTTCCACCACTATCTTCGCAAAATTTTGGAATTTGGGGTCCCTCGCCTGAAAAAGATGCGAAAACTACGGGAAAAGCAGCGAAAATCACTACAATTCATCCCAAAAATATAACATATACAACAAAAATTATATTGAAGCACACTTTGTGGTCTAACGAAGGTATTCTGTCATTTGAACCGCCCGAAAAAGGCTTGTGTGAACGTCAGATGGCTACAACGCCCCAACAGCAGAGACGGCCAGGCACCCGTCGAAAATCAAATTGTGAGACATTTTGAGCCACCGTGCACTCATTGGGCTTGATATGATGGCCCAACGACAGCCGTTAGCACAAAGTGCTACTGCGGTAATATTCTACCAGTAAAAAAACTGGATGCCGTAAACCAAATGGCCATGAACGGGTTTGTTTTGGAAATCAAATCTATTGGAAGCCAAAGGTCCCGCCATGTTCAGACATGGAGCTTCTCCACTTCAGATGTAAAAAACGCGGCAAAAGTGGTGTAGGCAGCAATTTTTGTTTTGGGGGATAAAGCCTTATGACCCGGGAACACTTTGATGTTAAGTTTATCTTATATGATCGTATTATCCTCCGGCAACAGGTCAAAGAAAACAGGCCTTCGCCCAGTTTCGGGAGAGCCGTAAAACAACTGAGACCAGCAATGGCTGGCATTTTCAATCATTGTCGGCTGATCTTGTAACAAGCGTATCTATTGCATGTGCTATTTCACAGCCACCCTAGTTGACTATATAGGACGACAAAAAGAAAAAAGCGCAATCATGTTTGCCTTATTTTATACGCTAATTAACAATGTCCGGGTAATTCTGGGACACCCTGTAGATGACAATGTACAGGGTGTCCCAGAATTGAGCGAACATTCATTTCCTGGCTAAAAGTACGATTGCGCTCGATTCTAATTAGATATACTTTTATAAGACATGCCTTAGCTATCGAGCTTGGAGACTGTGTGTTTTTGGTGACCGGTCACGACTCGAGTCAGTTATTATCCAGAGTCAGCAAAGACTAGTCCTTTTTCGTTTTCAGCCTCAGCAACCAAAAAAAAATTCATGGTGAATAATTCTGAAGTTCGTAAACGGACTTTCGGCATGGTTCTTGCTGCAGAGCTCCAGTAGCTCATTTGCAAGCAGGCAGGGGTGAGCAAACTGCAGTTATATCAGCGAGCGAAGCCAAAGAGAGCAAGAGATAAGCTGATCGTCAAGCCTGGGCCGCGACCAAAAAAGAGCATGCACCAGTCGTCAAGCGGGTGGTTGCCATGTCATGGACAACAAACGTCACCCATCTACCCAAAAACAAGCTAAACGACAGATCAGGGTTAGCTACGAAACATCAGTCTACTTTTGACCACTATCTTCGACAAAATTTTGGAATTTGGGGCCCCTCATCTGAAAAATATGCCAAAACTAACGGAAAGACAGCGCAAATCACTACAAAGCAGCCATAAATCATAACATATGCAACAAAAAAGTGAATGGAAACACACTTTGTGGTCCTACGAAGGTATTCTGCCCTTTGAAGCGACATAAAAAGTCGTGTGTGGACGTCAGATGGTGACAACGCCCCAACAGCGGAGACGGCCAGGAACTCGTCGAAAATCAAAGTGTGAGGCATTTTGAGCCACGGTGCACTCATTCAGCTTGATACGATGCCCCAAAGACGACCGTTAACACATATTGCTACTGCGGTAATATTCACGCATTACAAAAACTGGTTGTCGTGAACTGAATGGCCATAAACGGGTTTGTTTTGGAAACCAAATCTGTTGGAAGCCAAAGGTCACGTCATGTTCAGGCATGGAGGCTCTCCACTTCAGATGTCAAAAAACAGCGCAACAGTGGTGTAGGCAGAGTTTTTGGTTTTGAGAGAAAATGCCTCATGGCCTGAGAACAGTTTGGATGCAAAGTTAATTGAAAATATTTATAGTATCCACCGGCAAGAGGTCAATGAAAACCGTCTTACAACCAGTTTCGGGAGACCCGTAAAACGACTGAAGCCATCATCGTCTGGCATTTAGCTACAATTGTCGGCTAATGTTGTAGCTAGCGTGTCTATTGCATGTGCCATTTCGAAGCTACCCTCACTGGCTATATCGGACGATAAAAAGAAAAAAAAACTGCAATTATTTTTCCCTTAACTTATGCACTGATTAACAGCGTTCGGTCAACTCTGGGACACGCTGTATGCATCACATGCCTCTACTCAGAGAATACATCTAGGAAAACTAAGAAAATAAAACCAACCTCAATGTGGCCTTGAATTTGGTCCCCAAAGCTTGGAAGATATCTAAGAGTGCTAAAAGACCAATAGCTTCCTGAGGGGACAGCAGACTGCAGTGTGCTCATGCTGTGTCCCAATGACCATTATCTTTGGCCATGTTGCACCAGCCACCATAACCTCGATAAGCACTGCACTGAGGTAAGGCTAGCACAGCTCCAAATAAGATATGCAACAGCTTCCTGACACAGCAGCAAAACTGCAGAGGCATCACATCATAAATTAGGCATAGCCCCACCTCACTGACAGTCGTCAGGTAATACAATGTTGTGCATTATAGTCTGTGTACCTCTCGCTGCTGTTATATGCAACTTCAAGTAGGTAGGTTAGGTAGGTAAAGGCTTAAAATCATTTAACAGCATGCAAATTTGATGCAAGCTCTTCGCCGACGACACGAAGATTTACCGTCGGATGGTGGGCAACCGGGATGACGTGGGCCTGCAAGCCGATATCGATGCGCTTGGTGAGTGGTCTCGGAAATGGATGCTTCCGCTCAATGTCGCGAAATGCAAGGTAATGCACACTGGCCATCACCATCCAAACCTGACCTACACGCTGCACGGTACCCCGATTGAAGCGAGCGACGAGGAAAAGGACCTTGGGATCGTGATCGACAGCGACCTGAACTTCAAGAAACAGGCATCAGCGGCCGTGTCAAAAGCTCGTCAAACCCTGGCTGTACTGAGACGCTCTTTTGCGAACATCAACGAGTCCACGCTACCATTGCTTTTTAATGCTATGGTCAGGCCGTTGTTGGAATACGGTAACACGATATGGGGACCATTCAGTACCTATAGGCAGCCAGAAGAGGCTGGAACGAGTTCAGCGCCGGGCGACCCGAATGGTCTCGTCCGTGAGACACTTGCCATATCGAGAAAGACTACATAGCCTCGGAATGCCTTCACTGTTCTGCCGCCGCCGCCGAAGAGATATGATCACCGCGTACCAGCTGTTGCACGGAGGCATGGCGCTGACACCGGAGAAGTTTCTGACATTGAACGAGTCTGACCGGACAAGAGGACACAGATGGAAGCTGGGCAAACCACATGCTAGAAAACTTGTGAGCAGAAACTCCTTTAGTATCAGAATAGTCAACGACTGGAACACACTTCCAGACTCTGTGGTGTCAGCGACGTCGGTGAACCAATTCAAGGCGCGACTGGACAAACTCTGGAAGAACAAGATGTATGACATCCCTTTACCCTAAGAGTCCAGTATGTACATCCTCACGAGCTTGATGAGAGCGGGATCCTCAGGCCAAGTGGCCTTCTTTAACCCGAACACCTTGAAGGTAAGGTAGGTAAGGTAATTGTCAATGACAAGGCCACAGCCCACATCAGCGCAACCCACTTGCAACTGTTATAGTTAAGGTAAAACATCCAGCAAGGCTCATCGCCCAATAGGTAGGTAGGTACTGTAAAAAAGCAATGTTCACTCATAACCCATCTTGGTCTACATGAACAAACACACACAAACACACTTTTAGGTAAACACTTAAGACAATTTGAGCTTGGAAGAAAAATATCCAGCAAAATATTCAAATAGTGCTTTATCCCCGGGCCGGCTTGGGCTGGCAGTTCAAAAAGCTTAGAAGTCCTGACTTCCTGAGGTAACTCAAGCAATTGAAATTGAAATGTACACACTGATTTAAAAAAAAAATAAGAAAAATTCCGAATTCCTTCTCTCGCTTTAGCCGTTGAACCCAAGTTGAACGAGTTGAACCAAGGCCAACGGTATTGACGGGTATGTGGTAAGCGTCGCTGTTCAGAAGATAAAGTAGTAGCAACCTGTTGCCTAGCAGTTTGTTTGAATTGTAACATTTCTCGCATACAATTGGCTTAGAAGATACTTAGCGAATGCAATATAACTGCAAATCCTGTGAGCGAACATAATACGCCCTGCGCCATGAGCGTCTTTAGCACGTTAAATGAAACTTTTAGGTAGGAGCTCAAGTGAGCCGGCGTCCTATTCCAACAACAACAACAACAACTCAAGTGAGCCATTCACGGTGACTATGAGCCATTGAGCTGCCATTGAGCTAAAAAGAGGAGCAAAAAATCTCAGGCAAGGCCAATGGATTAGAAAGCAGTATAGAAATAATCATAAATTTAAAGTGAAGTGGCCTTGAGTGTAGTTATTGAGTGATGAACTGGTAGTATCAGTATAACCTTGTAGTTGGATTAGATTTGTTCAGTCAGTCTTAGCTCTGTTTGGTCGCTGTTTTTATATCAGCATGCTGTCAGCGTTCCCCATACAAGGAAATTATTGCTGGCGCTTCTTGGCCTCGTCTCATTAGTCATTGGTCTAACGAATAGACCACCGGCTGAATAAGTTGAATTCGACCAATGAGGAGCCAAGAAGTAGCAGCTAAGAACTAAGCTCCACCCACCGCATCCCTACGTCAGCCTTCCGTCACCACACACAGCAACCGCTGTGGTCGATCGGGACTGGCCACATGGAATCGTTCACCACACTGTGATGTCATAGCCACCTACCCATCCCCTAAACCCCACGCCTGCTGCACACACCGGCCACTGCACTCAGCAGTTTGCGGTGCCCGTGAACAACCCTCTTGCTCATCACTCAGGCTGCCCAAGGTTAAGGAGTCAGCCTAGCATTTGTCAAGCATGGCTTGAACATCTCTGCAGAAGTTGCATTAGCCATTTTAGTGACCAGATGATCCATGTTGCCTTTGACATGTTTTGAGTGATGGACAGAATGCGCTGAAATTTTGGTGCAGCTTCTGGTGTAATTTTGCACAAAAATTCTGGCACATGGGTGGACAAAGAAATTTTGGCACTAGCCACTAACAGATGATATTAGAAATTTCTGTGCAAGATGGCAAGAACTTACCTTAGACCAACCTTAGCTCACTTCAATTGCTGCACTCTACTTTCAAATCATTAGCCCAGGTCAAGTACTGATCGGTGACTGGGTCTGCCCCTGCCCAAGCCCCCTGGGTTTGCATTTGTGACAGCTGTCAGATGATTGGAGCTAAAATGCAGACTGGGCTGGTTGATCTTCAGGCTCCTAATTGCTGAAGTTGTGTCTGCAGCCATAGTAAACAGTCTATAAGTGGGGTTTCACAGGGCCCAAGAAGACTTGTCAAACTACTAGACCTAAGGTTCCTGTCCATGCCCTGTAATGTGGGGTGCAATTACATTAGGAGGAAGCTTGTTCGCTGAGTCGTCTGAAGATACATTCAGAAGTTTTGCATGCAGTTCAGTTTGATGATCAATGTTCAGTGCTCTGGATGATTGTCTATTATCCAGTGCTGTTGCTATGTCGAGTGATATTCCCGAGCTTTATGTCTTTTATGTCCTGGAATGAATGAGACAATACCGCCCTACGGGCTGCTCGCGAAAATGTCATGGTTTTATAAGTGCCATATCCATATCGCAGGCTCATGTCATCTCTCATTTCATTTTGGAAGTAGGTACAGGTCTCGCGGGTTTAACGGTAGGTTTTGCACCTAGAAAATTTAGTGTACTTCAGACTATATCTTCGTCGTTCTAAGCTTTTAAGTGTTGAAGATGCGATCGACTTGTTGGGTAACAAGCCGGCCATGATCGTGTAAAATGGCTTCATGGTAGATCGTTTAGTTTCTGAGATATAACCGGAAATGTAAAAGTGCAAAACCTACCGCTTAATCTCGCTAGAGCCGTACTTTGAGCCGTGACTATAGCGACAGAAAAACATTCTTGTCGGGAAAGCATTCTTGTTCAATGCTTTTTATCCAGTCTCTTTGTTATTTGTTATCTAACTTTTTAACGTTGGTGGCATAGATAAGCATGTGTAGGTGCGTGAATGGTAAAAAGGTAGACACAATATGACACGAATAAGCTTCAACTTTCGGCACGAATTGTGCTAAAATTTCTACGCAAAACCGCTTGCGCCGAATTTCGGCGCTTGAGGGTCCCTTAGGCGTCCGGCGTAGTGTATAGATTTTTCCAGTCTAGCTCAGTGGGAAGGCGGTCATTCAAAAATTTATTGATTGGACCAGGGGGTGTTCACGGGCACCGCAAACTGCTGAGGGCGGTGTGTGCGGTGTGTGCAGCAGGCGTGGGGGTAAGGGATGGGTAGGCGGTTCTGACGTCACGGCTGCGTTCGGTGGACGGTCCCCTGTGGCCGGTCCCGAGGGCTGTTCACGGGCCCTGTGTGCGATCGGACCGTACACAGCCTCCAAGCTCCGCCCACTGCGTCCCTGCATCAGCTTTCCGTCACCGCACACAGCGACCGCTGTGGCCGGTCAGGACTGGCCACAGCGGACTGTCACCGCACGCAGCCGTGACGTCAGAACAGAACCGCCTACCCATCCCCTACCCCCACGCCTGCTGCACACACCGCACACACCTCCCTCAGCAGTTTGCAGTTCCCATGAACACCCCTCCGTGTTCCGACCGACCACAGCGGTCGCTGTGTGCGGTGACGGAGGGATGACGTAGGGACGCGGTGGGCGGAGTTTGGAGGCTGTGTACGATCCGACCGCACAGAGGACCCGTGAACAGCTCTCAGTAATATGTATTATGTGCACTGCCAGATTCTGGAGTTTGCTGTTTGGTTTTCTATTGGTGACCCCTGGTCAACAATACCTACTGTTGGAATTGGATTAAATATAGTCAAATACAGAAAAGGTACTGTCAGTTGAGTGTGGCATTGGCTAGGTCTATTGTTAGCTGTCTTACCTATAGTCATACTATTACCACCATAAGCTGCCAACACCTACTGTTTATAGTATACACACCCACCAGATGCCTCCTAAGCGTAGCTCATCTCATAACCAGCAACTCCATCCTGCTGGCCCATCTGGTGAGTCTCAGTCAGGGACCACTGGTACCAATGCTTGGAATATACCACGTGGGTAAGTTTATGATCGCATTCCTCACGGGCTTCCTGCACCTCCAGCTGCTTGATTTCACTTATGGGCATCACCTTCACATGGCTGCAGACATGGGTGCTCTATGGTATAGGCTTGGTAGGACCCGAGCCGTACCAAATATTTCACAATTTTAACCTTATCCCCAGGGTGCTGCATGGTGAGAATGGCTTTTGTATCCTAAAGTTAACCATTAGAGCCCTATCCTAAAATTTCATCAATAAAGTGACGCCCGTGGCTGCAGAGCTGCTGCGATGCAGATAACTTTTGAGCACAGTGGCTTCAGTCATTTCATGTGCAGGGTCGTCATAAGGGACCGGTAGTCTGTTACATCGGGGAATCACGGCGAAAGCCTTTCCATCTTTTGGTCTAATAATAATTTCTACATTACACTCCAGACGCTTTGGTGGGACGCTGTTCACGTTCACGTTGAGTGCTCTGCCCCTCGGCGTGGGGAGATGCAACCGAGTTTGGCTTCCTGGGCAATATGGTTCGCACCTCGCAGCTTGATCGCTCTGCACTTTGGATCCGTGAACTGCCTAGTTAGTCCTGTATGCCATGCCACACGATTTTATTCGGTACGGACTTTGCTTTATCTTTGCGAGGGACGGTTGTGTGTGTCTGTAAGTGGGCTCATTGGTGTGTGTGTGGATGAATGTTTGCCATTTTTAAGAAGTGTGCTTTGCATTTATTTTAGCATGCATCTTTTATTCACGGTATGATTCTCAGATGAAAACGATTTTTTTTTTCGATGGTGCTGCACGACGAACTCACCCTTGTCAATTAATGTTGCGACTCTACTGTCCAGTGTCCATGCACATGTGTGTGTGTTTTTTTAACTTATGTTGCGTAGCTTTAGCTGTAAACTTCTTTCCTTATTGGCCAATGAATCACCCAGTATAATTGAGTTCATTTTTATTGGAAATGGGTGACAACCCATGCGTGTGATTTCATCTCACCTGTTTTGTTTGCAGGCTTCTAAGAATGCCGCGAGGAAGACCGAGACAGTCTCAGAATGGGACCAGAGCCACGCAGGATGATGACGTGAGTGACGGTCGTCCCCAATACTGACTCACCGGGCATCCAACTGATTATCCGCTGACGACAGCTGGTGCGACAGTCTAATACTGACGGTCTTGTCCGTCCCTATCCCGTCTGTAACGGTCTATGTTATCTACAGGGTGTCCCATAAGTTCGTTCTCACCTAAATTTTACGTTTTTAGGCTTTCTTGCTTAAAGGCACGCTGAAATTGGTTCGTAACTGAGCTTACATGGTTGCCATGGGTGGTAGAAATATGCTCCACAGTAGCTAATTTCTGTAGACAAAATAGTTTTTGCTAGAGAGCCCGCTTCCTACAGACACGGCTAACGCCGCAACATAGAGGTCTCCGATACGGGTACGTCTCAGTATTTAGTCAGCACGTGACCATTCGCGACGATTGAGGGTGATTGAGGCCTACCAGTCTGTAGCCAATATCCATCGCTAACTGGACGCACAGTCAGCAAGTGACGCCGATGATTTGTTGGGAGTCAATCACTGCAAGTTTATCCTCTTTCTAGCCAGCCCTCAGGAATGAGCCAAGTGGCCAAAACTGTGTGGCGCCAAAGTGGCCATCAAAAAGGTCAAAGGGTTAGAAAGTTGGTAAACATACTTTTCAGGATGGATTACCAGCTGTCTAAGAGTGTTCTTTCGGGGTACATAACTCAAGGTGACTTAAGCTTTGCTTACCGGAGGGCACAAAACAGTCAAAAACGTCTTAAAATGGCCAAACATGAGTTTCGTTATGCCTGAGGCTAAACAAAACTAGGGGGCTGATGACATCAGCCAGGTCATCTGGACTAACTAGTCCACGTTCGAGATGAAACACCCGTCCAAACCCGAAAACAACCCCATAAGGGCGAAGGAGGAGGCCTTCATTTCGTCCCGTTATGTTCCTATGCAAGAGGCCAGGGTCACTGTGTTGTGGGGTTATAGGCGTTCTGGAGTTGATCAAGTTACAAGTGGCAACCCAGAAACAGTTTTGGGAAGCAGAGTGCTTTTCCAAGAACATCCAGGAGGAATTTCAGCCCTCAAGCTGAACTCGAACCGCGAGTATGAACACATTTATAGAGGAGAAAATGGCATCCGGGAGGTCGTAGGCCCATCTTCAGGCAAGACAGTGCATCAGTGCACAGGTCAAGCAAAGCTTAAAAGCGGTGCAAGCAGACTGTGACAGGCGTTTGTGGCAAGATCACATGCCAGGCACCTCATCGGATCAAAATTTCATAAAAATTTGTTGGTTATGCTCAAGTTGAGGCTCGTCGAAGCGTAGCGCTGTTCCAGCCTCGAGGAGCTCACGGCGCATGTCAAGTCAGTCTGGGTTAACTTTAAGCCTGCTATGCAGCCAAACATGCCGGTTGGCATGCCGCAGCATGCATTCATGTGTTTGCCTATTAAATGGGGAGCACATTGAGGGGTCATAAATATACCAAAACGCAATGTACTCTGTTTCACATGCAAACATAATGTGAGAACGAACTTATGGGACACCCTGTATATTATGGACGATGCCTCGGTCCCAATGGCCCAGGCACTGGGTGACCCAAGAGTGCGGCTATCGTTTCCCGTGTATAACCTGTGAAGGTAAATGATCCCGCTCCCTGTCAATAACCCCTATGTTCAAATCCGTTTCCCGTCTGTGACGCTTATGTACGCTTCTCGTTCCCCATACCTATGTAACGCTTTTGTGTGATTTCCGTTCCCCCACATATAACACCTATGTGTCACTCCCGTTCCCCGCCTGATAACCCGTTCACCGCCTGTAACCCGTCTGTGCGACTCCCTCTCCGCCGCCAGGACGGGCCGCTGTCGCAGTCACTCTCGCAGTCGCAGTCGCAGACCCAGCGGCGCTCTCAGCGGCGCCTGTCTCCGGTCGAGGAGGAGCGGCTGGCCGCCCGCGTGGTGCGCTACGTGCTGGCGGCGCACGGCCGCGGCGAGCCGCTGCGCCGAGAGAAGGTGCGCCGCCTGGCGCTGGAGCCGCAGCACGGCGGCTACGTGAACCAGGTGCTGCAGGCGGCCGACGTCAAACTGAGAGACGTGAGTGGGGCGGCGTGTGTCCTCTCTGGGCCGACCGGGTAGGGAACTGAGCTAACTGGGGGGAGCGGATGAGGCGTAATAGATTGGGATTTATGCCTGTGTGTCATCCCTTTCTCTCTCTCTCTCTCTCCCCCCTCTCTCTCTCCCTCTCTCTCTCTCTCTCTCTCTCTCTCTCTCTCTCTCTCTCTCTCTCCTCCCCCTCCCTTTTTCTCTCTCTCTCTCTCTCTCTCCTCCCTTCGGCCCTCCCCACTTCGCTTTCTCACTGTAGGCACATGTTGGTACGCTTCCCGTTGCTACCAGTGTTCGTTCTCCCTAACTAAATGTAAGTCTTATCCGACATCACTGGACCCTTCGCTGGTTTATCCAGCTGAGCTACCCCTCCCTCCCCGCCGTGCTAACTCTAACATCGTCATCCCCAGGTGTTTGGTATGTCGCTGGAGGTGTTGCCCAACAAGCGGGACCTGCTGCTAGTTAACCAGCTCCCCGTGGTGGAAAATGCGCCGCCACTGCTCGCAGAGTCCGAGCTTCAGAAGCACGGCCTGCTCGTCGCCATACTGGCGCTCATCTTCATGAGTGGGGACGCCGGCGTGGATGAGGGTACGTAGATAAATCAGAGCGACTGCGGCGGACGGACGTACGCGGTACGTGGCATTGTTATCTGTCAGATGCGGGTTATTTTTGCTGTTAGAATTGCGTATCACAATAGAATCAATGATCAAAGAATAAAGAGTATCATTGTCCTGTATGGTGGCCCTGTGTAACTTAGCGTCTCCAGGTATCAGGATCTGTGGCAACGGGTATAGACAGAACCCCTGCGGTTTTGAATCCGACATGTTCGGAGCGGTGATGAGCCACAGAAACCGATGCGCTCCCCGCAGCTGTGGTAGAGCGACATGACGACCGGTTCCGTCAGTAATCTCATTAGTTTAAGTCTGAGCTCCGAGCGCTGGTGCTGCGCCGCCGTGGATCTGTATTTGTGTGACTAACGGGAGCGATTCCCCGTCCCTATTCCGCCGGGTAGATACGCTGTGGAGGTTCCTGTCAAAGCTGGGCGTCCACAAGGACCATAAGCACGAGTGTTTCGGCAACGTGAGGAAACTGGTGACCGAGGTAAGTCAATGGGGCTGTGAGGCTAGTCAGCCTCTTCACACTACCATTAATTATGAGGCCGGTGAGAAGTGCATTAGGCTAGTCAGGAACGTATGACCGAGGTTTTTACCAGGGGTGGCGGACCGTGCTGACGAGTAATGACTGGTGTGACTGATGACTGATAAGTGACTGATATGACTGTTGTCACGGCAGCTGAACGCCTCACTGAGGTGTTACTGGAGTTCTGTCACGCCGGCTATGATCTTTCGTGTTTGACGCTGGCAGGAGTTTTGTCGCGACAGCTATAATGTGTAGTTTGTCTAACGTCGACAGGATTTCTGTCGCGCCGGCTATGATTTGACTAACTGGCTTCTGACGTCGACAGGAGTTTTGTCGCGCCGGCTACCTGCGTAAAGAGGAGGAGGTGGTGAAGGGTGTCACGGTGCTACGGTTCTTCTGGGGAGACGCCGCTTCTGTGGGTGTCGACGCCGTCGACCTGCTCAAGTTCGTCTGTACGGTGAGACACTCTTCGAGCTGAGTGAACGGAAATTGGGGAAGCATTCGAAAGTAATGGAAGTATGAATGGTAAGCTAACGAGTGGTGGGTTGATTTAGGAACTCTACACAAGGGAAGTTACGTAAGCGGGACGCTTAGAGGGAGGAGTTGAGTGAGAAACTCCAGAGTCCCGAAGAGGGTGTGTATATTATCACCGATATCACTAAATGTATTCTAGTTGCCCTGCGAGCGCCGTTGATCGTCCCGTCTCCCCCCCCCCCTCCCCACAGATCTGGGGTGACGAGGTGGAGCCAGAGCAGTGGCAGGAGCAGTATGAGCGCGCGCTGCAGCTGCAGGAGGCCCGCGAGCAGCGCGAACAGGCTCGGCAGCAGCAGTGACGGCCCGCGGTCCGTGCCACGGGCGCCCCGCGGCTCAGAGTGTGAGAGGAGCCTGCAGTACAAACTGGTAAGCTGTGGAAGGTAACGCGGGTAGCGCCGCGAGGTGGAGAGTGTTCGACCCGGGACTTTGTGCTGGGAGCGCGGACGGTGCTTGAAGTTCGGAATCAGTTGGCGAAGAGGTGCTTCAGACCTTCTGTCTAAGCCCAACGTCATGAGATTATTGTGTGAGATTTGATACCGAGGTGGTTCTGATGTACCGATGACAGGCTTGTCAAAGTAGCGCCTCATACTGAACAATTACGTTGCATTCGATGTCATTTTCATAACTGCCACCCGACTATCCCCGGGGTTTTCGCTTGTGCCTGGATTTGTCCACCATATGGACCACACTCACTCATCACATGTTGCCCCGGCTGCGTCCGTGATCAACGCACCCGATTCGGACTTTCGGACGGAAAAGCCATAGCTCGTCCGGGCGCTCTAGCGGCTTCGTCCTCGCTTGTACCTGAGCTTTCACGGCATCGAGTGTCTGTGCACGGTGTGTTGATTGTGCTTTGATTGTTCGCGAAGATACAACGTTGTTCCTTATCTTATGTGATGAACTGGAAGAATCGTGGATTTTCTGGGGCACACACCCGAACCACACATTAAGCGGAATGTATACTGTATGTATTTTATCACAGTCAATATCGGCTCCGACGGGGCCCGCCGCGCCTCGGTGCCCGATCTGCGGGACCTCCAGGGTCCGGCGCCCAGCCGAGGAGTCACCCTCAGGGACCAGCTCCTGATCTGATGTACCCTGTTACAGTGCACAACAAAAACCACCGTGCCAATCCATACCGAACAACAGTTGTCACAAGCACCCGCAGTCGACACGTCAACCGTGCTACCACAACACGTATCGCAGTTCGCACAGAAATAACAATCATCTCGCAAGCTTACATAAAATATTGAGCACAACAGCATCAAAATAGCCCGGTGATAACGCTCTCATTACAGCTCGTCATTAGGACACAGAGTTCACAGAGGACAGTTCCTGACAATACCATGTCGTATGACCGTCCGCCGATGCCCCCAGGGCCCGGCGGATTTACACAGATTAAAGCAGGACGACGCTCCGAGCCGGCGGGGCGACCACTGGCCCGCGCGGTCTCAGACACGCGAAAAGTACCGCAGGCCCGGGCGGGGAGCGTCGCGGGTTATCACAGCGCCAAGAGTTCAGCCAACACCCACGGTCGGCTGTTATGCGCCCGGCTCGGGCCGCCTAGTTGCCGATTTGGCCGCCTGGCGGCGCGCTCGGACAATCTGTAGATGTCGCTGTATGTAGTCTTCGTCGGGCGCCAGCCGAGCTGCCCGCTCCAGACACTGCTGGGCGCGCTCCAGGTCGTCCCGCTTCACGTGGACTACGCAGAGGTTGTGCAATCCCTGCACGTGATCCGGATCCACGCGCAGAATCTGCTCGTAACACTGCGGGCGACAGAGCGAGGGAGCAGGTAAGAGAATGAACGATAGAGCGCGGGGGAAATGAGCGCCATCCACCGGCCACCGCCGCCGGCCGCTAACCACTCAGGCGTTCAAAACTGACCGACCACGGAAACAGTGCAACGCAAGCAATAGTTGATCACTCATTAAGCCATACATTAAGCCATACAGCATTACTTTTGATCACGCCACCAAGCTGCCGATTCGGGACCCATAGACAGCCTGAGAACGCCTCCTACCGGTTTGCCGTACCCACGCAGCCCACCTTTTGCGCCTCGTCCAGGTCCTCGATGTTGTTGATGTAGATGTCTCCGAGCAGGATGAGCGCCTTGACGTGGTCCGGGTGATGTTGTACCAGCCGGGTGAGGAAGGGCACGGCCTCCAGCGGCCGGCCGGCGTCACTCAGCAGCAGCGCCAGGTTAAACAGCGCCGAACGGAACTCGGGACGCACCTCCACCGCCTGGAGAGGGGACCGGCGGGAATCAGCCTACTGAGAACACACAGCGCGGCTTTACAGAGGAAACTGAGCATACTAGGCACGCATCAACACTAAGGCTACCTCAACTTCGAACTGCCCGCTTGGCCGACCAGCCCGCGCCGCTAAACCACTTACACGATGGACGCGGGGTGCCGAAATGAGCTCAGTCACAGTTTGAACAGTCACTCTAGTCCTTGGCTCGCATTACTCACCTTTTTGAGCCAGGCCTCGGCGGGCACCAGGTCGTGGTCGTCCATGGCCAGCATGCCCAGGTTGAAGTAGACCCTGTCGAGTCCGACGGCCGACGGTCGGAGCGCGATGAGCCGGTGGAGCCGCTGGTAGGCGAGCGGCCGCCGCTCCGGGGGCCCCTCCTCCTGGATAATCACCGCCGAGTTGAGCAGCGCCTGCTGGTGGTCGGGGTCGTGCTCGAGCGCTCTGTCCAGGTAGGCCTGCGCCTCGGCCTGGAGGCCCTGCTCCAGACACACCACGCCCAGCTGCAATAGAGGAGAGCGGGGGAGGGGTGTTAGAGTACGCAACTCCAGTTCCTGGGCCTGGAGGCCCTGCTCCAGACACACCACGCCCAGCTGTAACAGAGAGGAGAGAAGGGGGAGGGAGGGGTGTTAGAGCATACAACTCCAGTTCCTCGGCCTGGAGGCCCTGCTCCAGACACACCACGCCCAGCTGTAACAGAGGAGAGAGGGGGAGGGGTGTTAGAGTACGCAACTCCAGTTCCTGGGCCTGGAGGCCCTGCTCCAGACACACCACGCCCAGCTGTAACAGAGAGGAGAGAAGGGGGAGGGAGGGGTGTTAGAGCATACAACTCCAGTCCCTGGGCCTGGAGGCCCTGCTCCAGACACACCACGCCCAGCTGAGGAAGGGAGAGGAGATGGTGTGTTAGACAACCAAATACTGCGGTAGTTTCACAGCGAAATGAGCCCAGGAAGAAGCGAAGACGGAGAGGAGGATGTTATCATTACGTTTACTAATCAATCACGTTTTGTTCTGTTGCGAGCTACACAACATAGCGTCTGGCACACAGCCCGTCAGTGAAGATAAGCCCACGCCGTGTGCGCCAGGCGGCCACCCCATCTCACATCCTTGTCTCGGGAATCGGATGGTCGGCGGCCCCCACACCCCGTCCCAGTCGCCATGGCGGCCCGGATGGTAACACGGCGCCCGACGCCGTATCGCGGGCCGACAGGCCATCGGCCCACACTGCACACAACAGGGTGGTAAAGGAAATACTACCACCGGACACCGCCCGGCAACTGACCGAACGCCGCAACGACAGTGTGTATACTGTCTACATAACCCCAGCCACAACAGGCTCCAACAGCCAGAATATGGAGGGGTGGGGTTGGGCCGCCGGGAATGGGTAGGTAAATGACACGGTGAATGACTGGCAGGCTAGCTCACCGGTTGGCTGAAATAACTACCCGACTAAATGAACAACGGACTGACTCACGGAAAATGACTGATGAAAAAGAAGAGGCCGGGAAAATCAGCAACACCCATTGATCAATGTATCACCGACAGACCCGTTGACTCACGTTATAGTAGATGTCCGGGTTGTGGCTATCGTATGTGAGCGCCGTCTCATAGACCCGGCGCGCCTCCTGTGTACGGTTCAGCTTGATGAGCACATCACCCCTGTTGATGTAGGCCTGAGTGTAGTCGGCCCTCATGCCGATCGCCTGTCGGTAGAGAGCGTCCGCCTCCTCCAGGCGGCTGTGGTTGCGCGCCAGGAGGTTCGCCAGGTTCAGAAACACGTTCAGGTGGTTGGGCGCGATACGTGCCTGGTACACTTGGCCGGGCCGGGCGCGAGGCAGCAGCGACTTCGCCTGTGAAAAGGAGAGGGGCAAGTCACACACTGTTGCAGGGAACACCAGATAGGAATACTAATCACACTAAAACTAAAAACAAACTTCCGGTCACTGAACACACATTGGCAGCACACGCTCCGACCGCCGCGCGTCCAGTGATGGATCAGCCTTCAGTCCGGCGCCACCAATCCGGACCAAATTGGAGCCATCCCTCAGCCGCGCCGGCTTGCCGTTCCATCACCTACAGAACTTTACGTCCGTGTTGTAGCTCAGAGTTAGCACGGTACGACCACAAACCGCGGCGAAGAGTAGCTCGGCGTGCCTACTATACCGTTACCCGGGACGAGAGATGGCGGAATAACCTATGATATAACTATGAGGACATTGTCAACGATACGACCCTGATCAACGCCACAAATAATTTTGCTGCTACATATATCTAATTTTGATTTACTTAAGTGGGAAAGCACTAACGCCGTATCCGTCATTGAGCAAAGTACCCGTTTATTAGAGACCCGTTGTAGCAAACTACGTAGGGCCTTCCACCGGCAATGAATGCCCAGCGCCAGTTACAAATATAGTGTGATGAGCCCAGCTGACATTGCAAATACAGCCAAGCAAGACACTGTAAACTCGGCATCGGTGGTCGTCCATTCAACTTTGAAATCACCACCCGCGGCTGTCTGTCTCCAGGGCCACCGCCCGAGGAACGGGGCGGGAGGGGAGGTGGGGGTACCGCCGTGGGGAAGGGGCAACTCGCGGGTCCGAGTCTCAGGAATCCCTGCGCAGTCAGCCACCCGAGGCAGTTTTCTGACGATATCTCAATGCGGGCGTCAATGTACTGTGGACATCTGAGGATGGCCGGTTGGACCAAACTTCAGTCAGGAATGGGGGGGGGGGGGGGGAGAGATTCGCTCCACTGCTTTTGGACCGGCCACGAGTCTGCCCCGGGTGAGAGGCGGGGAGGCTCAGTTCCTAGACCCAGCTGCCGAGATACGGGACCCGGGCCGCTGCAGCCGGCGCAGTCGCTTTAATCGGCTCCGGGATCTGTCTCAGATACGCCCAAAGTTTCAACGCGGATCGCAGGCTGAGCTCGGAAATCTGGGACGCCGGCGCCACTTTTAGACTCGCACCAACGTTCTGTCCACATCTAGCTCACAGCCCATCATTGTGAGTTTAACGCCCAGAGCCCAAGAGTACTGGGTTGAGTGACCCCACCCCCCACGTCCACCCCGCCCAGACCCAGCAATCAGCATGGTGACAAACTATGAACAGCCCACCGCCTCCTTCCACGGTCGGTCTTAGTTGATCGAACTTACCGTGCGATACGCCTGTTCGGCCTTGTCGTACATATGCAGACTGGTGTAGGTCCGGCCCACGTTAATATGCGCTCCGATATCGTCCTCCTGCACTCTGTAACGGAAGGACGAGAGCGGCGTTACAAATTATAGGTCTCCGTATCGTCTGGTACAAATGCAGTACAATTACAGACAGTACCAGCCGACGATGGCAATCCAAGGGACTATGATATCGAGAAAAGCAACAGTTCTCAAATAATAGGTCTGCGTTCACACAAATAACAATTCAATACAATCAACCGCATCGAATAGACTGCACAACCGGGAATCAGTCGAACAGGGGCCCGAGAGACGCTTTGTAAACCAACTATTCGCCCATGTGTGTATAACTAATTCAGACGATGCACTTATTCCCCTCCCCGACATACCAGCGGCCAGTATGCCTGACTACAGTGCCCGATTACTGGCGGCGACCAATGACAGACACCCGGTGCTGCCAGTGAATGAGCGGCCGTTTTCAGAGGTGGCAACCGTCATTACTCAGCGCAGTGGTCGCAGCGCCGAGCCGAAATGGGCCAAACCATGATGCATATGCATGTGGCCACCCATTGATTATTCATGGTTTCGGTCCAGCGGCGCCGACGTCGTGTTGCATTGGATCACAACGAGCCGGGATTCGGCACATCGGTTTCCGTTTGTCACTGTCGGCCGCCCATTCATTCGGCAATATTCGCGCCCGCCGCTCCGACTCAATGAAAACGAACGGCCAGAGCGGAGCGCAGTAGCGGCGCAACTCACAACGCGAGCGACAAATGGCCGATTCAGCGAGCGACTACGACTCAAACCACTCATGGCAGGCTGTCGTGATAAAAGACGAGCCAATCCATCACATTGTGAACTTTCCAACTCCTATCAGTCAAGTCCACCCCCCCCCCCATCCCCTATCCGCAGCGACCCAGCCCCATTGGCACGATTCCTACCTGACGGCATGCTGGAAGAAGACCAGCGCCCGCTCGTACTCCTGCCGGCCCTCCAGCGCGTGGCCCACGTTGTTATACAGCTTGGCGTTGTTCCTGTTGACGCGCAGGCCGGCTGTGAAGATGGAGTACTCGTCCCTCCAGTCCCAGTTACGCCAGTGGGTCTTCAGACCGTGTGATATCAGCAGAACGGACATTCCGAGCCAGACAGCCGTCCGGTGACGACTGGAGAGAGAATGGATGATAATGGGGTCAGTGCACAAGGAACTACCCACGTTAAACAGTTCTGCTGAAATAACCAAAGAAAAAGAGGTCTGCAGAGACGTAATGGGGTATGTCCTAAACGATTATTAAATGAAATGGCTCTGAAAGCGCTACCACTTTGACAGTATCCGAGTATACTGAATTGTAAGTCAATCTCGCGGATTCGTCCATCAACGATATTGGATAAATTGGGCTCTTGAGACGCTTATGGCCAGTCATTGCACCAGAAGAATCCCGATGGACCTCCGGGTTCTTGGCAACTCGAGTCCAAAAATACCACCGAATACCCAAGTTTACTACCGGCAGCGGGATACTAGCGCGACGACAAATCATCCCATCGGCCCGTTCAGCTGAGGGGCGACAGTAGAGAGAGGGGGGGGGGGGGGGTCGGACAGTGACGGGACGAATGGGCCGCGCGGGGGTCGTTTCCGACGCACGTGACACGCCGACTGCGGTGACGCGGTGACTTATTAACGGAGTGCACTCTACACCGCTCGGTGACGCTCTGTGACCGAGCACTGCCGCAAATGGACGAGAGCAGAGCTGGGTTTGGTCGTGCGGAATTTAATCGGTAGTGGGCTGGGTTGAGTGGTTAATGGCGCGGCCGGGCAACAGGAAGCGGACAGACCGTCTGTCATCCTCCCACACCCAGACAAACAGACACACAGCCCGACAGAGAGAACGGCAAACAGGGGGCTAATTGGACAGAGGGCCGCTGGCCGCCGCCGAGTTCAAACACAGGGACCCGGCCGGCCGGTCACCACCAGCTAACCAGTGCAGCGGGGCCGAACGTCAGCTGTACTCACCCGGTCTGTACCAGCCGCTGACAGCCCGCGGCCACTAGCAGGCAGAAGCCCATGGAGGGCATGTAGAGGACCCGCTCGGCCACGACGAACCCCACCGGGAAGAACAGGTTGGAGGCGGGCAGGAACGGCAGTGCCACCAGAGCCAGACTCTGAAACAGACGGACGGAGTCAATTACAGCGACACTCAGACAGTACACTCGGGGTCATAGTCACACTGGGGACAGGCTATTAGCCAGGAGAGAGTCGCCAGCACCAGACTAGAGAGGAAGACATATCACCACCAAACGGAAAACTCTACTATAAATTTCGATCAGCCTAAAAAAAATACTGTCGCTAGACGACACGATACCAAAGCAACGCGATGCCAGGCGAGCAGGAACATTTTGACCAAGTACATCTGGGTCACATAACCATGGTGATAACACCGTCTTCGTCGCCGTCCACGGCAGGACGGATCATTCACAAGCCTCGCTCAGCAGTGACTACCGAACCCCAGCCATCACCACCCGATCAATAACCGGTACGGAACTAATCCCGCAGCCGTCCTGCCACCTCACCGCGGACCAATCTGAGACGGTACTCGGTCCAACTGGAGCCCACTCAGACGGTCAGTTGGTGAGGCGATATTCGGCCCGGTAATACCGAGCTGACCGCACCAACCGCAGACGATCGGACGATAGGGAGGCACTGACACGTCTGTGACAGTGATATCACCCGGGCAGCTGCCAACAGCAGTCTTATCTCCCCTCAACACCAGCAGTCACTAGCGGACCAGACCAGCTGTCAGGCCAGGACCGGGACCGATTCCCCAAACCAGGACCGATTCCCCAAACCAGGACCGATTCCCCAAACCAGGACCGATTCCCCCCTCCTCCGGTGGATCAGACCGTTAGGTGCGTGCCGCAGACTGTGATAAAATGAATCCCACCTCACAGTTCACAACCGTCGCAACAGCCGTCCACGTTACTGGGAGTTGCTCCAGTCTGTAGGTCTCCCGGCTCCCTCCTAAATTTTAAATAGTATGGGGAACTGAGAAGCACCATGCGCTAGTTCCCGGAATTATTAGTTCCCACAGGGTAGAACATTCAGTAATCACTAATCCTCCCATGGCTGAAATCGTCAATCAATTTCATTATTGGCTGGTGGGACACTGGATGAGCCGTGGGAGCCTAACCGCGTTGACCGCCTGGGAGCAAACCCTGACATGTTGAGGAAGGAATGACACTAGCTGACGCATGGACTGTCCAGTCACCATACCGACAAAGCAGCGGAAGGTCCCGACAACTCTGCCAAGTGACTGTCGGTCACGCTGACATACTACCCCGGTATCAGATCACCAGTGACAAGTTTCCGCTAGCGCCGCTGAAATAACTCACTCAGTGTCTTCATAGCGTCCCCACAGCACTTACCCAACAAACACGGACAAACTTTGACCGAGTCAATCCACATTTCACCTACTACCGAGTACCCACCCGAGGGCAAACCTTAGCTATGATCACCCTTCTCCCTTCCCGACAACTATCCCCAGCTCTCACCATGATAACCACATCGGATCCACGATCCTCTGAGGCCAGGGCGCGCCACACCAGCAGTGCCAGCCCAGCATAGGTCGCCAGGGTGGCCAGGTTGCGCGGGTCACCGATAGATGTCAGCAGCGGCACGGTGCCCATGGTCCAGTCACAGCAGAGCGGCTCGGGAGCCAGTAGTAGGGCCGTGTTCAGACCCAACAGGTAGTTGTAGGTCAGCCACCGGGTCGCCGTGTCAGACGTGGACGCCGGGTTGTCGAACCTGGGGAGAGAGGCGGTAGGGTCAGGTCAGGTCAGGTCAGGCTAGGTGGAGCTATCGCAACGGCGTAAGCGACGATAGAGATTGACTAAAATAAACGTGCAAGCTAGACTTCGGATTAAAGACTTCAGATTAAACAACGCTGAAAAGTGGGACGATCAAAATATTTCCCTAGACATATTCCATATGATATCTCCTAGCAGCAACAGAACGTCCGTCAGCATTCACAAATTCATCAAACAAATATTCTCAATTCTAATCAAAGTGACGGCCGACACAACCCCAAACCAGCCGACGAACAATCAGTAGACCACTAACCTAGTAAACACGGGCAGCTGTGCCCCCATGATCTTCACCCGTCCGATGAGCAGACACAGGGTGGCCACGGCGAGTGTAGCCAGCCGGCCGACGGTGGCACCCAGCCAGTCCGGCGGCTGAGCCTTACCGGCCCTGCTCAGTCCGGCCACAGCGGCCCGGAGAGAATTCAGGCGCAGCTGGAACAGCACGCACGGGGACATGGGGTCATACAGGGTCACAGGAGGGCTTATAGATCTTAAGTCATTGAGATTCTCACTAAGGTCACCACTCACAAACGATAGGGTCACGATCGGTCACAAGCGCATGACGACACTAGACACTACAGACGGGTAACAACGCTCAGCTGGGAAATTAGCCATGTCTCGCGCTTCAAATACAGAGCAGCACCAGCGCTCTCCACTAGTCCGCGATGATCCGGCCAGTTCGGAACTCTGTCTGTCGTGAGCCGCGGTGACAGAGTGTCTAGAGCCGGCGATTTAGTGCCACGCCCGGGCGACACCGGCCAATTACAGAGGGACGTGCGGCAAGCCCCAATCAGGGCGGTGGCTCGGCCGCTGAGCCGCCGTGCTCCCAGCTGATCTGGGCCGGACAACTGAACTGATCTGGGCCGGACAACTCCGACATACAGACAGGATCGGGGACCTTAGTAATTTGAAATGTGTACTTTACTGCGAGTAGTGAGAGGAACGTCAGTGGCTTAGACTCAGGATAACAGCGTAAAAAGTCGAGTCGGGGAGCAGGAAAAGAGAGCAGGAACTAATAATGGTTAGTATCATTTACCGTTACAACACCATAGAATGCTGAGATTTTTCTTCCAGATGTTTTACGGACTCACCTTTCTGACAACGAAGACTTCGTAGACGCCGCAGACGCCGACCACTGTGATGCCCTGCTCCTTGCACAACATGGCTGCTGTGATACACAGCACTGTCGTCCCCAGCCAGCGCCAGTCTGAGGAAACACAACGTAACGGACATGTTACACACTACAACACAGTCCTCCCAAGTCACCGCCAGTCTGAGAGAGCAAAAAAAAAAAAAAGTCAATACATACAGTCGTGAATACCTATCAGTTGCGAGCAGTGTAACAACAGATTGGAAAAAGTATTTTTTAAGCATTAAATGCTGGTTTCCTCACGTTGAATGTTCCATTCCGCACCTAATTACATCCGGCGTTTCCTTTGGCTGTCTATTTTCTCTTCCTCTGCACTTTCCGGCATGCCACCCTTACCAGTTCCTACTATCCTGAGGAGCTGCACATGTTTGCATTCAGTCAAGTTCCTCTGATGCAGCCCAGCCAGCACATTCCGCGGGCCCCACTCCGGTCTAGTCTCGCCTACACGACCCCGCACAGACACCTTATCTGCTTTGAATTTCCAAATCAGATTAGGCGCCATGAAAACACTAATCCGCGGAGCAGGAGCGCGGCTGGGTCGGGACCGGCCGCCCATACGTGGCGCCCGGCCCGGCCAGTTTAGAGCGGGGCTCCCAAAGTGACCTTGTACATGTTTGTAAGCACGTTCAACACAGGATACCTGGGCATGGGGCCTAGAGAGGATCGCTTGCAATCTGCTTACGCCGCCACCGACTCGTGAACATCACTAATTAGTCGGATTTAATTGATAACACGAGCACGGCACAGACGTCAGACTGACGCGAGAGGATGACATAGGTACTGTCGCACATCAGTGGCTCACTCACCAAAAACACAAGTGCATGATTACGAGCTCTAGAATCTCATGAAGGTCAAGGAGTCATCCAAAGTGATCGATAATAATATTTACAGCCACTGTCCGGTAATACACAGTGCGCGTCCGATCAACCTGCTAGCAAGTCATGACACAACTGTTTCCGTATTGAGACAGTCGCATGATACATATCTTCCCCAACTCGTCTCCATACGGTGGCGGTCACCAGGTGACATACGTGCCATCACCAGCGGTGACTGCGTCGAACACCATCAACATCATCCGTCCATTACAGCCGACCAGCCCTGAACAGCATCTCTCACACAGACACGAGGTGCACATTGAAAGCTGGTCGAGTGACAACCGGGCGGGACACGGCTCGATGTCACTTTTTGGACAGATGGAGGGCAGTTCGAGTGAAGGAACACGAGAAGTAACTGCCGGGGGATGGGCGCCGAGGCTATGGAGCGACGGAACACCAGGGGAAGGCACATGTATCCAACACCACCAATTGCGTTATGATGAGAGCAATGGAATGGTCTCGTTTGATAGTCGCATCATTTACTGAGAGGAGATACGTTACGGAGGACCTATGCATACCGTGTGCGGTTTACAACACGAATATATATGTGTCTGATATACACGTGACGGACCGCTGGGAATCATAAGGAGCTGCCGCACACGGTTGGTTATGTTCGTACCTGTCGTTTGTCGTGCGGAGGCAGCCCGAGCATAGGCCATGAAGGCAGCCAGAAAGAAGACAGAAGACAGCAGCTCGGCGCGACCCACCACACCGGTCACCTGAGGATCAGGGGGAGGGGAGTGTCATTGGTGAATCGAGGAGGGAATCATCTCTCTTCGCATAAAGAAAAGGACGCCCTATTCTCCCCTAAGTCCTAACTACACCCATCTGACTCACACTAGTTGACCGGCGATGGCACGGTGTAGTACTCGACAGTATTCCCCGATTGCAACTCCAATATTAATCCATGCCGGTCCCTGAGCAGTCAGCAGGGCGGCGGCGGCGGCGGCGTCTCACCGCACCGAGGACCTCTCTCGGGATGTACTGTCGGCGCCCCGCCCCGGCGGCCCCGATTGGAGCTCACTGGTATGCAGCCCGTATGCATAATACATCGGGATAGTGACAGGCCGGCTGAGCAGGCCGATAATAACATCATTTACCGAAATATATCGGACAACAGGAATTGAAATCGTGCAAACGGCGCGCCGCGGGACACGTTACAGGCAATAAATACAAATGAGCCGCACTGGCTGCACGGGACGGCGCCCAGCTGGGGGTGCAGGGAGGACAGGGCCTGCCGTCAGCTCGGAGAGGGGAGGACAGGGCCTGCCGTCAGCTCAGCCGCTGTATGTAGTGGAGGACAGCCGTCTGTAGCCTCAGTTGTTAGCTGCACCGAACGGGGGATATAGTTGGTTAGCGATAAGTCAGAGAAATACCGGACCAAAAGACACTTGTTGCTGGCCGACGCGCAACTCACCGCCTCAGTGTGAATCGGGTGGACGGCGAACAGCAGCGCCGCGAGGAAGCTGGTCAGCTCAGAGACGAACATGACGCACATCCTGAAACAGAAAGAACGGCCTGTCAGCTTAGTAGGAAACGTAACACACATCCCGCAAAAAAAACAACAACATGAGAATGTGCTTGATTTCAAAGGCGAATATAACACCGGTCAGCTCAGAAGCGGCACGAAACACAATAAACTAATGCAGGAAGACCGATCAACTGACTCCGACACGGACTTTGTTCCGTGACCTAAAACGAGCAGCTCCATCGATTTCACCAGTCTTCAAAGATTAGCAGCTCAGCAATATTTTAGCCCAGACGTTACATGAAATGTCACGCGCAGCCAGTATTAAATTAAACAGAAGAATGCTAGCGTCATCGCCAGCCGTGCCAGTTTCAGATATTTAGATAGTCGCTGCCCTGTTATCGACTCGAGCCAGAATACCAGCACGAGACACTATCGAAGGGCGACGTGTTTCGTGACACGCAACAAGTCTAAGTACCATGGTTACGCAACATGACGCGCCTGTACTACATTCACAAGCCGAAACGTAATTATTCGCTGTCAGTAGCAGTAATTAGGCTTTCAGGGCACGCCGTAGACACAGGCTATTTGCCCCGTGTGTAAATGACAGCTAAGTCGGCCTACAATCACGGCGCTATGAATCCCTGACAGCTATCCGCGGTTCGGTGTGGAGCAGCCGGCGTTAACTGATGGGCCGGTTTCCTCGCACGGTGACGGCGGCCAATATGTCTCTGAGCTCAGCCTACGAAGCTTCGTGACCGAACGAAAACAACCAAACGATAGCCATCAGACGGCGTCGCGATGGTCGAAATGTCGCAGTAGAAGTATGGCAATGTCGCCTCTGGAGATGTTGGTCTGATCGCTTCGTCAATACAAATATAAAAAAGATGACGAGAATGGTTTATAGCTGAAATCCAGACATAACGAGATGCCTCAGCAGATGGGTTATAAATGAGATCCAGCACAGTTAGAGTTCCAATAAATATAATCTTTATCGAATATCGCAGCTGAAGCATAAACCAAAGGCAAAGGCGAAGACATTCAAGATGAGAGACGAAGACATTCAAGATGACAGACTAGCATCCTTTACAAGGGTACCCACATTTGATAAATTATAAACTATTGGTCGACTGTACCAATCAGATCAGGTCACAGATCAGGTCAGAAGGGTACGATGAGAGTGGTGCCGTCGCCCAGAGCGATACACCATTGCACCAGTCGGTGGTGATCTCAGACAGCCTCACCAGCCGGTGGAGGTCCGAGCTGCAACTGCACTGAAGCCGTTCGGTGGTGGTCTCCATCAGTGGCGCAGGCCGATCAGTATTGCTCAGAGAGCTGCAACTGCACTGTAGCAGCCCGGTAGAGGCCACAGCCGCACCGGCCGATCAGCAGCGGTCTTAGAAAGTGGCCCCGGCTGATCGGTAGTCATCCGACCTGCAACGGCACTGCAGCAGTTCAGCAGCGGCCTCAGTCAGCCGCACAGGCCGATCGGTAGTGGTCGGTAGAGGTCAGAGTGGCGCAGACCGATAGGAACGGTAGTGGTTAGACTTGCACCAATGCACTGTAGCAGTGGTCTCAGACAGTGGCCGCCGCCGATAGACAGCCGCCCCGACCGATCGGTAGCAGTTGGACAGCCGCGCGGCCGATCGCCGGCCCTGATTAACACGTCCGTCCGTGCACCAAGGAGCCGCCGCGCCGCCGGCAGCTCTCTATAGCTACCGACGCTGAAAGGTTTCGGTCATTGAGACCGAGTGCGGCCGGCTGACGGTGTCGATCAGTCGCGGAGCTGAGAGAGGGCGGCCGAAAACGAGCGGGGAGGTACGGTAAACAAGGAACGTTCGGACAAGGAGTGCAGTTGTGCAACGCAGCTCGGCGCTCTTGACGGAGTATGCAACGAATGCTTAAAAGTGCATTACTTGCGATGTTCACCTCTAATTGCATCCATAAGCAAACATCAAAGCTGCATTATTTTCCCTTCGCGTTCTTATGCCATGTCTTCGTCTGCGCCCGCAAAACATTTCGTATAGCTTGTAACGTAGGGCAATAGTTGGATGCATGGCGGAATAGAAGAAAGCATTCCATTCGTTTCATCAGCAACCTTGGCAGGCAAGGGCATGCCTTCCAAGTAGCATTCGAATGCTGGTAATCCATACCAAAATGACATCAAGACTCAAGACTGGGCGGATTTGAAGCTCCGCATCCGAAAAAGGAGAAGTCTATTTTAGCGGTAATGTTCGCCTGACAAGTCTACCGTGCCTCATAAGCGGCACCCATTTTTCAGAGGATGCCGTACAGTTCAATCGCCAAAAATCATTCCTGCACGGAGCCTTCCGTATGACTCAAGCATACTTAGTATCCATTATCATGCCGAGCGCAGGCTATTTGCCAAATGAACAAAACAGTCGGACATGTTTGCGGTCAGCGTACTGCGAGCCGCGGGCCCCGGTTCCGGCGCCAGGCGACACGAGCGGTGTCACGGAAGACGGTGTCGCGTGTCACACCGCCATTCCGGCATCCAGGCTGTGTACTACTCGCCTACCACACACTAAGAACCACCGGGCCCCGAGGGGGCGGCAGACTGGCCCCCGAACACTCACCTGAAGAATAGGGCACAAACGAGGGCGTGCAGCGCCACATTGACCAAGTGGTAACCCATTGGCCTCAGCTGGTGCAGCAGATAGTTCCAGCGGAACGTCAAGACGCAGAGCGGCCGGTACGACTTGTGGGACTGCTCCTGCAATCACAGACACGGGCTGGTCAGCATACACGATCACAGTGGAACGGCAACACGCAGTATACACACAGTGGAATGTCAGCTTGCCGCAAAGCTTGCGCAAAGCCGAGCATAACCAAAATTAGTGGAATATCAGCACGCACAGGATACTGGCAACACACATTGCAGCGCCAGTTTTGCACAGCACAGGACAGCATAGCGGGACGCCTGCAGTTAATCACACACTCGCCGGTACGGCCGGCGCGGCTTTTCCCAGAATCACCTCACCCAGAAGCCCTATCGGTGCAAAGGTAGCAGAGATCACTGAATGTCAGGTAAACCGGCTGAATGTCATCACACGTTTACGGAAGCCCGACATCTGAACTCTGCAGACAGAGAGGTCACCCAAAGTGTCAAACTTGTGTCATCAGGAAGCCCCGGGGCGACCTGGACAGACCACCGGTGTCACCGGAGGGGTGAGAGCCGTCAGCACGCGCCGCGTCCCCTCCCGGGAGGCACGGCCCGTAAATCACGACGCTCCGTTCGGCAGCGTTGAGCGCGCTGTGCCGTGGGGACCGGCGGAGACGGCCATTAGCCGGTCGCCGGAGACGGAGAGCGAGTCGTTAGTGGTGGGGGTCTCAGGGGACGCGACTGGAGCGACCCCGAGGTCGTCAGGAGACGTACTCTGCTAACACCGACGGCAGAGAGGGGGTCTGACGACTCTCTTCCTGCAATCTGGTGCACTCTTGTGCCACCGAGAGACGTTCGGGATAGACTGGGATTCACGGAGTGCGGAGAAAAGCCCTGTCACCACCAATCCCGCAGTATTTCGTATGGCGAATACTACGGAAATACCCATCACTCTAGTCGGAGAGATTAGGTACGGCCGGCGCAGTTCCGCGTTGATTGTGAGCGCTCACTACCGTCACGGGTCCCAGCACGCCACCCGCGAGTCGGCCCGGCCACCCAGGTCGCAGCGTGGCCGGTCCACAATGGCCGGTGCCGGCCGCGATGACAGATGGCCGACAATCGGGCCGGCGACACTGGGCCACCGGGGCGCTGAATCATCGCCACCGACGCGGCTGCCGCGACCGGCGACTGATGAACGACGGGCAGCGCGACCTCCGCGCACCGGGGACACGAGGGGTGGACCGGGGACACGGAGCGGAGGACCGCCCACCCACCGGGGAGACAGCACGGCGTGCAGCGTGACCTCCGTACCTACACCGGGATACGGGATGGGGACGCACAGAGGACGCGGAACGGCAGACCTCGCGCACCGGGGACACGGCACGGGCAGACTGTCCGCGACCTCTGCTCACCGGGGACACGGTACAGCGCGGCGGACTGCTCGTGACGGTTCGAGTCCAACATGGGAGAGAAGTGGCGAGAGGATACCGCAGAGGGTCCTACTCCTGACGATTGTCAATTAGCCGAATTTTGAACCAACATTTCACAGAATAGTCAGATAGAAAATGGCCTACACGTAGCAATGATTCCAGAACCTGCACCACCGATAAATGCACGATACCGGTAACAACATTCGAACCCCACTAAGTTGGTGGAACTTAATCGTAACACCATTTCGAGACCTCATGACATTCAATGCATTGGTCGTTCCGGAAAGCTTTCACGATCATCCTCAGCGACGGCACAAAACTTGTTGAAGTTCCTCGAGCATCCAATTCAGGACTCTGTGCCCTACCGCCTTATCACTGCATAATTTGCAAGTTTACAGGCGATGGCCAAGTTTGCCCGAGCGAGTGCCATTTCTCCGGGTCCGGACTTTAAACTCAGCGCCGCCGGCAGGCCGGGCCGGTCCGTAGCTCGAGTATACCGCAACACAGGCATCCTCATTTTAATAAATCACATAAATGAAAAGAAGTCTTCCTCTTGAAGAGCATAACAGCCACATTATCTAATAAAGCGCTGATTTCAGCGCAGCGAGAATTAGGTCTGCATTCTTAATTGTCTAATGCGCTATTCCGCCGACGAGTTTTTCCAAGCTCACGCTAGAGCGGAGAGAACACGGCACACAATAAACCTCAATCGCTGCACACAACGCATCTCGTTTTATAATCCTATGCCAGAACGGAGAACGCAGTCGTCGCGGCGGACAGCTCCTCTAAAATTCAACAGCTTGTCCTCCGTTCTCCATAGTGACCAGCAGAACTCCATGACTAAAGGACTGGTCTACGCCTAGGAAGCTATTAACTGCAAAAACCACAGGCCGGTCGGTCACCTCACTCTCCTCACCTGTTTCAGCGCCCTGTGATAGTTAGTGCCCCTCCGCCAGCCTCGGGCGGTCGTAATGTGCCGTGTTTATGGGGTGATCAGCAGTCAGTCGCGGCCCGCCCCCGCCGCCGCCCGCCGCATTCCGAGTATGATTGCAGTATCGTCCGTGCGCGCAGAGAATCACATGCATGTCGTTGCCACCGCCGCGCCGGCCGGTAAGCCTGGATACCGGCGGTATGGGAGGTCGGGTGGGGAACCGGGCAGGAAAGGGTCATCAACCGCGTGACGGCAGAACAAAACGATGCGACGGTTTGAAAGAGTCACGATACCGCGGGTATTTCAGTAACGATCCGTGAAATACCCTGCGTGCCTGGTAGGGTGGCCGGCGGCCGCCATAGGCCGTCCCTTCCGGATTCGGGAGGAACAGTAGGTGGAGGAGAGGAGAATGGAGGTCGGAGGACGAAGGTTGGATGGTTTGGAAGGCGAAATGCCACATGAGAAACGAAGGCTGGAAGCCGATATAAATATAAGAAACGGCAAAGAAGGAAGAGGAGCGACAAAGAAAGGAAAGACAGTCGAGTTCACAGACCCGCGACGTGGGAGGACGTCGGAGCCCTTGGGAGTCGCACGATGCTCAGAGCTGCAATACCAGCAGCGCAGACAGGCCGTAAGGAGGGGACCCGATCCGTGACCGGAATGAAGCTACGTCCGTATAGGCCTGACAGACGTTGGACGGGCTCACGCCGTGACGACTGACCACAATATACGACGGACGGTACCCGTGCCGTCGCCGCACTCCGTGTATGTCTGCAGTGCTCCTCCTGTGCAGCACTCACATCCATTCCCAGGCCGCAATTACGGTGGATACATGTTTCAGCAGCCGCATCACTTCAGGGGAAACGAAGCCGCACGTACAGCCGATGCTTCGGCAGTAAATGTCGAGGTTATTTGCTGGACAGCCAAGCAACACGGAAACACCTGTTGCGAAACCTGAGAGGCCCATTGTTTCCGTAAACGGGTAGAGGTATTAATGCACGAGCAGCAGCGACGGGCTAGCGCTACCGGCCAGTCGCGTGGACTCGTGTTTGAGAAGGCCTACACGGAGCTCCCTGAGTAGCGAGACACACGGCAAATGGGCCTCGCACCGGTACAACTTGTTTGCTCTCAGGCTTAATGTCCCAACACTTACATAAATCAGGCGCGACGAGAGTGGAATATACAGGAGAAATTAGTCGTCGCCATTTTATGATTGTGAAATGGAGGACAAACTAAAATTGCCCGAGCAAACAAAGCAAGCCCACTAAGCACTTCCCTTCGGCAGTTCTTACTCAAGCTATCTCCACTGGAGAAGCCCGCCGATGACACTCGGTTCCCGCCTGCTGAGAGGCGGATTCGGACAGCCCCGTCCCGGCCCGTCCGTCCGTCTCGTCACGCTCGCCGGGTGTTGTGCCGCGCCGTCTGCACGGTGGCGCTCGGCGGGGGTCCAGACTCAGCAGCGGAGTGCATACAGCCGTCTCCCTCCCGCGGAGGCTGACGAACGCACCATCTCTCCGCCACCAAACGAGCGGGGAAGACCGGCCCCCGCCGCTCGGCTGCACGCCGCCAATGGATGGTGACACGGCGATCGTATCGTGTCGCCCGCGCAGCGTCCGTCCCAGGGCCGACCGTGTGGCCAAAATCGTGTCCGCTCATGCTGTGTCCGATTGTGTGTCCGCTGAGCTATGCCGTGAGTTCATGTGTCCAGTCATGTCCGCTGGGTCCAGCTGTGCCCATGTGTCCAGAACATTGTCCGCAGGGTCCGGTTGGCGGTGCTCTATGCCAAAGCCAACGAGGCATGCACGACCGGCCAATATTCACATCGCTGCAGTGGCCGACTTTATAGCGGCCCCCGGACCGCCCAATCAACCATCTCGGGGGCCAGCCGGGCCGACCGACAGTCCAGAAAATGGCCGCGAGGGCGCGCCGCGGCGAGACCGGGCCCTATTCAGATGAGCCGCCAGACGACTGAGCCGTCCGCACCGTGCCGCGCCGGCCACCGGCACTTAATTCCCACCGGGCAGCCGACATGCACACCGCCACGGCCTCGATCCGATGTACAGATTATCCACGGCTGTCTGGTAGATAACCATCAAGGTATTCAGATTACATGCGATACCATGTACCGCAGACATAAACAACTTCGGTAAACATTGCATGAACAGAGTGAAACACGATTATTGTTTTAGGAACTAGCATCAGTAGCTTTTGGTAAGGATATCTCACGAAAGCATTTCCTAGGTAAGGAAGCCAACAGTATTCAAGGAATGTCCTTCCTACATCGCATTATTTCCCTTTTATATTCTGACTTGTTGCAAACTTTAACATTTAGGTTAAGGTAAGAAGCGTGTGAAAACCATGCCAAGTGCGGGGAACATAATATCAGGGCATTTACTTCCGTATCATCAAATCGTTTCACGGGAGGCCCCAGCTAACTCAATTCTCGCTTACGGGGCGTCGGACCGGTCCAATCACCTCGAACACGACTCAGCACCCTGCGATGGCCAGTTGGCGTCCCACTGCCCCTCGGAGACCAATCGGCGGCAGATGACACACCGTGCCAGAGCGGTGGCTCGGGAGTTCGGCAGTGGTCAGTGGACACTGACCGGTAGCGGAAGTCGACATGGAAAGGTTCGACGACCGATCACCGAACGGCAGTGGTGAGCTCAGCACCGACCGGCAAAGATAAGTTCAGCACCGACCACCGACCAGCAAAAGTGACTTCGCCACCAATCAATTTCTGAATTCAT